TACTGGGCTGATTTCTCTTTTCTTTGTTTTGATTTCACGACCTACTGCTTATCTATTACTCACCAAGCCAACTTAACGTTACACTTTGTACTAGTATGACATTACTTCAGTCTTCAGTGCAGAGATGTGTGAATAATTACACAGTAATTGAAACGTTCAAATTGGTCTTAAATTGTGATAATTTGATGCAATTAGAATGTTTATAGGATAGTATTGGCTTTCACCATTTCACATATATATAATATAGTTATGGATAGTGTGACAAGTAGGGTAGCCCATAGAATGTTTTTTGCAGTAGAAGGTAAAATCAGCAACAATTTAAATTCATGTACCTGTTGTAAATTCCTAAAGTCATATTGACTTAAGGTATTTCTAAATGAATTTTTCATTCAAATCTATCCATTTTGATATGGTTAACTGTAACTTGCAAGGTAAAGTCCTGTATTACATTAGGTAGAAGAACTTTGATGTGCCTCATGCATCTAGTATGCATATTAAGGTGTAAATGAGGTAAAAAAAAAAACGATTAAAATAAAGATATACTGAAAACTGATTACAAAACTTTTCTCATACCTTATATTAAGCGTATTAGTTACAAAGTAAGTTGGTCAGGTGCGGTTATAGGATCAATGATTAGCCAGGTTATAATACTCAGGTATTTCACCATGAGATTGTTTTCATTAGCCAGGTTATATTATTTGGGTATTTTACCATGGGATCTGTCTCTGGGGCTTGGAGAAAGAATGTTTGTTTTATGAGTGTATATATTTGCATTGGCAAAATATAATCCTGGGAAATCTTATCACTAAATTTAACACCTTATTCCTTAACAGGACTCAAAAACAACATAGATAATTAATTCATGCGATGTTCCACTTTATATTTAAACAAATCAATATAATATCTACTTAGTAATTATCATCCTATGCCCTTGGTTGATCTTCTGCATAGGACTAGGAATGCTATATTTAATTCTATGTTCAGATATTGATTGAAGGTTACAAAGTATAATGGATTTTATTGATTTTGTGTAGAGGTGTTTGTCATACCTTCCCAATATGACCATTTAGAAATTTTGTTTTCAGGTTTGCCATATAGGTACAGATGAGTTATTTTTGAGATATTGTCTGCAATTCAATTTTAAGTGGTAGATATTTTATTTCCTTGTGTCTTAAAAATGATCAATTTTTATATTTATCATAATCACATATGTGTGCTGGGTAATGATAGAAAAGGATTTATTTGCCAAACAAGTCACAGTTTTCAATTACAACATTAATGTACCTGTACATGTGAATGATGTGATATATGGTAAATATAAAAAAAAGCATTGAATTTGAGCTTGTTTGAAATGTATTTTTTAATTTTTCATAGCGGTGATTAGGACTATCCAATAAATATTATTTTGCAATATCACAGAATAGTAGAAGTGTTTTTAGCATTATTTTATTGTACATTTATTTCTATCTCAAGTAATGTCGTCTCTAGTTGGTTGAAATTAATATTATATATCAATAGTTATACATGATAAAAAACCAATGAGATAAAATGACATTTTGTTAAATGATAAATGCGCCTTCGTCAACTTATGACGAGGTTAAATCACAAGAGGTTGCTTTTATTATGATACATCGCATATTTGTTGTCATCTTCTGAGTATCATTCATGTTGTTGTTTGGTATCGCTCAAGTGGTTCTGCTGAGTATCATTGAAATTCTGCAATGAACCATTTTATTATGTTTTGTTCTGAACTGCTGATTGTTGTTTATTTAAAACCATTATTGTTTAATATAGAGAATTATGAACGGTCTTCTTTGTTTTAGTTTGAGTTAAAATTTGCTTTCTTTAGTGATAAGTGTACAATAGATATGGATCAATAAAAGACTTATTAATTTGGACTTGTAATATTATTTCGAAAATATCGAATTTTGTATGAATTTTATAGCAATTTCTATCACTAACAGTTGTAGTTTACAATACAATTTAAATTTGCATGATTAGTCAAGGTGAATAATGAGGAAACTACACTCTAAATTTGATTGAGATAAAGCATAAAATATGAAACATTTTTGTGCATGGATTCTTCTGTTTTACTTGTGTTTATTTTAGTATATAGAAGGAAAATGGGTAAATGGTGATGGTGAAAGAGCAAACTAAAAAAGTTATTTGAAATAATGTTGTTATGATACAGCACAAGGTACTGTGATTCGGTATAAGTAGGTGTATCCATGAGTTTCTATTACCCGCGGTAAATTTAGAAATTGTTTGTTATCATATATTGACTATTTTTTTTTAATAACTGCTGTGCTGTCTGCACGGCTTATTACCCCAATTATTTTTCTAACAAATTAGGTAAATCTTCAGTGAGATATTGATTATATCAAATAGCACATTCTAGTCATGGTGTGATGCTTGAAAGCATATTTTCATGTTATTATGTCGAATTCTTCTCTGCCTACAGATCGAAACCACAGAATTGGCCCTAGGGGCAGTGTTGTATGTTGAAATAATTTATAGTCAGAAATGATTACTGGTAATATGTATAACACATGCTAGAGATGCATGAAAATGAGTATCACCTATAAACAGTAAATGTAGTAGCTAAAACTGTAATCAGGAAAGACTTTTTTATGTTCTAGCGAGTATATGCAAATGACGTCAATGTATAATGTAGCTATAGCTTACCTTGATTTCTTGTGCCGCCTGTTACACTGGTATGAACTTCAATATTATTCAATAATTTCATAGTAGCAAAATATAATTAAATAACTTTTAAATTTGGGCAATAAAAATTGTTGGCAAGTACTGGTATTGATCTATTCTGTGGCAAATGATGGTTTGTGTAAATTTTCACATACAAAATCATGGATGCTTATAACCTGATAGTGTGAACTGTTTGATATTAACAGAATTCTACATTTGAATTAATTTTTATTTCAATGTGACTGCTGACTGGTTAAATTTTCCACAGATCAATATAAAGCATGATTTAATTAAATTGAAGTGACATGGAAAGATCAGTTATAAGTAATATAATATCAACAAACTATATGTATATATGGCCAGACAAGCTTCATTAGATCCGCATTTCCAAACTTGAATTGTGTGTAACCTTGAAATTAACTGGTATATTGGAATAAGGGGATGCAAAAAATTGGCGTAAAATTATTGTATACCTATTTCATAATGAAGTTACCGGTATTTCATGGTTAAAAATTCTAGTCGCAATTTGAATACATAAAGCACATTATTATCAGAGGATAGCTTAGTAGGAAGTCACACATATTTGTTTTGTGTGCAGTCAGTAATTTGCATCTATACTATTGAATTGAAACAATATATAAAATATTATGACACCTGGCATCAAGGCATATGTGTTTTTCTAATTACGGTATGTGGACAATGAAGGTTAGATCATAGATTCTCTCTCTGGACAGTTAGTTGTTGGTCTCTATCAGAAAGTAAAAATTTGGAACTAATAAAAATCCTATACTGTAAATTCTGCTGTGAATGTCTCTGTCAGAAAGTACAGCGAGGATACGACCCATTTGTATATAATGTATGGAAATAATGCATTAGGTTACAGTAATGTAGTATTTATAAAATAAAATTGAAAAATAAAAATAAATGAGTCGACAAGATATTATACCAAATGGAAATTGTTTAGAGATCGTTCAACAAGTTTAAGTCCGATTTTTCAGAAACTCAAGTAAATAAATAAAGGCAATGTATTCTTGAAATGCAATCACTGTCATTGGAGTTTCATTTTTCAATGATTATTTCATCATATTGCAGGAAGTGATCTTGTTATTGCAACAGTTTCGAATTCAGTCATGTTAAGTTGCTTTCGAAATAGAAACCACCATGACCTGATGAGTGATGAATGAGGCCAATTACGGACAAATTGTAAATTATGAAATTGCTTTGATTGATCTCAATCCATTTCAATTAATTACGATTCTGAATCAGCCAATATTGAAATATTCTAAAAAATTTGTATAATAAATAAACCTATGATATATGTGTAATTTTTTTTTTACTAATGATAGGTTATGTATTTTACAACTTCCCTAATTATTTTAGATCAACTGTTTGGATGGCCTGTATCATCCCTGTAGATAAATGTACCCATACCATATAGTTAATAATGAGTTGTATATTTAAGAAATGCTTGGAAGTTATGTTTAGTAAAAAAAATTAATGATAAAGGAAGTATGAATTGGTTAATCGAATTACCATTGTATGTATATAAACAAATTATTTTCATTTCTGTTTTGTGACTTCAAAATGATTTAATATTATACATTGGCAATTGTGGTAGGATATTAACATGAAGACTGTCTAATGACAGCGGAAAGGAGAGGAAGTCTAATTTTAAATGCACAAATGTTATTGTAATCAAAGCATATTATGCTATATGTTAGGTTAGGTTGTAGGAAACTAAACAAATTCACTTTTACTTCTAATGAGGCCATAGAGAAGATGACACCAGGGGTTTTCTGGTTTTGTGTAATGGACAAGTTTATTATAAACTGGGTGAGAATAGCTCATGCACTGGCCAAGGCTTAAGATAATATGTCTGTCATTTTGGCGGATTTTTGTAAGGCTCGAACTAATGTAAGAAGATTTTTACTGAATTGTAATTGCGATATGGCAATGAAATCGCAATGCTGGGCAAGGCATGTTAGACAGAATTGGATCATCGATAAAAACAAAAATATTATATTAAACATGAGAAATACTACCCGGTAATATAATGATATTAATTAAATTTGTGGTAATCATTTGTTCATGGAAACCGGATCACCTTATAGTGTGAGATGTTAGATAACAGACTAAAATATGTTGTGGGTGTCATTCAGGTTTCATGTAAACACTGGCCTGTTACGGCTCCAACCACCATTAAGCATCTAAATATCAAATATCAATTCCTTCCTATCCTAATAATGTTGTGTTAAAACTTGTATTAATCAAATTTGTTCTTATTTGTAATTTAACAGACTTAACTACGAAACAGATGCCGCATACATCTCATAATGATAATATATATTGCTCCACACCATTACCTGTCAGCCATGGAACTTTTAAATGCTGCTCTGATCCACAGCGTAAGTTTTGTGTGTGAAAATTTGACTTTTTTGGCGAAACACGTCGGTACTGTCTCTTGTAACTTTTCTCAAATCATTATTGTATGAACAACGAATTATTGTTCATGCCATTGCTACTAGGCGCAAATCAACTGTAATGTTGTAAGCTAATATTTCAGAAGGAATTTTTCTAGTTTGATAAAACCTTTCCATTCATCTAAGTATGGATTTTGATTTACCATATGCTATAAAGTCTCGCACATTAGAATAGTATAAAAAAGCAACAGGATAAATTAGTGAACATTTGGAGTTTGACCTTCGACCTATACCACACAATGGCAAATTGCGTCCACCCAATAACATTTTCTGTTGTCCATTTTTGTTGTTGTGTGGACTACTTTTTTTTTTGGTTGACTAAACAACAAATCGCTCTCTTTCTCTCAGTGACAGAAACTCATGCTACTCCAGATCCAAAGTACTGTTGTCCTGTTCATGGATTAGTTGAATTTGTTTGTGATCCCGGGTTTCAAGTGAAAGGTGAAGCTACGCAATGGATTTGTGGAACTAACGGACAATGGGTATCCATCGATTCTCCTCAACTTGGATCACCTTCACCTCCCACATGTTACAGTAAGTTGCAATGAAGAATGTTAGATTGGTGAATGAAAATGAGAATGCAATTCTGTAACATAGTGAAATATGATTTAAAGTTTCAGATTTGTTACTAATAGTCTACATGTTTATGACTCTTTTTCATGCCCCTCGCTATCGCGACTTGATTTTATTTCTTGTCCGGATTTTTTTGGAAACTGTTCAATATTATGGAATTCAGAATCGATTTTCGTTTCATTATACATAAATACCAAATTATTCAAAACTGTATAGTACAGTAATATTTTCTAATAAAATTATAATTTATTTTTAAAGAAATTTTTAGTATATGATTCTGTATTTGACTAATCCAATCATAGACACATCTACGAGTAAAGCTGAAACATGGCATTATTACCGAATTAACCAACTTTTCAGGTAACATGACTCGTCCTGAACCAAGTCCATTGCCAGATGATATGTTGAAACCGGTGATAGGTACAGCTGCTGGTGTATTGGTTATATTGTCTGCTGTAATTCTTATTGCTTTCTGTCGACCTAAAATAAAGGATATGAAAAGAAGATGGAGGGAACTTAGAGAAGATGAAGTAAGATATTGTCCTACTTTGTTCGATATAATAAATTGGTAGCAAGTCTCACATTTCAAATATCCATATTATGATGTATTGTTTCGATTCCATGGAATATTCAATATGAATGGTAAAACTTGTAATCCCAATCAGAACACATTTTATTGGTATACCTTTTTTGCTGCATCCATTCCCTTTAAATTTAACAAGTTCAGGAAAAATAAGTTTGTTATATGTTGAAAGCAGCAAGATTTTTGTTACAATATGTCTATATCACAACTTTTCTATTTATTTTTATCAGGATGAACTAATCATAGATGGTCGTCGAATCATATTACCAAGTTACGAGGAGGCTGTAACCTCCCATGATTCTTATATGCAAATATCTGAACACGAACAAAGCACATCCAGTGCATACTACCAGCCTGATATTCCAGGTCCATCTTACCCCCGTGATACAAGGACAGACTCGGTTGATGATACTTCTTTGATATTACATCCCCATCCTAATACATCTAGGAGTCATGCTCGAGACTCTTCCAGTTCAGATGAGGAATTGTTGGTTCCTGCATCCACTGAGACTCTTTGTGAGAATTTAGAAGAATCTCGAGAACAAGTTTCAGATTTGAATAATAGATTATCGCAATCTCTAGTGATAACTGCTGGAACCTCAGCTGATTCTTTTGTGTTGATCAACCAAACACCACATAATCCATTATCTGAAAATTGTGACCTAATCACAAACTTTGATAATACACACGGAGTGACTTCACGTAAAGATTACCAAACTAGAGACCCATTATTGAATTCTGTGCCTGGAGAAAACTTATTCACAAATTCCGCACGGTGCAAACAGAATTCTGACTCGGAAAATGAAGCGAATTTTGATTCTATTCACCCTCAAACAATCATGATTAAACAAAATCGAAACCAAACCAGGTCAAATTTTAATGATGGACAACACCACCTCCTTTCATATCCTCTGGTAATAAAAGATGAAAATCATGATATTCACAACCAAGGAGAAAGTATTTCTATCACCATTGATGCACAAAATCTATGTAACCATGGTCCTGATAATCCATCAACCCAAACTGTTACGGAAGAATCTAAATCTACTGAAACAAAGGACGAAGGTAGGTGAATTTTTTTCATATGACGAATTTATATGCCTCTTTTCCAAGCGAGGCTTTGCACAAATAGCCACTGATAAGTAAGGATCAACTGGTATAGTTTTGGAAGGACTGGATACTTTTAGGTTCTGCATCGCCAACCCAAGTTATTACATCCTGTGTAAAATGGTAGGCATCGGATTTGAACCCAAGATTTTAATCACTTGGTAAATGCCTCGTGAAATAAAAAGCTTTGCTTGATTTATGGGGGACAAAATGGAAAGTCAAGACAGCTTAATAATATGGAGAGTCTTTTTGTTTGCCTGGTTAAAGATGATAGGTTCGAAGCCTATGCGCCTCATCTCACCCAGAGTGCAATAAAATTAGCTTTCTATATATTTGTTGTTGCTTGGCTCGGAGGTGTAAACACAAAAATAGATGTTTTATATTTCGTATTATACAGGTGCCATTTGATTCTTCCATTTTCTGGTCCATCCCAAATTATTTTCCCATTAAATCATCAAGATCTCAACTTACAATGCTGACATAGTTTGTAGAGTAGAACTGCTCATTTTCCTAGTGATCACAGAGAAAGTGAGAACAGTTTCAACAACAAAAACGTTTTCATGTCACACCTTCCTATTTTCAGAGTCGTCATCAACATTACCAAATTCCAATCATATTGTTATGTCATCACAAAATCTTGACAAACAACGCCTTGATATTTCTGATGAAACTGGATCAACTGCTGTTTAAGGAAGTGGAAAGATTGCCTTATAGAAGTATATTGTGCTAACCAACCACTAGTTATATTTTGTGTAAAAAACACTAGCTTCGATTTTGCTTTTTTGTATTCCTAGCAATTTAATACATTTGGTTATGTTAGGTAATTTCAAGAAATTAGTATATCAATGTATATTTAGGTTATTGTTACATTGCTTATTTGAATATGACTAAGATAATCCTTATAGTACTGAACTACTAATACTGAAAGGATTTATTCTTATTTAGCTAAATTGCCTTTCAAGCACTTTTTTTTTTGGTTTCTGTCCCACAACAAAACTTTAGCATTTTTTGTTATGATATAAGTGCTCAAATCTGCTGTAGATTGTTTTATTTTATGTCTCAAATAGATCGTGATGTATTCCATTGTTACATCAAAATAGTAGCATTGATTTATAATTCTTTTTACATACCTATATTTTATCTCCCAAATCCTGAATGTGTAAATTTCATGAGATATGTTTGGAAATGGTTTTTGATTGTATGGTAATGCGTGATCAATTTATAGTACTGTTATAGGTCTTATTAAAACTTCCAGCACAATAAATATAGACCTTAGGTTGCTTTAAACATATTGTAACTAAAATACAAGCCAGCCTGGAATCTTGATATCAATATTCAGAAATTGTATTTAGAATGAAATTAGAACTATTTAAGATTTTGTGTAATCAAATTTACTGTTGTTCTCTGTCGTTGAGTAAGGAACCTTCCTTTCAGCTAACTTTTTCTCCTGTAGGGTTCAAAAAATAAGGTTTGTTTTTTCTTAATTGAATTCTTTGTGTATGACAAATGATTTGTTTTCGTAATTCATACCTTGTTCATAAAAGAACTTATGTTTTTGCCTTTGCTTGACCATTACTTCCTCATGATGGCTACTTTCTATGAACTTGAACTTCGATTGATATTGATTTTGTGAGATTATCATTTGCAGTAATATTGTCCTGTTTCATGTTTGTTGCTGTGTTGTACTTAATTATCATGTTCCCATATTTCCTTTATTTTAATTTTTTGATGGTGTTAAATCCTGACTGTCTTCTTTGCATGCAGCTTAAAAATTGCCTCTTCACAAAATGCCCGAACGCGCCTCGAAGCCTAGTTGGTAATATTAGTAGCTGTGCTGAAATTTATATGGTGTTTTTCTGGCTAGCCCATTCGATTTTAAAAGAATGCTGCGTATAAACGTCTGAATAGCATCAATATGACGTTTGATCAGCAATTTCCCCTAAGCATTTTTTTAACAATGAATATCTCTTCTTGCTACTGTTCATCTCCCTTTACTCTTGTTGAGTTTTATGTTCCGTATATATATACCGGTCTCCACGCATTATTTGTTGCTGTATTATTTTTATTCACTGTGATGTGTTGATTTTGTTTTGTAGTGGATTGACCAATTTGTTATTCTAATTTGATTTTATATCTGTATTTTACTGTCGTATCGCATGCACGATTTATTTACTAATGCTCTGTCGAATAAAATTTGTCAGAATGCAAAGCTATTTTTTGCAAGGGTTTTACATTACCATTCTCCCAGGCTGAGAAGCGATGTGCTAGTTTATATATCGGAATATTGATCAATAATGGCTTGTTGACCAACATGTTAGAAATTGCATTCTTTAATGTCTCCAGGGAAGCTAATGAGACCTATTATGTGGAACCATGGTATCTCTCACGGGACCCATGCAAGTCTTTCAGCTAGAGCTAGACAGGTAGAATGATAGATGTCATAAAGTAGGTCTTCAGAAAGTCTATTAATCCCTGGATGGGATTGGAGCTTAAATGTGGCAGTGCCATGTCAAGTTTGTTCATACCGTTTCGAGTAGTATTACGTCAGCCTAGCCGTGAAGATTTTGTAAGTTTGGTAAATGTAATTCGGAAAAGCGTAGAAAGCTTCTATAGTCTATATCTATACTAATCAATTGGCATTGAACCTTCAACTTTTTTGTAACAATTGTCAAATTGCAGTTGTACAATGTGTTTACTGAGTATAATTTGTCAGAGATGCTTTTAAGAACAAATAAAATAGGTTAAATACATACCGTAAAAGCAGGTAACTTCGGATGATTTCACTATATTATGAACAATTTCTCCGCCGTTTATTGTTCAATTGAAGCCAAACTTGGAATATAATACATTGAAGCCTTTCTCCTCGCGATAAACTCGGTTTCATATCAATCAATACTTTTTTTCATTCAAATTATTGACTTTATTTGCCTGCCGATCTGTATTCCAAATGTTTATAACTTCGGATGGCCACTTTTCGCTTTGCGTCACTTCGTCGTGAGAGAGAAATGTCTGCGTGATCAGTGACGCGTGATAACGTCGCTGCGTAGAACTTACGACGCCGTGATTCGTTTTGCGTGTCGCACACTGACGTTCATCTATGACGGCCGTTTTTGTGATTATTAATTCTTCCGGGTCGGCGGACATCAAAGTTTTATATATCTGGTGTACCCGTGTGTTTACATCGGCAACAGCTCTTGAAGACAAGAAGGACTGATTTCAAAACCCAAATTAATTTTGTTCTGATTTAATCTTACGTGTTGGCTTTGATCTTACTTATCTTGTATACTATTAATCGTTCGAGTTTACAGCGAACGGTGATATTATTATCGTCGCCGAGATGTAGATATTTATTAAGACGATGATTGATGTTGTTATGCTTTGCACCCGCGATTGTGCGAATACTGAATTTTTATTTATAATAATGATTGAATAAATCGGCCGTTATGCATTTATACTTGTCATAAGGCTTTTGGTCCTGATAGCGGGTCGGACACTAATTATAACTATTTCCCTCAAGTTTTAACTTTTTTTTTGAACAAAACAATACCCCAACGGTTATTATAGCTAAAACCGTTACCGACTAATTCACAATTTTATCTGCGGAATTTGCGAACTCAGCACTTTACTCGACGATTTTGACTGTGTCGCGCCATAATTATTACCGCTAAATGCTTCAAAATACAACGCATGTAATAATTTTGCCCAGCCCTATTCCTGACGTTTCGCAAAACTAAACCATTTATCTCTTGACTATTCTTAATTTCATGAAAGTGCTATATCTTGCTATTATGATCGTTTCAATACGAAACAAAAATGAGACAACATGGGACAAATGAAAATAAAAAACGGACGAATAAAATAAGTCGTAGAGGTAAAAATGATTTTTAATACAAAACAAAAATGAAACGAATGAAAATAATAAAAAAAGAAAAATGGATGATGAATTACGGTAGGTAGTAAAAGTAAAAAAAATGGAAGTGGACAACAATATGGAACAGTGTAGCTTGTGGCCGTGTTGATAATTCAGATATAATGTATTCACAGGCAGATAGACATGAAACGGATAAAAACGCCAAAAACCTCCAATCTCCTGCTGTGTGCACCTGTGCAGAGTTTCATGCTCACCTGTGCAACATTCTACTCTTAATATATTATCATCGCCGATCGTAAAACCTTGTCATTGTGATAGTATAGATACGCGTATCTGGCTGTTCATCAGCCTTACGTATCAACAACATCTATACGGTCGAAGAATGCCGAAATGTTAACACACAAATTTAATGTGCATTAATCGGATTCACAATAAATAAACAGCATATGACCGGGGCTATAATTAAGTTTTTGTAGGATTTGGTGACGAGGATCAGGTAGGAGTTTTCACTTTATATTTAACTACACGTGGCGCCACATAGTCTGGCGTTCAAATGTCGCAGCGAGTTACGCACGAGCTACGCAATGTGACGTCGGCCTTAAATGGAGCGAAATTGAATCACGTTGTTGACGTCACGGTCAGCGTAAGCACCGTAACGTCGATATTTTGACGAAATTTTTAAATCAAAATAATATATTTTACTTGAATCTCGTACGACATCTCGTGATCACTGTAATTTTCCTTGTACATTGTGTATGCCCTCTAGCGATTGACGGTCTTTTAGTGAAGTTAGCGTCGATAGAAGTCGCTATTTTAGCCGTTCAAAAGCGAGGTGTCAATTTTTGGCAAAAAGGTGATTTTTTGTGTCAAAAAATAAATCCTATTAGGCGACTGAATATGATAAGAGATTAAGATATATAAGGACTCTCTATAGAAACTGCCAGAAGCAGAATATGACGTAATTTAGTCGAGATATAAACGATTGAAAATTTCATCCGAAGTTATAAACCATCCGAAGTTACCTGCGTTTACGGTAGATGCTTGAAAACTAAACGATTTCAAAATAAATGCTGCTTTCCAGCAAAGCGAGTTGAGTTGATCTTAATCGTGCAGATCGGGTATCATCACACTTGTTCGGACTGATAGCAACTCCGTCTTTTCGTCAATCACTGTTGCCTGAGACTCCATGCTTTTTATCATATACCTATAGGAAATGGAGTTATAATATATGTTACAAAGGATTGGCCACAAAACTTAGAGTTGGGAATCACGATGTCATCTGAATAAGGTGATTTTTGTCATTTATAATGTGCATGTTACGAGAAGTGCAGATATTGAGGAAGAGCTGTGCTAGGGTGACTATGTATATTTATATTATATTATTCTATACAAGCCAGAATATTTTGGAATATTTGGAAACCGGTGATATTACATTTTTACTCCCTTTATTTAACATTGTTGATATCATATAACATTTTACTTCCATAAACGTTGTTTTAACTTTCAAAAAAATTCCATTGCACGAAAATTACCACTACTGCAGTTCATTCTACCTCTTTGGCGGTAATTCTTAGCATACGGGACTGGATGAATCCGCAGCTATGCAACATGCTGCTAAGGTATCCATCTTTGTTTTTCAGAAGTAGGTGAGGTTCACCGAACTCTTGAACTTGCCCTTGATCGAGTACCTGCAGTAATGAGTCAAGAGAGTACCGAGTGACCTTTTGTCGCGGACCTTGTTCAGTGTCCGTATTTACATTGTAATATACAGATTATGATTTCATATATATACTATTATGTAGACTCTGATAGCTGTTTTAGCCAGACTACCCGAATTCCAATCGGATATTGGGACTCCGATCATATCATAAGCGAGTGAAAATATATTATTCGTCGGTTAGGCGGTCGGCTAGCTTTTCTTTTGTTATTTCAACATGCCGGGTTGTTGTTTTTTGATAAATGACGACTCATCCAGAATCTTGGACCTTCTAACTAACATAACAACTACAGTTGGTGTTTTAAATTGATGTAAAATGAAAAGGGATCGTATAATAATAGATGAGTACACCATACGTTGGATAACACCTAACAAACCACTGCAGATGTTAATAGTTAGCTTACCAAGATCTTATCTGAATCGATCACGGTATTGATTCTGTGTGCAATAGTAATAATTGTACAATGCTTAAATCTTTGACGAAGAGTTTCTTGAATCATGCGATCAGTTCTGGAAGAAATAACAAAACAATGAAGCACCAGGTCGTTGTTGCTACGATACTGAATTCAATAAGCATGCATAGTTAAATATGTTTTATCTGATTAAAAGTAAGTGCTGATAAATTGTGAAAATATGTGAAACACCCCCGATTTTTACAAATCGATACGATTAGAAACAAAAAATAAACGTAGCCTACTCCACGTCCACATTAGCTGTGGCTTCGTCGATCACCAAAATTTTACTCTTCTTTAAAACCGCTCTAGCGAGACAAACCAGCTGTCTCTGCCCTGAGCTAAAATTAGATCCAAACTCGGCAAGTTCCGTCATCAACCTCATGGGGAATGATTCAATCGAATCTTTCAATTGTACCTGTGAATTCAAAAAAGGCAAAGATATATATGTATAGCATTGAAAATGGTTTACCCAATTGGAAATTTCAGGCGAAATTATTATTTTGAAATGAAAGAAAAGACAAATTAAATGAGTCAAGCGCAACACTAAATGCCATTAGTCAAGTTGTTTTAAAATTATGAATATTAACATTTACAGAAAAATCTTTACGATACGAACCTGTTTTAAGGCTTTCCATATGTCTTCGTCGGAATATTGATTGAAAGGGTCTATGTTCTTTCTTAAACTGCCAGAAAAAAGCATGGGATCCTGACAATGTAAAATAATAGCGAATATATAAAAAATCATTAATTCTTTTACCATAGATTCTTCAACTAAACTCTACCTGTGGAATTATACATATTGCACTACGCAGAACAGATAACTTTAAAGTGTTGATACATTCGCCGCCGATGTATATTTTGCCGTCTTTCATAACTGCAAGGCGAAGAAGAGCAGAAATAAGTGAACTCTTTCCAGCGCCTGTTCTACCCACAACTCCGACCTGTTAAAAATTTTCTATTTGATATACATTACTTGACAAATCTAAAGCAAAGTTGAACATAAGGTAACAAAAATCTTGAAAACAACACCTTTTCTTTATCATAGATCTCAAAATCAATGTCCCTTAACACAGTTGGACCATATTCATGGTAAGCAAATGAGACATTTTCAAAACGTATGGCGCCGCTAATTGGCCAATTTTTCTGATGTGTTTTTGGTGGAATTTTAATGTCCGGCTCAGGAAGTATATTGCAATACTGCAGAATTCTTTCAACAGATGTCATCTGAAATTTGTTAATCAAATAATTAATTTTTAATATCTTAAAGAATACGAACTGCACTGTTTTAATCGTAGTTAATCTAAACGCATATCACAGTGAATAAACAATATTGGGTACTCCCTATTATGTGTACCAGGTTAGGGTTAGGCCATAATTTCATTCCGATTTTTCTTATTTTAGTTCTATTACGAGTTCAGGGACTGTCTGTGTTATCCAAGTGAATGTTCCTCTGCCCATAGGTTTCAGACCCTTCAAAAAACTTGGCGTAAAATAGGCGAACAAGATTAGATACTTCCATATTGGTACACACACTTCTGGAGCGCTCAATATTGCATCCATAAACGCCGAAAACTCTCAATTGTTTAAAATGTCTTTTTTCCAATTTTTTATACTGTAGACACCTTGAACTACTTACTAAGTTTTCAACTTCAGCGCTCTGGCGAACACCAAACTGAAACATGTGTGTCATCGACACAGAATATGTCAAAATCAGACCGACTTGTCCTGCATTTAATCCCAATACTGAAGAAGCGATAACACACATAAATGCCACAGATGAGACAAACATTGCTGTGATTAAATCCAACCTCAATCCAAACCACCTCGAACAAACGAGAAATAGAAACCACGAGGCTGGAATAGAAAAGTTATGATGTACAAATGTATCTGGATTTTCGAACACAACGATTATATTTAAAGATGGTGACCGTACATTTGAACCCATGCGTATATCCACGGGTTCAATCTATATGCGGGTGCTAAAACCCATGGGTTAGGGTTAGTATGGGTTTAACTATCCGTGAAACAAAAAAAATTCATAGGTGCAATAGCATACAGGTGCAATTGTCATGGGTTCAAATGTACGTGGGTTCAAATGTAATGGAACCTTTAAAGATGTATGTAGCTATTACTTGATTAAGAATTAAACTAGTAATTGTGTTAAACTAGTAATACCTTGGTTTGTGGTGAAGAGTGAAGACGAACACCGATAGAACGTCTCAATCCCATGGCGTACCACGGTCACTCGTCCGGTTACCATTAGAGTTAATTCGCCAGTTATTTGTTTCATATGCATGGACTTGATAGTGGAGAAAACCGTAATAATATTATTTCGATTTTATCATTCTAATATATATGTATAGCCCGTATAAAATAGTTTGACATAAAATTAATTATATATGTATCTTATCACCTCCGTGCATATCCTGGTATTCGTTGAATCTGTTTTCAAATTGATTTTGAGCGCCAAAAGAACGGATTGTTGGCAATCCTTGTAGAGTGGAAGAAACTAGACTAAATATAGGACTTCGACCTTCGTATATGAAAATTTAAAAGCTTAGTATTTGCCTACAATGGGATAGTGATTGCTCGATAAGAATTCTTGTATGACATTACCTGTTTAATATTAATTGCATACAATCCACGGCATACGAAAAATAGGATACATGATTTTTGGTGAATATATTTTTTATTATTAAGAAAATGATACAAAACAGTTTACATATTCCTTCCAATCGTTTGATGTCCCTCGATGTTTTCAAGTAATATCTTTGTAGCCATAGAAAATATATTATCAGTGGAATGAAAATAATAATCACGAAGTAGTTTATAATTGTCACCATCACTACTACGCTAACTAGAAGAAATAACATCTGAAAATAAATAGAATTTTATGTTGATATACATAAAAGGTTCCAAGTTTATAAAAAGGAACAACAACTAAAATTATCATTTCATTATTTTTATATTCAGTTTTGCCATAAGCAGATAATTTCTTACTTACAAAGAGAAAATCGTGAAAAACGACCGGTAAACGTTCGTCAATTAGTCCAATGTCCTTCGAAAATCGATTAAGGATTCTTCCTAGGGGATAGAAAAACGTGATATGTCAATATTTCAAATTTAAAAATTTGTTATAATGAGCTCCAACTGAACAAAAAATTGCAAAATGCGTGAATTATGCTAACAACGTGTTTTCTCGAAAATAAGACCTAGCCTGAAAATAAGTCCTAGCTAAGACCTAAGAGATTAGTGGCGCGAAATTTTTCTGAACCTAGTCGATAGCAAGAAATCTCTCCTTCACGTTTTAAATGATTAATATAAAATGTGTGAAAGAGGGAAAGGTTGAATTACCTGAGGTAACGTGAAGATCACGCCACGATTCGTATTTTGTATATTTGAAAAGCTCGTAATTCTCTACTTTGTAATTTTGTTTTTGTTAAATGAGAATAAAAGACATCCCCTATAAGCCCTAGTGTCATTTATTGAAATGGAAATATGTCGCTTTAATTTAGGGGTAACACGGTAAGTGTGTTAACTTCATACCACAACCGGAATTCTGTTGGATAGAAAACGTATCGGACAATATGATATGCGCAGCCGCCAATGCCGTGTATTATGATTTGCTTCCCTTGCTGGTTAGCGCTTTGTAATAATTCAACCCGAAGCCCGTATGCATGCAACAAGCTTTTGCTGGAAGTGCCGTCAGCGGGGTGGGGTTGGCATTGTCAAAGAATGTTATTTTAGCCGGTGATTGAATGATGCAAGTTTGTGGGATTATGTAATTCTAGGATATCCATCCTTGCCGTATATCACAGTGGCCAAGTGAATATTTCTTTATAGTACAATCAAGATAATATGATTTCAAGTCCACGGTATATTTGTATATTTTGTATCCTATATTTTCTTGTTGCACGCGAAGTGACCATATTGATAGTGCCGTTAAATCGAATGACTACGAGTGCTTACTAACCTCGGATGGAAATTTCAAGTCGGTATTGCTTCACTAAAAGGCCGCATATCTTACTCTTGTCATAGCAATTGCATTATTTCTATAGCAAGCACTAAAATTGTTAAACATTTTGTCTCGTCTCGACATCTCGGATGGAAATTTTATACGATAACTTTACCATTTAAGGTCCAAGAGACGACAAATTCTCACTGAGTAAATTTAGCTTCGCATATATGAGGTATCACTGGGAGAATTAGTTGTCACTTGGACCTTAAATGGTCAAGTTATCGTATAAAATTTCCATCCGAGATATCGTAGTCTCATCATCATATGGGTCTCTTTGTCGTAGTCACTTGACTCTTATGTTCATATATTTCAGCATAACTCTTATGTTATTCCCTATAACTTCCCAATGCCACACAATTCGGTACTACAATACATATCATTCGCGTCTGAAATAGGAATATGGCCGTTCTCACCTGCAGGATTAATATCGAAGAATCGGATCGGGGCGTTCAGGAGTGATTGAAACATCTTTTTGTGCATGTTGAATGCAGATTTCGTACATATATAGAAATGCATATTTGTCTGTAGCAGCAATATTAAAACGGTTCCAACAACAAATCCTAAGTTGAAAAATAATTATGAAGTTTTTGTTACAGATAAAATCATATATTATTCCTAAATTCGTTGCGATCACTCGGAATTATCGCTTAGAAGGGACTTACGTTGACGTTTATATTGAAAGTACGAACTGGCTGTTGATTTAGTCAGAATAACTTCAGGAGTTATATCTTCAAAAATACATAAGTTGAGAAATAATACAGTTATAGCTTTATAGGATATACATCCATCATTAACTACTTATATTGGAGAGGTGGTTATAGAGGCAATTATAAAGCAATTTTGACCATAACAATAACATCACAACCGCCAAGAATAACTAAACGATCAACAGCTAGGATCGATTTGTATCTTGTAATAGCTGCCGAATTTTCTGGCAACAGTCTGCATATTATATAATGTACATACTTACCAATGTAAACATTTTTGTAAAACTTGTCATCAAAGTTTTTTATTTTAGTGCTATCGGTTGACAATTTTGTTCCATTTGCTGCTGTAGTTGGCTGAGAAGTGTTTGAGGTCGCTGAAGTAAAGATGTCTTCGTGTTTGGATATCCTGATAACACAATATAGAAATGTGGCTATTCTCAATAGGCGGTGCTTTGTCAATAAATGATGCTTGTTTGAAAGAATTCATTTCCCATGAAAGAATAAGCTACATTTTTCTTCATTTTTGAAAAGATCACACTACATTAAAATGCTCATTGTTGTAATAAGTGATATATGCTATTTTTAAAGTTCGCTTAAACCTTTTTAAAAGGGCCGCAACATCTGAATTGGTGTTGTTTCAACGACCATCGCCTCCTGAAATCCGAAATTCCCGATTTGGAGAGACGAATCCTTTTTGAAAAGATCACACTACATTAAAATGCTCATTGTTGTAATAAGTGATATATGCTATTTTAAAGTTCGCTTAAACCTTTTTAAAAGGGCCGCAACATCTGAATTGGTGTTGTTTCAACGACCATCGCCTCCTGAAATCCGAAATTCCCGATTTGGAGAGACGAATCCTTTTTGAAAAGATCACACTACATTAAAATGCTCATTGTTGTAATAAGTGATATATGCTATTTTTAAAGTTCGCTTAAACCTTTTTAAAAGGGCCGCAACATCTGAATTGGTGTTGTTTCAACGACCATCGCCTCCTGAAATCCGAAATTCCCGATTTGGAGAGACGAATCCTCTTATAGTGTGCATACCTTTTAGGGGGCATATTTTGAATCCGAACGCTATATAATAACTTGTTTAACCTTTTAAAATCTAGCCCAAGTGACAATTTTGCGTTACAAATTAAGAACCAGTATCGATTGGTATACTGAACTAATGCCTTTATAACTCAAGTTGTAAATTACCAATATGACAGCCACCAATCGGTCATTATGTATATGACATGTCCTGCCAAAACAATCAGAATGAAAATCGTCATCAAAATTACACTTGCTCCGGATCGGAAATATTCAATATACACTTTTCCTTCAACATCCCCATGCTTCACTTCTTCGGGTTCTATGGCTTGGAATTTTGTCTGCAACACACAAACATGCACAATGTCAATACAGGCATTTAGGAGAACACTATGCTTCAAGCAATTACAATAGATAATATATATATATGCCGAGCGCATTAGCATCTGTTGTCAAAAATACTGCAAACGATTATGTTTATACATCAATGTTTGTTACAAAATAATATGTCTCTTATTTGAATCCAACTGGAGGTAATTCCATGATTTTTACGCAATAACATCAGCTTGCTATATTATTACAACCATAACGAAATGCTACATTACCATGTCAGGGATTTCAATGGACGATATAATTGGATCCCGGTGCATAGCTTGATTGGAATTATTTTGTTTTGGTTGGAAGGATATCATCAAGGAAGCTCTACGTTTAGTTTGAACTGAGCCTTCCATGGAATTTCCATTATGACATCCCAATGAACTGAATGACTTGTTACGGTTGACGCGAGCATGAGGCATTTTTGTGGCTTCTTCGGTGTTCACGTTTTCAATAAATCCTGAAAGATGAACAAGAGAGCAATGCTTAAATATATGGGATTGACACAAATTCCAAAACGCCGTAGTACGGGTGCGCAATCTGTTACAGTGGGCTACCAGTACCAGACGTCACGATGTCATGAAAACGTGGAAGACAGCCATCACGATGTCATATGAACGTGTTCTCATAACTAAATCTTATACATCGCATTGTGATAGCCTTCTAGCAAAAAATACAACTTTTAACCACTGAATATTTCAAAGCAATTGATCTGTTAGTGAGTGAGAAAAGCAATTTTTTCTTAAGATAACAGGATGAATAACAATAACACGATAACAAAACGATGCACAGGTCCATTTCATGTCCAATAAGTCTGGAACAATTCCAACTATATTTTATCGCCAGATGATCATCGCTGTTTTACATGTAATGTAATGCATTTAACGCTTATTATTAGCAGTTATAGATAATGGGTTATGGGCCATCATGCTGGACCAGATGAGACACAGAGGAAACAAAATAAGGTAAAACTGAGATTCAGATTTAGCTGAATACTAGCGCAAAAATGTATCAGCAGAAGCATATAAAACACCGTTTAGCAAGCTCCGATACGCCGTCTCTTCCGTCGCTAAATGTGGGGCAAAATCAAATCCTTCGGACTCTAGTTTGCTGTAATTTCCTTTTCGGGACACTTTACCCTGGCAATTGCAAAAATATTATGTACATTGTATTTGTTGCACTTCATCTACAAATAATCTCAACCTGCATGTCTCAGCAATGGCTGACTGACAGTTAGAGGTTTTGTGATATATATTGTATAAATTAATGCATTGTCGAGATCTGCAACGTGCGTCGTATTTTATATGTGTTTTATATTCTATTTAGATTTTTGTCACGAATGTCATATGCTGAAAATGAGGAATAGTTCAAATATATGTACACAAATGTAAAACTTCCAGCTATGTAATATACTTTTATTTCTATTACAGATCATTGAATTTGCTAAATATTCTGAATATAATCAGATAAAATCAATGTAGTAACTATCAACTATCAATCAAGTAATAACTATTACCTTAGAAAGGACCATTATTTCATCAGCTCTCTTCAGCAAATGCATTTGATGTGTAACAAGTATTCGAAGCTGTATATTAAATCAAATAAATATATATATATCATAACTCAATCTGATAACTTAGTTAAATTGGGTAAATCTATTCTTCAAACCCATACTTTGAGCCTAACGCAAAGCGGTTGAAGTAGAACTTTTTGCTACCTCATAACATAGTTTTATTTCCTATTATTTCATAGTATTATTAATCACAAATGTAACAAAACGTACAACCCAATGAAAGTGTTGGCGGTTGGCGTATCATGGCGCTAAGCGTTAGAGTAGGCGGATCACCCTGCATGATGCGCCAATATATTCAAATCTCGTCCGAGATTATTATTTGCGAGCTTGCTCGACTTTTCGCATAGTTTCAGCACCCATGCATATGGAACGATTACTTACGGTAGTTCTCCCGGTACCTGGCGGACTGGGCGCTAACCTTCGCTAACAGTTAACGTGACCGTCAAGTGTAAACGAGATATTTCATGAATCTCGCATAAGAGATTCCGGTATTGAATATTTGACAGTCGCCGTTACATGGTCGTAAACCTTACTTTTTAGAAAATTTCATAATGGCTTCTCTAATCTGGAATTATAAAAAACCACGGAAGAGGCCGATATCCAACATATGAGATAAATATAATACGTTTGTCATATTTCTTTCTTAAAAGGCTAAAACGTACCTTATTTTTTAATATTCCCATAATACAGAATTGAAATATATGTCTGGCAACGGACACATCAACAGAACTTAGGGGATCGTCCAATAAAAAGATATCCGCATCTCTTCTATAAGCTGCGCGTGCAAGGTTCACTCTTGCTTTCTGTCCACCGCTTAGAATAACACCGCGCTCGCCAACAAGAGTCAAATCGCCATCAACCAACGAAGACAAATCCTGATAAATAAAATAATAATATCGCTGAACTTCATATCCCGAAACTTCGAAGTCGATTACAAGAACAGACCTAATTTCTAGAAAAAATTCATTTCGGCAACTTTCAAGGATGTTGCATTAATACGGCATACTCACCTTATTCAAACAGCAAGCTCCTATCACTTTACTGTACCAAATAGAATCATAGGGTTGTCCAAATAATATGTTTTCTCTGATGGTGCCTGAAAATATCCAGGGTACTTGACCAACGTACACTGACTTGCCTAGTACTTTTACTTGTCCTTTAGTAGGTGGCAACTCTCCCAGTATTGAGTTTAAAAATGATGACTGTGATGTGAATAACAATAAAAATTAAACAACAAAAACCAAGCAAGCAAATACTACCACTTAGATTGAGTTATTAATCGCCACCTCACTTAGAGCACATCCAGAGAATGTACGGTAACTCAAAAATTATGACTCAGAATGCGATAATGAAATATTGAGTTTTCGATCAACAAGTGGTATATATTTCCATTATTTCTGACCGCTTTTGTAATTACGATACCGACGATTAAAAAAAATTCTTCCAATACTTTACTCTGGAAAATTGGATGACGCCTGTTTGAGAGTGTTTTGGAGAGTCGGCGCTCACAAACTGGTTTACATGTTAAAAAGAATCAACGTTAAAAAAAAAACGTTATTGTCAATTTATTGCTGATTAGTCACACTTTGCTGGACGAACTCGTTTCGGATTTATGGCATAGTCCCCAGAGCATAAATTCAAATTGATGAAAATAATTCAAATTTACGCGTATCATCCAAGAATATTTTTGTTATTTACCTTTCCTGAAGCAACTTGTCCAATGACCATAAAAAGTTGTTTAGCTTCTATACGAACGGTTATATCTGATAGAGTATTATGAAGTAATTCTGCATTGTCATTCTCTTCATTATTTTGTATCGAAGCATCCCACTTTCCAAAAAAGTTTTTGATTTCGATTAACGCTTCTTCGTGTTTTCCCAACTGTTGAATTGAGTTACGACGATTGGATGATCTGTTGATTTCGCCCATCATCAGATAATCCTAAAAGTACGAGATCACATAATCTACAGCGTTGACTTGCAGTTGAAAACCACCAGAAATATAGAGTTTATTCAATACCAAAAAATATCAGTGCATTGTGCAATATTACCTCTATTCTCTTGATTGAAGTTTTTGTTTCAAACAAAAGTTCAATGCCAACTCCAAATTTATACGCAACGTGACCTTGAAAACGGAGGATACCAATGATCGTAGAAACCTTAATGAAGAAATTATGATTATAGTATTTAGTTATCTATATCTCTTTGTTTTCTTTTTATTCAACAGCACATTATGAAAAACATTGCAAATATCATAAAAGAAAACTGTAACTAACTTTAGTTGTGTGATAAAAGTTGCGAGAGAACTGGCAGGGCCTTCATTTGGCGACATCTATAACGTTGATTCAGATTGACGAGTCAAATTTAAACTTACTTTTTGGCCAATGTTTGTCAAAAATTTGAAAATTATTCAGAAGGTCCAGTTTTTGAATCGATAGCATTGGGGTGCAAACGCTTTTCATTGTGACGTTGAATATCGTGTACGAGAGACAGAGCTTTCAAACTTTTTGTATGCGGAAGATTGTTCAACCCACAGCAGAGCAGTTCTCAATCAACCGCGCCCATGTATTTCACAGGTTAATTAATTTGAGTGGTAGTGATTTCGCAATGATTAAATTTAAACCTCACCTAATACCTAACACTTACTTTAGATGCGGTTAGAGTTCCTTCCATCTCGACATATGTCAATAAAATTCCAAGCGTTAATATTTTATCTTGGCACAATGAAACACATATATTGAAAGCCCTTATAAATGAAGAAAGGAAGATCTTGTTGACTTCTTTCCTGCAAATCAAAACATATATGATCTGATGAAATAACCTCTCGGTTTCAATTACGAGGAGAGGTTTATTGGCATATATATCAAGCAAAAGTTTTTTGATTAATTTTGTAGATTGGGTTATTGATGAATTTGGTTTAATTTGATGAAGTTGGATTTATTTAGCCAATATTTATAAAATAATTAACATTATTTGAAATTATTAAATTACCTACTTTCTGGCATCAGAAACGAGTTTGGCAAATGGTTTTTCCCAGGCGTACATTTTTATAACACGCATCCCAGTTATTATTTCGCTCACAAGTCGGATTCTATCATCTGTTAGATGAGCTATCACGCTTCTGAAAACGAATATATACGTTGAACCTGTAATTTTTCAAAAACTATCCCAAATTATTAAACCTGTTCAAAATGTTATCAAAAATATATGATACAATGGATAATTACACGAATCGATAATATTAGAGTATATAATTTCACAGGCAAAACATTCATAAAATAATTTATTTCTTCAAGCCAGCGGTTCCGAAACTTTTTGTTCGCGCGGCCCCAAAAACTCAAGGCGCACTCACACGAAAAAAATTGTGATCGTTAATGTGTACTTTATGTCTTTTGAAGTTTGTAAAAATGTAGGCAAAAGGTCAACTCTTCTTCCTCATCTATGCATGTTTTTTTTTAAATGCTAAAAAAATCACTCATGTTCGCTAAACTCGGTTCAGCAGATAAACAAACTGCTCCTCACGAAATCGCAGCAAGTAGTGTCTATCTCTATTGTTACGTAACAATATAGAGGGAGACTACGTAACAGAAAGTAAACGGCATAGAAATGTAAAATTAATTTAATAATTGATATATATACACATCATTTGAAATAGGAAACAATAAAACATATATAACAAACACAATATGATATATATTCAATCATATTTTAGTTATGATTAAAACACAATTCTGTTAATTTTCGCGGCATACTTGACAACTCGCGCACTAATGCGCCGCACCTTTTGGGAACCGCTGGTTTAGGCATATTCTAGAATCTGGATATTATCAATAACATGTGGTATTATTAGACAATAAGAAACTGCTTTCATTACGTTATTACCTTAACTTTCCGTGACTTCGACCAATTAATGACTGAACGCAGAATGTCGACACAAGAAGAGCTATACCGGTAAGTATCGCTGCCCCAACTTCCTGCCAAAGTATCATTCCAATAACAATGCAATGCACTGGTCCGATCCAAATATAATGAACAAATTGAGGACTCTAAAATTATATTTACGATTTTTTTACTTTTGTTACAATTTGCTTAGCTTATTACAATTAGCCAGACTGTACTTTATATTGCTTCGCAAGTATTTTTTGCTGCGGAATTTTCTCGTTGTAAAACTTTTCACGTTTGGGAACAGGTATTGTAAAATCAATTATACGTTTAGGCAGAAATTTTTTAGATGTTAATCGTCGGTGCCATTGCCGTATAAATGAAAAATTCTCAATATAATTTCAACAAATACTTTTGTAGATTCATCAAAATACACTCACGTAATCAAATCGCACGACATCATTTGAACTGAGATTGACTATTTTGCCGGTTGTCGTTTTATTTAGTGATTGATGACTTAGTAACAGGGTCTAAAGAATTTAATATTCATTAATTAAAGGGTTAGTCGGTTGGATCAATGCACTTGAGAAATGTCAGATTTTTCATGAGTTCTAAAAAATTGTTGTACATGGTCACTCCAATCTTTTGTGCCACTCCTTGAAGTTGTGTACCTGTTGTGTGAAGTACTTCACTCGAAAATGGGAGTTTCATTGCTTTATCATTTTTTTAAACAGCACTTTTTCAAAACACTTGACAACTGGTCTAGTCTAGAATCGAGACATTTATCGAACATATATATATATAATATGTGAACTTGGTAACTAACTATGCGCTAAACTTAATTAGAATAGGGTGAACGAATACTAGCACTGTTTATAAATTTTAGCGGATCAATTGAATTATAAAACAAATTATACCTTCTTATACATGATACAGCGAATTGATGTTCTAATATGCCATCCAAGTCTCTGCAGCTGGTAAAACAGTGTATGATGCATGAATGCTATGACTATTGAGACAAGACTTATTGCAGCAGCGTAGGCATATGCTTGCCAGGCATCAACTGAATCCTGATTTTCGAAATAGCTGACCAATCCTGCAATAAGAAATGGTAGTCCCGTACGAAGACTATCCTAAAAGAAAAAGATAGTAAGAGAGAGAGTAAACAGTAAGTTGAAAACCGACGTAAAACTTTCAAGGACAGTATAATATACCACGATGACAAGAAAAAAGCCTGAAACCACCATCCTCTTCCAATAAGTCTGAGCCATTACAGTGAACAAACTCGGTCTTCTCGATCCGCGTGATTTTTCTACTTCTCTCTTCCAGTTTCTAAAAACAAAAGTTGAATTGAATGCAATTCAAGTACAACACCCTGTAGGAATAGGGTGCGATATGACACGGTCATATTATTTCGAAATTTACAAAAAGTACCGTTCCAAATGTTCGCAAAGTTCAGCCGATTTGTTAGATGATTCAAGTTCAAACATGTCGCTTTCCTCAAGTTTCTTCTTATTTCCTTGCACGAATGAGTCATTCAACCACCTGAGAAGTACAATTTGTCATTTGTTTGCAGGGGCGGATTATGTCACTATGGTGCCCTAAGCACTGAAGACTTTGGTGTCCCCTTATATGTAATTTATTAATAAAAACAATAAACCACATAGGTAGGTGTATTATCCATTAAAAATAATCACAACCATCGGTAAATAGGACAACTTTTACATACATTTTTGGGTTTTTTAACTGTTATATATAGCCGATATCAGTGGTGTGATTCAGCCGGTTCGCATCGGTTCTATAGAACCGTTTCACGGAATTCGAAGCGGTTAGCATCACTAAAAAAAACATGTAACAGAACCGCCAAAAATATGACTTTTGTGATAGAACCGACTGACAGAAAGTTTGAATCCCACCACTGGCCGATATGATATATCGGCAAACACGCAATATCGGGCCGATATATCGGTTGAGCTCTAATCCTGAGGGAGTGTGACTATAAAGATTCATGCCCCCAGTCTCAACGTGAATTGAGATACCAAAGGATATAAGTCACAACTGCAGTTTGAAATTTTACCGGTACCTAGTAGTCTACCTCAGGGTGGTTCAAGGTTGCTAGGTTAAAGGACCGCAAAAACTTTTGAAGAGGTCTCGCGAGCCGCAAGTCGAAGAAAACCCAAAAGTGATCGAAATACCACGAGTTTACTTACTTCAAATTCAATAAACAACGAGAGTTTACCATTCTAATCAGACTATTAATATGTTGCATCGGTGGCGTTTTTTTAAAGAAGATATATAGAGCCTTCAGTTATTTTAAAATTAATTCCCGAGAATTGCCGTTATATTTTCCGCATCTTGCGTTTGATGTCGCTTCAAATTATATATCTTTTCGTGACAGATATTACTTGAAATCAAACCAGACACTGTGTGATGGGCAAGGAAACACGTTTCCGCCGTGTTTTCCTTATGTCACCTTTCTTGGGACACTCATTTTATTACGAATTGTTATATTTAAGTAATTTAAAAACTTGCAGCGTGATCAAGCTTAGTGCCATCGTCAAATAACAACCAAGTCCATCTGAGTTGGTATTTCGGGACCTATAAAAAAAAAAACTGGATTGCGCGGCGTTATGTCGGCTCTGCGTTTCGTCACTACTGTCACATGGCCCCCGCTTGAAAAAAGAGGAGTGTTTTTCTAAAAGAAAGGCACAAAGCGTTAGAAAAACGGGTCTAAATCTCGGGATCCCAACCCCAGTTGGAATAGCAAAAAAAAAACTCAAAAACTTTCTGCTATTAGATACAAATATACGCTAAAACTGTTCTGTGGGCCGCACTGGACCACCCTGTTCTATTTTATCAAAAAACTCCCGACTTCGCTGACCACCAGATTGTTCAAATGCGATTGTGGAACCGCCACATAGTGCAAATAGTTAATTGGTCCAATTGTTGAAGGGAAACGAATTTTTTTAAAACAAAAATGCAGCAAAAATTCTAGGAAGAAATAACAACAACAATTTAAGAAAATGACTCATAGGCCCATTTCTTGTCAAATAAATATGTTTCAGTGTTTATTTTTAATAAAGAAGATTATTTTGATACTTGATGACGACAAATAAGCGAACGGTTTGAAGTTTGAGTCGTCTGGTGAACTCGTAATATTTTAATAAACACGTGCTTATATTGTTTAATGGTTAATCAATCCAGCGCTGTTTGTTTGTAAGTTGTTGGTTATAAGAAGTGAATCGAAGTTGTTAGGCTCACCAATAAGTTAAAATAGAGAATATGTTCGCTTTCCGTTTCGGATTTTCCTTCAACATTTTCTTTTGCATGTGTTTCTGAAAAATAAGAAAATAAAAATCTTCTTAAAATATCAATATACCCAAATCCATTTCCTTCATAGTATGCATTCAGGGGAAATGCATCCACAAATGCGGAAAATGCCATTTTCATAGTAATTGCTCGGCAACGTCTCCTGATTACTGATCTTTCCAATTGAAAACCGGAGACAAGTACATCCCAGATTTTTGTATCATGCAAATGTTGCTGCTCATATGATTTCACATAAGTATAAAATGTAGTCATTTTTATTATACAGATTTACTCAATGCACCAGCGTTCATTAGGCTAAGAAAAACCTTAACCAAAAGCATAGGTGCGATCATCTCAAAAGTCACGATTTTATGTTTGTGATCATCAGCGCTTTGTGAGGAAAAGTTGCTCATGGAATGCCACGAAACAGCAGTTGCGGAGGAATAAAAAACTAACGGCAGAATTTTCGGTGCCACTTCGGTATGCGTTTAATCACATAATATCATTCTCATATAACTCAGAATCTATCTCTACTAAAATTACTGAGATCGCATACCGAAGTAGCACCGAATTTTCTTCTGCGCTATCGCTGTGTTTATATTATGGAAATCGTTGTCTGGTAAAGAAAGGGCTGCAGGTACAAAGCAGAGAATCTATTTTAGTGAGATAATGCATTTAATGAGTTGTATTCGGCCTGGCAAGCTGAGAGCAATGACGTGAGTTTACGTAGAAAAACATCAGTAATGAGATTTTTCCTGTAGGCTACATTTGTTGCTGTCTTGCGCTCCTCTTTTATACCTACACTCAGTTGGTAAGCGAGTAGATTTGGCACTCCATTTTAACGTACCGAGAGAGATTAAAATTTTCTTTCTTAAATTCAAATACGCAACTCTCACTAGATTTATAACCTACCGTTGCAGACATACTTACGCACAACCTCGGATCGACTTGCACCAAGAGAAATTAATTACTCTTCCTAAACTCTGCCACCTACCTCTATTACAGAGCCGACATGGCCTGAGAAGCCCACATTATTTACTTGTGCAATTCAGAGACTGCTGCGATAGGACAAATCTGATGTTTGCAAAGCTTGATCAAAGTTTTGCGATCGTTTTGAACAAAAATATTTGAATCAAGTTTTTGAAATGTCTAACTCTATATAACGAAACTGCTTAGACATCTCCGATGTTATACATAGCTCGATATATTATAACAGTTATCACGGTTATCAAATCATCGGTTGACTATTCGAGACAGAAACCAACCTGTTCATTGATCAGTAACTCGAGTCGAGGTAATCTGTCATTTTTGTAATTTTAACACTGCTTGCATTATCTGCATTAATTAGAGCAAAATTTTAAGAAAAACGTTGAACTATAAATCTATAATTGTTTATTCAGAAAATTCAAGTTCTGATATTCATGATGGTCAACATTTATTCTCATGTTTTAATTAATTGAAGCTCGAATTTCACCTCTACACTCTCGACAATATTATAGCATTTCACATTAACATATATATGAACTTACCCTACCTTCCCATGCATACCGGCGTCTCGCGGTCGTCTTCTATCTAACTTAGTCTATTATTGGACGTAATCGGCGTGGAACTGAACTAGTAACTTTTTTTTATATTTTACGTATATCTTGCCTTTTTTAGGTCAGACGGTCATCCTTGAACGCTCTGCGAACATATGCAGACAGCGTTGAAACCTTAAAATGGTTCGATGATTGATAAACCAAGGATAGGCATACTTCTGATCATCAGTAAGACCATATACTAGCATTGCTGTATTTACTCCACTTACAGCGAGTTATGTATCTTCAACATAGGTCCAAAACAGCCAAATTGCTTAGGCCATGGGCAATTTTTTTGGGGATTTGTTGGATATTTTTATGCTACACAGTAGGATGATATTATTGTTTGAGTACAGTGCAATTACAGTTATTTTGATGTTGTAATTTTCAGTTTTATCATGGAATTAGCTATCATCAGTACTGTTTAAATGTTGTGCACATATAAAACTGTTCATGGTCTTTTAGAATACTTGTCATAAGTTATTTTCAGCCTATTTTGCAAATTGTAAGTAGCTTGTTTAGGGTACCGGATTCTAGGGGTCATTCTTCTTTTATCGAAAGTTGTCTTTGATGTCTTTGTCAGTGTTTTTATTGTGTATATTATTTTCTTACATTGTACTGCCTGGTATTTGTTATTTTTATTGTATGCTTTTCGTTTCATTGGAGAATTTGGTTGTATTAAGATTGATAATTAATAAATAGAACAAGATAGTGTAAATTGAAGTGAATATTGAGGGGAAACTTGACGTCAGATCATATTGTAAGATATTCTGAACTTGGGTAGTTATTACATAGACTGCCGGTACGCTACACTTGTGTAATTTGAATTGATATGATGAAATTGAATTAGCGCCACCTAATGTGACCAACGTGGCACCATCGCCGAGCGATGAGCGCTGAAGTAGAGATGTAGCAATGTATCGGTATCGGTAATATCGGCCAATTTTTGGTATCGGTAGTGTATCGGTATCGGATAAATGTAGACCGGTATTTCCGATATATTTAGCTTCTCGACATGATCCAGAATGTTTTAAAAAATAGGTTGGAATATGATCTTGAAATTATTTTTTGCTTGGATAAATCGTGAACTATGAGCCATGCACGTCCCCACCCCCGCTAGTATAAACGGAAAGCGGATTCTGACCTGTTTTTAGCCATTTATCAGCCAAACTGGCTCTATCAATTGAATAATTTCGCTGCCAAATTTTTATATTGAAATTTTGTACTCCTGAAGTATGCGCACCAAGATCATCTTGATAAGATGTCGCATAAGCTGAACCCGATACACAACCTGAGTTCAGGTTGTGCGACATCTTGGTGCGCATACTTTAGGACAGGGGTGGGCAAATTACGGCCCCCGGGCCGGATCCGGCCCACTGGAGTGTGTCATCCGGCCCACTTGTGCCTGCTGAAATTATGAATATAGTTTTTATGGATATAAATTTCCGTTTAAAATTTTGATGAAATAACGGATCGTCGGCTAAAGAAAATACCGTAATTCCTCACGTATCACGTATACCTCGCACGTATTCCACACGACAAGTGCCACGAAGACGTCAAAAAGGTTTCCCCCGGAACTGTACGTAAAGTGTAAAATTTTTTTATTATGTGACCAACTGAGACGAGACACTAAAAACAAACTGAAGATTGAATCCGCAAATCTGATTTTCTATTGAAAATGAGGAAGTGAATATTGTAAGTACGAAGCGGTGTCTCAATATACTGTATATAGAAATAAATGACCTCCTGAAGTGTGCGCACAAAGATGGCGCACAACCTGAACTCAGGTTGTGTACCAGGTTAGGGTTCAGGTTATGCGACATCTTGGTGCGCATACTTCAGGAGCACCGAAATAAAATATAACGGGTAAAACCCATAAATTTATTTCAGGAGTGCCTCGACAGATCAAAATCTCTATTTTAGACGTGCTATATCGCAAAATTTTTTGAAATTTTCGATCGGAAACTGTAGCATAGTCCAGCGGCTCCCAAACATTTTGTTCGTACGGCGCCAGATTGTCGCAATATTTCAGAATTGTAATAATTTCACGTCATTGTAATAAATTGTACACATAAGATTCCATGGTCGACCTTGGGATTTTGCAAACGATGATATCGTAAAAATATTGCTAAGCGGCTCAAATTACAAATTACTAAGATCGCAAAACTTCAAATCAATTCTTATTTTATGTAAGCAGATTGTAATATTCCAGAGTAATAATACTTTCAATTTTTTGAAAGTCGGCGCAACGGTGATTTACTTTGAAAATATTTAAATTTTAATGCTCGTATCGGTCATGGACTGAATATTTTGCAGAAAAAGCATCATCGGTGAAGAAATCGGTTATTTTACGAATAGCATAATCAAGACGACTATTTCCATTGGAATTTCCGTTTCTGATTCTGAATACAAAATAAAATTTACTGAGAATAAAAATTTGTGCAGGTTATCTGGCATTTTTGACGAAGGACAACTGTTTATTCTTTTATCTCTAACATCATATTTGGTAGAAAAAGGATCAAATCAAAAATTGATGATGATTTAAGATTGTACCTGACTAAAATGTCTTCAATGTTCAAAAAAGCTTGTTGAAATTCGTCCATCTTATTGAGGACACCATGCACCATGATCAGTCTATTTGTTTTGCAATTTGCTTTGGGGGCTATGATAACGTAAAAATACATTATGGGGGCGACGGTACAATAAAGTTGGGAACCACTGTAGTACATCAATTACAGTACTTAAGTTATTCTGTCTGTTGGATCTCCGCTCTATAGGAGACCCTTATTATCAGTCGTTCTGTCTGTCCGTCTGTCTGTGTATCTGTCTATCTGTCTGTCTTTCTGTTAAGATGTAGCGTCTTAATGGCTGGACCAATCTGGATGAAATTTTTCACATGGGTTATCCTGTCACCCTAGTAATGTGCGTTTTATAGAAAGTCCAGATAAATGTTTCGTTTCCATGGTAACAACGAAAAACGCTCCGATCGTTATGAAATTTCTATTTTTTTCACAGTTTATCGCCGTTTTCTCGCCAACCAAGTCGAAAATTAAAATTCCAAGAGCGCTTCCTTCCGCATGGCAAAGTACTCTTTCCAATAAGTCGTCTTTGGTCTCGATACTTCATAAACTGGAGAAGCCTTAGGGATTTCAGTGAACATAATTTCCCCATTTAGTCACAGTATATCAGTCACGTGAGTATGTCAACGGAACGCGCAGCGTTTGAAATGAACTCAACGGAACTGGTGAGCCGGTGCAGGTGTTCTTGATATACGGAATTATTATTTGCTTGGGATTTGATGTACTTCTCGCTGTTAGTGGGTGGTTCACCTAAACGCTGGCTACAGTTTCTTTAACTATTTAAGTCTATAAATTAGGATTGCTATATCCGAATCAAACTGGTAAGCAGACATCGTTGTATAAATATGATAAATAAATAATCCTATTAAACCGTAAAGTACCGGGAAAATGTTGAGTCTTGCATGTATATATGTTCCTTCAGCTTAAGTTGTAATCATAATGCCTAGGGGATTTCAGTGAACATCATTTTCTCATTCAGTCACAGTATATCAGTCACGTGAGTATGTCAACGGAACGCGCAGCGTTCAAAATGAACTCAACGGAACTGGTGAGCCGGTGCAGGTGTTCTTGATATACGGAATTTGAAATACGCCGTCATTGCCCCGCAACAAATAATCGTCAGCTAGTGCAAAACCTACTCGCCTCTCGCCTATTTCTTGCGAGGAAATTTTCAAGAATTCACTTCCAAGCGCACAAATTAAAGAGATTTAAATCTGAACGAAGTTAGGCCGACCACTAAAGTGCTACAGAGACTAAAATGAGTTGGATCCTCGCGATATACTGTATGCCGCGGGCCTGGGTGTCAGCGGAGATCCTGGACGCCTACCGGCTTGTACTTATGTCACTTGCTGATCTTTCAATGATATTTACTCTTATTGAATGACCTATTTATCAAATAACGTATAATGACCCCAATTGTTACATTGTGCTGTTTTTAATATCAAACGTTAACGTGGCTGTTGAGATTCTCTTTCTATCAACTTTCTCTGTGCAGCTGCCGTAATTTGCCAACCCCTGTAATGACGTCCCATTAATTAATTTTGGTCATATCGATTTTTGATCCTCCGGCCCAGTAACTAAGTCTATTATCCGCATCCGGTCCGATCAGGAAAGTAATTGCCCGCCCCTGCTTTAGGAGGTCCGAAATTTTTATTATTACATGGTAATTATGAAGAAATATATCAATCGAATATTAGTGGATTTTCCGACGTGTAAAATATAAAATACGACGGTATATTGGCACAAAATCTTGCACACGTAACTCAATGTATCAGTTTCATACAATAAGTAGGCTAAGCATTTATTTATTTTACCACCAACAGTAGTCAAATCCTATTAGTTTTCTAATTGAACACCAAGATTACTAGCGCCAGTGCCCAACGCATCTGAATCAATTAACGCATTCGGATCCCAAACATCAATTTCCCAATATAGTTATATATGTAATCGGCCTTTTACAAATATCGGTGTATCGGTATCGGCGTTACTAGGTATAGGATCGGTATCGGCGGAAGAAGTGGTATCGGTACATCTATAATCTGAAGATGTTAATCTATTGGGAAAGCGAGGGTTTTATTTGGTTAGCGTGCATCAAGATTGCTACATCTTGCATCTCGTTTTAGTATTGCAGTAACGTTTAAACTAATAAAAGCCTAGTAAACGGTCTAAATGAGTTTTCCTCGAATGGTTTCACTATATTGAATATCCAGACTTTATTTTTCATTGGCCATATATTTATAGTCTTATTTCAATGTTTTTCTTTAAAAGTTGCTATTATTTATGTACTAAACCACTAATAAAAATACAAAAATGACAGATTGCCTCGAGTTACATATCAATAAACAGATTTGTTTATCCGTCTCGAACACTCAACCGATAATTTGTTAACTGGATAACTGCTGGAATGTTGGCCTATCGTGAGCGATTTGCACTTGTGAGCGACGTCAGCTCTGTAAATGCAGAGTTTTGGATGAGATCGCCCGGAGCAAGTCGATCCGAGATTTTTACGTAAATATGTCTGCAACGTTAGTAATTATTGATAATTATTGAGCCGTAATTATTGAGAAGTGCAAGAACGGAGAGTCGCGTGTTTTATTTCAGAAATAAAATTTTGAATCGGTCATTGATTTACAAAGCTCGACTCTAAAGCTTGGAAATATCTCGACGTGTGCTCGCGTCACTATTCTCATCATACCAGACGGAATACAACACCAGAAACAAAGTATTTATTATTCGTCCATAATTGACTCGCTTGTTAATAGCCTCATTATATCAGACCCTTCTACTAGTACCCGCAGCACAATAAGTTGTAGTATTCGGCATTCCAACGACTCGCAGCTTTGCCTTTGGGTAAGGTTTTTCTCCTCTGAGTGAACCCTGGCGCATTGGGGAAATACATTTAAAAACACGCTAACGTTTCGAAAACTGAAATTGGAAAAATATTATCAAGGACTCAAAACTAGTACTTTCGAAGCAAGATTTAATTTTTGTTAATTAGTTCGTTTGATCATTTATTATAGTCATAATCTCTATACCCTGAGATTAAATATAGATTTTCATGGTGAAAGAGAGTCGACATTGCTGGCTTATGCAATTAAAGACAGTCTAGTGTAGTCCACGTCAGGCCGTGTGATCCACCACTACATTTTATCTTTTTATGTGAAATCATATGAGCAGCAACATTTGTAAAATCTGGGATGTAGCCCACTTGTCTCGAGTTTATATAAGTACTATGTAACTTAAGTAAAACAGAATTCCTACCTGACAGACAATATGACAAACCTGTCGCCGGTAAACTGTCAGGATACGTTACGCAGCAATTACTATACAAATGGCCTTTAACCGCATTGTTGACTGGATTTCCCCTGAATGCATACTATGAAAGAAGAATTATTAATAAACCGCCGAATGGAGTACTGACACCACAATCGGAATGATAACCCTGCTCAAAGTTTCACACTCAATGACCAAATTCAATATTTTTGTTTGATTAAAAGTTCTTGTCACGAGGTGATGGTATTTGGATATGTTGATATTTCAAAGGGATTTTTATTTTCTTCTTTTTCAGAAACACAAGCAAAAGAAAATGTTGAAGGAAAATCCGATACGGAAAGCTAACATATTCTCTATTATGACTTATTGGTGAGCTTAACAACTTCGATTCACTTCTTTTAACCAACAACTTACAAACAAACAGCACTTTTCAGGTGGTTGAATGACTCATTCGTGCAAGGAAATAAGAAGAAACTTGAGGAAAGCGACATGTTTGAACTTGAATCATCTAACAAATCGGCTGAACTTTGCGAAAATTTGGAACGGTACTTTTTGTAAATTTTGAGATAGGCTAATATGACCGTGTCCCATCGCGCCATCTTCCTATAAGGTGTTGTACCTTTAATTCAACTTTATTTCCAGAAATTGGAAAAGAGAAGTAGAAAATTCAAGCGGTTCGAGGAAACCGAGTTTGTTCACAGCAATGGCTAATACTTATTGGAAGAGAGTGTTGGTCTCAGGCCTATTTCTTGTTATCGTGGTATATATATTATATATGTTATCTTTGAAATTTTTACGTCGTTGTTAGATTTACTGCTTACCCTCTCAGCGCTTTATCTTTCTTTTTTAGGATAGTCTTCGTACGGGACTACCATTTCTTATTGCAGGATTGGTCAGCTATTTCGAAAATCAGGATTCAGTTGATGCCTGGCAAGCATATGCCTACGCTGCTGCAATAAGTCTAGTCTCAATAGTCATAGCCTTCATGCACCATACACTGTTTTACCAGCTGCAGAGACTTGGATGGCATATTAGAACATCAATTCGCTGTATCATGTATAAGAAGGTATAATTTGTTTTGCAATTTAAAAACTAACACGCCAAAATTTATAAACTGTGCTAGTGTTCACCCTATTTTAATTAAGTTTAGCGCATAGATTCTAAGATCACATATATATATATATCTTCAATAAATGTTTAGACCAGTTCATAAGTGTCGGTTTTGAATGCTGAGTGTTGTTTTAAAAAATTGACAAAGCTCTCATTTTTCGAGTACGGTGCTACACACAACTAGTGTCCTACAGCCCTATACAACTTCAAGGAGTGGCACAATAGATTGGAGTGACCATGTACATCAGGGGTCAGCAACCTACGGCCATCGGCCATCTGTTCGGTTTTTAACTTTCTATAAATACGTGCGGCCCGCTAATGATTTGCAACCTTTAATTTTGGCCCGAGAGTGACGCAAGGTTGCCTCTGATGTACAACAATTATATAGAATCCATAAAAAACTGACATTTCTCAAGTGCATTGATTCAACCGACTACCGCTTCAATTGATGAACATTAAATTCTTTAGACCTTGTTACTAAGTCAACAATCATTGAATAAAACAACAACCGGAAAAATAGTCAATCTCAGTTCAAATGATGTCATGCGATTTGAATACGTGAGTGTGTTTTGATGAATCTACAAATGCCTTGGTTGAAATTATATTACGACTTCTTCATTCATGCGGAGATAAATTGCACCGACAGATAACATTTGAAGATTTAAAAAAAATATTTGCGGAGCAATATAAAGTACAGCCTGGAACTAAGCATTTTAAGAACCTTATTGTAATGAAAATAAGAAAATCGTAAATGTAATTTTAGAGTCCTCAAGCTATCCATTATATTTGGATCGGACCGATGCAATGCATTGTTATTGGAATAATACTTTGGCAGGAAGTTGGGGCAGCAATACTTACCGGAATAGCTCTTCTTGTGTTGACATTCTGCGTTCAGTCATTAGTTGGTCGAAGTCTCGGAAAGTTAAGGTAACAACGTAATGGAGGCAGTCGAATATTGTCTAATATTACCACATGCTATTGATAATATCTAGAATATGCATAAGGGAATAAATATTTAAGAATACCTCCGTTTGTGTAATTAAATACTCCAGTGTTATCGATTTGTGCAAATTTCCCTTTTCCATTGTATCATAATATTTTTGCCAACATTTTCGACAGGTTTAATAATTTAGGATAGTTTTTGAAAAATTACAGGTTCAACGTATATATTCGTTTTCAGAAGCGAGATAGCTCATCTAACAGATGATAGAATCCGACTTGTGAGCGAAATAATAACTGGGATGCGTGTTATAAAAATGTACGCCTGGGAAAAACCATTTGCCAAACTCGTTTCTGATGCCAGAAAGTATGTGATTTATTAATTTCAAATAATGTTAATTATTTTATAAATATTGGCTAAATAAATCCAACTTCATCAAATTAAACCAAATTCATCAATAACCCAATCTACAAAATTAAGCAAAAAACTTTTGCTTGATATATATGCCAATAAACCTCTCCTCGCAATTGAAACCGAGAAGTTCTTTCAGATCATATGTTTTGATTTGCAGGAAAGAAGTCAACAAGATCTTCCTATCTTCATTTATAAGGGCTTTCAATATATGTGTTTCACTATGCCAAGATAAAATATTAACGCTTGGAATTTTATTGACATATGTCGGGATGGAAGGAACTTTGACCGCGTCTAGGGTAAGTGTTAGATAGAGCAGGGGTGTCAAACTCGTGAGTTTTCAAGGGCCGCATTGCATTTTGGGAATTGTGCAAAGGGCCGCAAACAGCTTTTGATATATTATGATAATGTATACTTAACTTAATAGCATATTTTTAGATATGTGTAGTTTGTGACATATATTGTGATGCAATTAAATAACCGAATAAAGTTTTGGTATTTTCTAAAATTTCAAATGGCATTTACATATTAATTTCTTGGTATTTTACTATTATTGCAAATTTATTTATTATAAAAATCCAAGTTTTTTTTAAATCCAACTACCCGAAACATTTTTAAACAAAGATTTGATAAAAAAAATAATACATAATAAAAATGACTCAACCTAAATATATACCCCTAAAATACTAACGTCTAACTCAATGTTTTTTTATTACATATGTCCTGACGTTTGGCATCTCTTTTGTACCACCAGCTTACTAATATCGGGCTGAAATGATTTTACAATACCAACTCTAATTAACGGGGTCACATGATTATCGGTTATACTGTTAACAAAAGTAATGACTGACTTTTCGGACCATACATTTCCCACCACATTGCCTACCATTGGCACCACGTGGCATATGACCGCTTGGGTTATGATTTATATATATTGACTTTTAGTAACTAGGTAGTTGTTTAATTATAATAATATATATATAAACACATAAAAATATTCTATTCCAAGTTGATCTTCAAATTTGTCATATTGACTGATGAGCTTATTCTGATATTGTCTACTTATATTGTATTCTTTCATTGTGCTGATAGAAATGCGCCAAATTGAACAATGTGCTTTAGAATTTTGAAAAATACAGAAATTTTGCAACCCCCCTTTTTGAAAATGCTACTTTCTTCGTGTTCTTTTTTGCTAGCTTGAAGTGTATCCATAATTGGGTCAAATTGAAAACAAACAAAAAAATTAATTTTTCAAAACTACTTTCTGTAAATTGTCCTTTTTTGTGTGAATAATCCATTAGATGGCCGCATTGGAAATTCTCTGGGGCCGCATGCCGCCCGCGGGCCGCATGTTTGACACCCCTGAGATAGAGCGAGGTATAAATTTAACCACCACCACTCGAATTGATTAAACTGTGAAATACGTGGGAGCGGTTGATGGAGTACTACTTTGATGTGGGTATAGCAATCTTCCAGCACACACAAAATTTCGAAGCTCCGTCTCTCATGCATGATAATCAACTTTGCAATGGAAAGCGTTTGGTGCTCCCGAAGTATGCGAACCAAGATGGCGGACATCGGAACGTAACATGGGTAACAGGTTAGGGTTAGGCGATAATTTATTTCCAATTTTCCTTATTTTAGTCCTATTATCAGTTCGAAGACTAGCCAAGAGCCTCCCGTAGTATTTAAACCTAATAATATGGCCTAACCCTAACCTAGTACACATATTGAATTCCGATGTCCGCCATCTTGGTTCGCATACTTCGGGAGCCCCGAATTTTTTTTAAAATTTCCGACAAACATCGGCTATGAGAAAGTTTAAATTTGACTTGTCAATCTGAATCAGCGTTATATATGTCGCTGCTTGAAGGCCCTTCGAGGTCTCTGGCAACTTTGTCACACAATTAAAGTTAGTTACAGTCTTCTTTTATAATATTTGCAATGTTTTTCACGATGTGCTGACAAATAAAAAGATGACTGGTTGAAGCCAAAACAAAAAGAGTGACTAAATACTACAATCATTTTCGTCATTAAGGTTTTTGCGATCATTGGCATCCTCCGCTTTCAAGGTCACGTTGCGTATAAATTTGGAGTTGGCATTGAACTTTTGTTTGAAACGAAAACATCAATCAAGAGGATAGAGGTAAAATTGCACAGCGCACTCTTAGTATTGAATACACTCTATTTCTCTGGTGGTTTTTAACCGCAAACCAACGCTGTAGTTTTTGTAATCTCGTATTTTTAGGATTATCTGATGATGGGCGAAATCAACAGATCATCCAATCGTCGTAACTCAATTCAACAGTTGGGAAAACACGAAGAAGCGTTAATCGAAATCAAAAACTTTTTTGGAAAGTGGGATGCTTCCATACAAAATAATGCTGAGAATGACAATGCAGAATTACTTCATAATACTTTATCAGATATAACCGTTCGTATAGAAGCTAAACAACTTTTTATGGTCATTGGACAAGTTGCTTCAGGAAAGGTAAATAACAAAAATATTCTTGGAACATAAACTTAAATTTGAATTGTTTTCATCAATTTTAATTGGGAATTATGCTCTGGGCACTATGCCATAAATCTAATACGATTTCGTTTAGCAAAGTTAGTCACCCTTCGTCGATAAGTTTGCATCGGCAAACTATATGATACCTAGTTGAAAAGAATAACAAGTAACACGCCAATCTTGTTATCAGCAAGCAATGGCAGTGGTTATGGTGGCAGTGGTTAAAGTCTATGGAATTTCATTTACAATTGATATTCTGTGAGACTGAATGTGCTCTTGTACCATTAAAAAGATGCGCATAGAGTACCGTCATGAAATTTTGATTCAATCAAGAGCAACAGATTCTCATCGAAAACTCAATATTTCAGTGTCTTATTCTGATCACCAGCAGTCATGGTTTTCAAGTTACAGTATATTTTGCCGGTGTGTTCTAAGTGAGGTGGCGATTTATACCTTAAGCTAAGTGGTCGCATTTGCTTGCTTGCTTGCTTTTTGTTGTTTACTTTTTTATTGTTATCTACAACACAGTCATCATTTTTAAACGCAATCCTGGGAGAGTTACCACCTACTAAAGGACAAGTGAAAGTACTAGGCAAGTCAGTGTACGTTGGACAAGTTTCCTGGATATTTTCAGGCACCATCAGAGAAAACATATTATTCGGACAACCCTATGATTCTATTTGGTACAGTAAAGTAATAGGAGCTTGCTGTTTGAATAAGATGAGTATGCCTTAATACAACAAACATCCTTGAAATTTGTTGCCACAATTTTTTTTTTCTGGAAATCAGATTTGTTTTTGATATCGACTTCGAAATTTCGGGTTGTGAAGATCAGCTATATTATTATTTTATTTATCAGGATTTGTCTTCACTGGTTGACGGCGATTTGACTCTTGTTGGCGAGCGCGGTGTTATTCTAAGCGGTGGGCAGAAAGCAAGAGTGAACCTTGCACGCGCAGCTTATAGAAGAGATGCCGATATCTTTTTATTGGACGATCCTCTAAGTTCTGTTGATGTGTCGGTCGCCAGACATATATTTCAATACTGTATTATGGGAATATTAAACAATAAGGTACGTCTTTTTTAAATGAATGTGGCAGACTTTTCATATTTATTCGATATGCTGGATCTCGGCCTCTCGCACGGTTATCATTCCAGATCGGAGGAGCCAATTGCGAAACCTCGTAAAAAGCAAGGTTTACGAGTCTCTAAAAATGCAACAACCAAGTGTCTTACGCGCCATTCATGAAATATATCGTGGACACTCTGAGCATGGTCATTTACATTCTATCGAAATCTTACGCGCGGCCGTCTTTGAACAAAACTGCTGTCTGACCATCCACCGGCATCACTTTGCTTCGCCCGCTATCTGTAGCGGAGTATCAATCAATCAATCAAATCTTTTTTTTATTAGTCATTCAGGAAAAGCACAACAAAATAAAAGAAAGTGGGAGCACGAAATATTTGAACCGAATGGACAGGATAACCGCGAAATGACCACTCAGTCTACTTGTCAGCGCCTGCCTTAAAATAGCTTAAAAGTTATAGCTACAAAATTTGCACAGCGCGAAACGTTTACACGGGAACAACACCGTCCCAAGATGACGCTGCAAGCCAGTCGGAAGCTATTTATGGGTTATGGGGTATGGTCGTAATTTCAGCAGGCACAAGTGGGCCGCATGAAACACTTCAGTGGGCCGGATCCGGACCGCAATTTGTCAACCCCTGGCTTATTCCACTTGATATCCCTGACCCACTAGAAAGAACGCACCGCGCTTGTAACGAAGAAGAAGAACGCTATAGCATGTTAACGAAGATTGATAAATACCAATTTCCTGAGAAAATGTGAGAAACAAAGAACTTAGCGAAAACTTCGATTTTGCGGGGAAAAAAACTCCCGAATTTTACCAATGTTAGTTAAATTCCATAATAAATTTTTGCGAGAAAGTTGATGGATCGATAACACGTTAACTGTTAACGAACGACCCGACAGGTACGGGAAGAACTACCGTAATTAATCGTTCCATATGATTGGGTGCTGAAATTAGGTAAAGCGAAAGTACAGCAAGCTGGCAAATAATAATCTCGGACTGGATTTGAATTCATTAGCCCAGCGGTTCACAAACTTTGTGTTCGTGCGGCGCCAAATTATCAAGAGGGAAAAACTCACGCGCACTTACATGATGGAAATGCTGTCAATGTGCTCACGTCGGTTCCTTGCGTAAATGACATTTTATATTTCATGTGCGCCTCGTTTGCATTGTTGTCTTCGCTTGACTATTTTATAATTTAATATATTAGAGCTTAGAATCCCTGACTTATGCTGTACACTCTTCGTATACCCTTTATCAGTTGTATACTCAACTTATGGTCCGGATACACTTGGGTATACCGGTTTGAAGAGCACTGCCTATTGGCAGACACTACATAACAGAAGGTAAACGACATAGAAAGGTGATATAAATTCATATACACAGCATTTAAAATAAGAAACAATAAAACGTTATAATAAATACAATATGTAAAATATCCAATCATATTTTATTTATGATTAAAACAATTCTCCTAATTTTCGCGGCGTACCCTTTAGGAACCGCTGTATTAGAGAATCATGCAGGGTGATCCACGTGCTCTAGCGCCTAGCGCCATGATACGCCAACACTTTCATTGGGTTATACGTTTTGTTACATATATAATTAATACTATGAAATAATAAAAAATAAAACTATGTTCTGAGGTGGCGAAAAGTTCTATATTCTATTCAATACAGCTTCGAATACTTGTTACACATCAAATGCATTTGCTGAAGAGAGCTGATGAAATAATGGTCCTTTCTAAGGTAATAGTTATTACTTGATTGATTTTATCCGATCTTATTCATAATATTTATATAATATATATGAATATATCAACAAATTCAACCATATGATATAGAAATAAAAAAGGATATTCCATAGATGGAAGTTCTACTACATTGTGTTATATATATATTTGAACTATAACTTGAAAATTATTTGCAAATGAAGTGCAACAAATACAATGTACATAATATTTTTGCAATTGCCAACAGGGTAAAGTGTCCCGAAAAGGAAATTACAGCAAACTAGAGTCTGAAGGATTCGATTTTGCCCCACATTTAGCGATGAAAGAGACGACTTATCGGAGCCTGCTAAACGGTGTTTTATATTTTTCTGCTGATTTGTGCTAGTATTCAGCTAAATTGAGAAAACGACAATATCACATTTCTGTGATTGATGGGTATTTTCTGAATCTCAGTTTTACCTCATTTTGTTGTTTCCGTGTATCATCTGGTCTAGCACAATGATCAAATTGTCCCCATCATCTAACTGTTGATAATAAGCTTTAAATGCCCATCGCATGTAAAACATCGATTATCATCCGGTGATAAAATAGGTTAAAAATAAATTTGGAATTGTTTCAGGCCCATTGGACACGAAATGTAACTATGCATCGTTTTGTTATCATGTTATGATTATTAGTCTTGTTACCTAGGACAAAATCGCTTTTCTCGCTCACTAACGGATCAATTGCTTTGGAATTTTCAGTGGTTGATGATTTTATAATACGCTAGAACGCTATCGCTTTTATTTGTTCCTTAATTTTTTTGTGAGTAGGATACTGATATTTCATCTAAAATGCGCTGTATGAGATTTAATTATGAGAACATGTTTAAATGACACCGTGATGACTGTCTTCCACGTTTTTATGACATCGGGACGTCTGATACTGGTAGCCCACTGTGTCATATGTGTACTAGTACTACACCGTTTTGGATTCCGTGTCCATATTTTTGAACATTGCTCTCTTGCTTATCTTACAGATTCTATTGAGAACGTGAACATCGGAGAAGCCACAAAAATGCCTCATGCTCGCGTCAACCGTAACAAGCCATTCAGTTCATTGGGATCTTATAATAGAAATTCCATGGGAGGCTCAGTTCAAACTAAACGGAGAGCTTCCTTGATGATATCCTTCCAACCAAAACAAAATAATTCCAATCAAGATATGCACCGGGATCCAATTATATCGTCCATTGAAATCCCCGACATGGTAATGTAGCATATTGCTATGGTTGTAATAATATAGCAAGCTGAATACGCTACACAAAAAATATATATAAAAAACATGTAGTTACCTCCTATTTTATTCAAATAGGAGACATATTATTTTGTAACAAACATTGATGTATAAACATAATCGTTTGCAGTATTTTTGACAACAGATGCTACTGCGATGGGCATATATATATCTATATTATCTTTTCTACTTGCTTGAGGCATAGTGTTCCGTTAATAGCCTGTATTGACATTGTGAATCTGCACAATGTCATTTAATTCTACCATGTGTCAGTAAAACCGGAGAAAGCATGTACTTTTATATTTATGGTTTCTCTCATAATTTCCTATAGGGACTTAAGCCTTGCTCTCAAGTACTGATGATAAATTCGCATTTTTTGTGTATGGTGAAAAAATACACCCATATGCTCTAGGGGCTTTAAAATGACGAGGGATATGAAGATGATATCTTTTTAATATATGTGTTTTCATGTTGCAGACTAAATTCCAAGCCATAGAATCCGAAAAAGTGAAGCAAGGGGATGTTGAAGGAAAAGTGTATATTGAATATTTCCGATCCGGAGCAAGTGTAATTTTGATGGCGATTTTCATTCTGGTGGTTTTGGCAGGACATGTCATATATATAATGGCCGATTGGTGGCTTTCATATTGGTAATTTACAACTTGAGTTATAAAGACATTAGTTCAGTATACCGACCAATAATGATTCTCGATTTGTAACGCAAAAATTGTCACTTGGGCTAGATTTTTAAAACTTAAACCAGTTTATTATACGATGTTGTCAGGATATCCAAACACAAAGACATCTTCACTCCAGCGACCTCAAACACTTCTCAACCAACTACAGCAGCAAATGGAACAAAATTGTCAACCGATAGCACAAAAATAGAAAACTTTGATATTGAGCTTTACAAAAATGTTTACATTGGTAAGTATGTGCATTATATATACAGACAGACAGTTGCCAGAAAATTCGGCGGCTATTACAAGATACAAACTGATCATTGCTTTATATCTGCCTCTATAACCCATGGAGCAAACACTCCGATATCAGTAGTTAATGATAGAGGTATCTCTCATAAAGCTATAACTGTATAATTTCTCAAATTGACTTTGCACTTCGCAGGACCCTATTCATTAACCAGAAATTTTATAGGATTTGAGAATGATCATGATGGATATATAAGATTGATGTCTATGTAATTGAGCGTTGATAACTTTTTGCTCATGGAGTTATTTTGACTGAATCAATAGCCAGTTCGTCTTTGCAATATGAGCGTCAACGTGAGTCCTTCCCAAAGTGTTGGTCCTTCCTAAACGACAATTCCAAATGATCGCAACGAATTTGGGAATAATATATAATTTTGTCTGTAACAAAAACCTTATTATTATTTTTCAACTCAGGATTTGTTGTTGGAACCGTTTTAATATTGCTGCTACAGATAAATATGCATTTCTATATATGTACGAAGTCTGCATTCAACATGCACAAAAAGATGTTTCAATCACTCCTGATCGCCCCGATCCGTTTCTTCGATATTAATCCTGCAGGTGAGAATAAACATATTCTTATTGCAGACGCTAAGCATTTATAAAGCACAAATGCGAAATCGGAGTTTGGCATGTTTTCTCTAGAGACGGAGTCGTATCCACAAAGTTCCCGGAATCGGTAGTCGGAATGCCAATAGTACCGATACTGGTTTTGTGTGTAGGCAATAAATCAGGGTTTTCCAGACGTCCTGTTCGTCAGTACCGCTTGGACAATTCATATTCGCTCGTGCGCCTTCTGAATCTTCTCATAATTTTGGCTACTTTTTTAGTTAATATGGACTTTTTTAGATAATGCAGTTCTAGTCCTATACGCAGTTCTATATTAATATGTGTATATTTTCAACTAAAATTAAATACCTGTTAATTTGCCAGTATTATTCAACTTTCTACACTTTAAATATCATTTTGTGTTAACAGTATTAGTTTTTTTTTTTGTATATATCTCTAGTTTATGCAATTCAGACAATAAAACACGATTAAAATATTGCCCTGTTCCCCGAGCCTCAGGAATGCTATATTGGCGTTCTTCTCGTCCAAAAAGGTTGTATACCAGTGCCCTGAGGAGTTCTTATACGCAGGTCTTGAAATTATTAACACCGGGTGATAAAAACATTTTAGGAGACAGATTAGAATTATGGAAAGATGTTCCCATACTTTATCTAATGTACCCCTGGGGGTTCATGTACCCCATTTTGGTGACCCCTGCTATGAAGCACTGCATTAGGCGCACCGACATATAAGGAGCACGATCGATTTTTGAGGGAAAGGGGGAATTAAAGTCCGACTCATGGTCAATAAAAGAAAAATAATATATACCAGGGGTTGCCAACCTGTATTCGACCGCGATTGACTAAAATCTTCAACATAACTCGCGATCGATCGGTAATGGGGTCACACACAATAAAAATGGGTGCTGAATATGTCCGATACGTTTTCTATCCAACAGAATTCTGGTTGTGGTATGAAGTTAACACACTTATTAGCATAATTCGCGTATTTTACAACTTTTTATTTTAAAATACTAACATATCACGTCTTTCTATCACCCAGGAAGAATTCTTAATCGATTTTCGAAGGACATTGGACTAATTGACGAACGTTTACCGGTCGTTTTTCACGATTTTATCTTTGTAAGTAAGAAATTATCTGTTAATGACAAAACTGAATTTAAAAATAATGGAATGATAATTTAGTTGTTGTTCTTATTTATAAACTTTTATGCATCTCAACATAAAATGTTATTTATTTTCAGATGCTATTTCTTCTAGTTAGCGTAGTAGTGATGGTGACGATTATAAACTACTTCGTGATTATTATTGTCATTCCATTGGTAATATATTTTCTATGGCTACGAAGATATTACTTGAGAACATCGAGGGACATTAAAAGATTGGAAGGAATATGTAAATTGTATCATTTTCTTAACAATGTAAAACTTATCCACTGAAAACACTGTATCCTATTTCTCGTATGTCGTGAATTGTATGCAATTTATAATGGACATAGATAATGTCATATAAGAATTCTTTATCCAGCAATCACTATCCCATTGAAGGCAAATACTAAGCTTTTATATTTTCATATACGAAGGTCGAAGTCCTATATTTAGTCTACTTTCTTCCACTCTACAAGGATTGCCAACAATCCGATCTCATGGCGCTCAAAATCAATTTGAAAACAGATTCAACGAATACCAGGATGTGCACGGAGGTGATAAAATTCTTATTTTTACAATCTTATATGAGCTACATATATTTATATTAAAACGATAAAATCGAATTATGACTATTACGAGTTCCTCCACCATCAAGTACCTGCATCGGAAACATATAACTAGCTGACTAATCCTATAACCGACATGGACTCGGAACCGAACGAGAGGCCGTGGTAGGTCATGGGATTGAGCCGCCTTATCGACTTTCCTCTCCCATGGATGACAATTATATATAACTTATCCTTATTATTCAAATGCGACGTTGTTACATTATTCACATATTGTTCAATTCCTAAATCAAATTTAAACTACTGATACGCATAGGCATAACCATAACCTAGGTCCTAGGATATGATGACGGAAAATTATTCCTTTCATAACAGTCTAAAACAATTATTAGTTAAATTCTCAACAAAGTAATAGCCACATACATCTCTAAATCAATTTGTTGTGATCGAAAATCCAGATACATTTTGATATCTTAATTTTTTCATTTTCCATTCTAGCCTCGTGGTTTCTATTTCTCGTTTGTTCGAGGTGGTTTGGATTGAGGTTAGATTTAATCACGGCAATGTTTGTCTCATCTGTGGCATTTATGTGTGTTATCGCTTCTTCAGTATTGGGATTAAATGCAGGACAAGTCGGTCTGATTTTGACATATTCTGTGTCGATGACACACATGTTTCAGTTCGGTGTTCGCCAGAGCGCTGAAGTTGAAAACTTAGTAAGTAGTTCGAGATATCTAAAGCAGGGGTCAGCAACCTTTTGTCGCTCGCGGCCAAATTACGGGTTGCAATTCCTGGCGGTGCGCACATATTTTTCAGAAAATTGAAAACCGAACGGATCGCCGATGAATCACAATTTTGTTTACACGTATTAGAAGTAGAAATTTAAGCAGCGCGCAAAGAATGCGAATTAACTCAACTTCGTCGTCTTACTTATTAAAAATAATTTTCAAATGACATTTAGTGTGACACTATTTGTTGCATCACACTCCCGATATAACTAGAAGGGAAACATTTTCTAAATGGGACACTGGATGAAGCAGATTAAAATATTTTATAAATAGTAATCACTCATCCGAGTTCTCCGCTTGCTTTGTAATGTTCATTTTCGAAAATAATTGCTCGCATGCATATATAATGTACTTCCAAACAATCAATGTGCATTTTTTCCGCATGGTTTGTCAAATTTAATAGAGTTTTCCTTCAAGAAGATACTTTTTAGAAAAAATCAAGTAGTGATATTGCTCTTGAATAGAATACAGTTTTGTTTCCCCATTGCATTGCACCTCAAAAAATTTCTTTCGATATTTTCTGCGCAATTGAAACCCTTTGCGCTTAGCATCAACTTTTCTGCGTTTTGTTGCCATTTTGTCTGATTATAATTAAATTATTGCTCAACAAGTGAGTAATTGTTAATTATATACTTGTTAGGTTAAAATATAATTTAGACTACACGTGTCTCACAATAAATTCTGTTACCTAAAGAATATAATCCTCAAAACAGCTGTTTTGTTACTATAATTTAGTGAAGCTTCGCCGCCCGGATTATTTCACTTTATGAGCCGGTTGCCAACCTCTGATCTTAAGTATAAAAAATCAAAAACACAACGTTTAAAACAATGGAGAGCTTTTTGCGTCTATGGGTACAATATTGTTTATTTACTGTGATATGCGTTTAAATTAACTGCGATTAAAACAGATTAAACAATTAACAAATTTCAGATGACATCTGTTGAAAGAATTCTACAGTATTGCAATATACCTTCTGAGCCGGACATTATAATTCCACCCGAAACACATCAGAAAAATTGGCCAATTAGCGGTGCCATACGTTTTGAAAATGTCTCATTTGCTTACCATGAATATGGTCCAACTGTGTTAAAGGGCGTTGATTTTGAGATCTATGATAAAGAAAAGGTGCTGTTTTCAAGATTTTTGTTACTTTATGTTCAACTTTGCTTTATATTTTTTGAGTAATATATATATATATATATCAAATAGAAAAATTTTAACAGGTGGGAGTGGTGGGTAGAACAGGCGCTGGAAAGAGTTCACTTATTTCTGCTCTTCTTCGCCTTGCAGTTATGAAAGACGGCAAAATATACATCGGCGGCGAATGTATCAACACTTTAAAGTTATCTGTTCTGCGTAGTGCAATATGTATAATTCCACAGGTAGAGTTTACTTGACTCTATGCTTCAGAAATTAATGATTTCCTATATCTTCGCTATTATTTTATATTATCAGGATCCCATGCTTTTTTCTGGCAGTTTAAGAAAGAACATAGACCCTTTCAATCAATATTCCGACAAAGACATTTGGAAAGCTTTAGAACAGGTTCGTACCGTGAAGATTTTTCTGTAAATGTTAGTATTTACATCCATAATATTAAAACAACATTATGGCATATAGTGTTGCACTTGACTCATTTAATTTGTCTTTTATACCGAAATATTGACTCCACCCGAAATTTATATTTGGGTAAACCTATTTGATACTATAGTAATTTACCCTTCCTTTTTTTTGAATTTACAGGTACAATTAAAAGACTCAATTGAGTCATTTCCCATGAAATTGATGAAGGAACTCGCCGAGTTTGGATCGAATTTTAGCGCAGGGCAGAGACAGCTGGTTTGTCTCGCTAGAGCGGTTTTAAAGAAAAGTAAAATTTTGGTGATCGACGAAGCCACAGCCAATGTGGACGTGGAGTAGGCTACGTTTAATTTTCGTTTCTAATTGTGTAACATATCGATCAAGATCAGTAGTGTTTTAAAAATATTTGAGTTCATCAGCACTTACTTAATCAGATAGGACATATTTAAACTAGGCATTGTTATTATTATTTTATTGAATTCAGTACCGTAGCAACGACCCCTAATGTTTCATTGTTTTGCTATTTCTTCCAGAACTGATCGCATGATTCAAGAAATTCTTCGTCGAACATTTAAGCATTGTACAATTATTACTATTGCACACAGAATCAATACAGTGATCGATTCAGATAAGATCTTGGTAAGCTAAATATTAACATATGCAATGGTTTGTTATAGTTGTTGTCCAACGTAGGGTGTACTCATATATTACTATACGATCCCTTTTCATCTTCATCAATTTCAAACACTAACTGTGGTCGTTATGTTAGAAGGTCCACGATGAGTCATCATTTATCAAAAACAGCAACCTTGCACGTTGAAATAGAAAAAAAAAATCGACCGCGAGCCTAGCCGGCAAAGAATATATTTTCACTCGCTCATGGTGTGATTGGAGTCCCATTATCCGATTGGAATCCGGGTGTTGTGACTCTGGATAGTCCGGCTGAACAGCTAACAGAGTCTACACATAATAGTATATGAAATCGTAATATATACACATTGCAATGTAAATACGGACACTAAACAAGGTCCGTGACGAAAGGTCTCTCGAATTTCTCTTGACTCATTACTGCAGGTACTCGATCAAGGGCAAGTTCAAGAGTTCGGTGAACCTCACCTACTTCTGAAAAACAAAGATGGATACCTTAGCAACATGCTGCATAGCTGCGGATTTATCCAGTCCCGTATGCTAAGAATTACAGCCAAAGAGGTAAAATGAACTTCAGTATTCGCAATTATAGTAAATATGCAATTTGTTTGAAAGTTAAAATACGGTTTAGAAGTAAATCTTTCTCTAATACGTAGTCAGTGTAGTGCCAAATTAAATATGAGTTAAAAGTGAAAAACATTGTCAAATTTGGTGTCATCAAGCAGTTTCTGAATAATCCAAAACAGCCTGCCGTATGTATGGAATAAGATTTAATAATTATGTATAGTCATCTGAAGACATATTTATTGCAATATCCGCGCGTCTCGTAACATGGAAAATTGTAAAAAAGATGAATTTGATGAGAAAAAAATTACCCTGTTCGAAAGACACGTAATTCGTAATCCCAGGTCATCCCCATATAACATATATTATAAAACTCCATATGAAAAGCTATTAAACAACGAATTTATAGCTTATTTCTATGATTTCCTACAGGTATATGATAAAAAGCATCGAGTTTCAGGCGACTGTGATTGTCTAAGAGTGCCGGTAGCTACCTGTTCGAACAATCTGCAAGAAGACGGCCAAATTAACACACCAGACACGCCTTAAAAAGAAGCATTTATTTTGAAATCGTTTAGTTTTCTAACCATTATGTTTTGATCTGTATTCGGTGCCAATTGTTTCATAATAGAACAGTTTCAATGTTAAATGACTTGTAACATTTCTACCTTTATTTACAATTAGATTACACAAATTCACACATATCTTTACGACCAGACAGACGCAGTACTGCTTCAGCGGAATAAACTTACATGTCATCCAATTGCTAACCCGAGCGCCCAATCCCACCCGGGTCGGTAGATAACCTGCATACCTACGCAGTCCAAGTACAGTATAACCTCTATCATTCGAGTTTTTGTGTCGGAGACAATAAACTGGCTAGCTACTCACTTGAATAACCGTGACTGATTCCGGAATAGATACTATAATTCCAAATAATAGGCTTATCAGCGTCCCTGCGAATACTGAACAATTCTAACTTCTACCGTGTTAGTCAACAAGGTTTATTGCCACCACTATTAATAATCATCCGTTAGATTTATTAGCAGACTGTTTCAGAACCCAAGAGAATGGTAAATTACAACCTTTACAAAAACTAGCTTTGCATTCTGACAAATATTATTTGACAGAGAATGAATGAAAAATCGTGCACAACAGTAAAATGCAGATATAAAATCAAGTTAGAATAAAAAATCTCTCTCGCTCCCCGACGAAACAAAATCAATACGTTGCAGTGAAGAAATAATAATACACAAAATATTGATGAATAAGGCTGGGAAGTCGTAAAAAATTCATTTTTGACTCCGCTTCAAATTACCTATTGGCAGTGATTTCGACTGGGACGTTTACGTCTCTTCACTTCATGGATCAGACATCTCTAAATTAATTTCTCCCTGACGCGAATTTTTTAACTCTTCAAGCAGCCTCAAATCCATCCCGATTCTGACACCATGTTTGGGTAAATACACAACTGTTCAGGATTCTTGAGTGCAACAAGTGAGAGAGAGCTCAACAGTGACGTCAAGCGACATAAATAAAGCATTGATAATGACGTCATAAATACCATCTTACAATGATCATTTCTTATTGACTTTGGTAAAATATAGGATTGTTCACATAAGCTGGGGCTAGGAAGCAAATTATCTTATGAATAGCGAAATTTTTTATCATAAAAATATGTTTCTGATGATCAAATTATTTTTTATTTTTGGAGAAAATGAAATTGGGCAATAAATGCAACACGTATCTTCCTGCTTAATTGTTGTACTTATTGAATGTTTGTTGTTCTGGTTATAAAAATCAATTTTCTCGAGAAATAATGAATCAATTGCAGTAAATTGTCAGTACTCGGGGATGGGAGAGCTCGCTGATAGTCTGTTACTTTCCAGTTACTAATTTTAATTTTTTAAATGTTTTTTTAGCCCTATGATGCCCGACATTTCACCCGAGATCTGATTTAATTTACGGGCACTTTTTCATATGAGAGTTTTGCCGATATTGATATGATTATTACATTCATTTTAGGATTTCTATCTAATACATGTATACGTTTAATTCGTCAAGACAATTCATCTTATTTACGGAATAGCGATAACGTCAAATATATTGTTTTGGAATATAAATTTTGTGGGAATATCTCAAATATATTTCAGTGAAATTTCATCCTCGTGCCGTCACGAAATGTTTGGATATATACTGCAATATTGTTCATGAACAAAGTCAATTAGGCGAACAATTATGTAAACGATGATATTCTGACTGTATTAGGTCAAAATATAACTCGGTGAAAGAATTATGTTATCGTCGATATTTCCATGAATTTTAGGAGCCTTTTAAAGCCAAGGCTCAGTTGACATGATGAACCTATGACCTTCACGAATATGTGTCAAGCGATATTCATATGAAAAACTAATTCCGTCGTATGTACTTTCACGGGAGACATTTTACAAGTAACCAATTAGCACAGCGTACATTGTAAGCTGTCAACGAGAGGCGAGTAAGTCTTCAATGAATCTAGGCGTGATGGCATCATTTACTTTCGCCTTGTCCGATGTACTTCTGAAGTAATCGTTTTTTCCTTCACAAGCTCGGCTAACGCTTAAACGAGCGTTCACTAAATATTACCGCCTACGAGGAATCCGTTAAGATAAAACAAATGCATTCGTCGCCTCTATCACTGCGACCCAGAATACGAGAGATACGCATCACCAAAGAGAACAGCTGAGCAAATGACGTCAGCAAAGTAGCTTCGCGCCAGATGTGCATGCATACGGCATTATGTTATTTTGATTTCAATAAGTTATCAGATATTGGTATCTGTCAAGGATACAAGACTAAGTTTTAGAACATCGTTGTCTGAGGGGGTATTTATAGTCCATAATAAGTTGAAATCAGCAAAATGTAGAGTGACATGAAATATCGTCTTAGGCTCCATCGGTTATGTGCTTCAGTTATGTACGAAGAAGACATATGATTCAAACTTGGTGCGGTAATGTTTTTGTGAGATAAATCCCTGTAATTGAACCATTTTGGGCGCCAGAATTTGCCAAGAAAGTGAATTTCGCTACGATTCTGACTATTCTTTCAGTGACTCGACTAGAAAATCGAACCGACATAAGAAATTTCGTGTCGAAAATTTTACCGATCATCCAAAAAACGTCATAATGTAATCCAGTGCCTCATCTATAATGTACGACGAATGGATTTTCCTATGAGATGTCAACAACGATTGCTGGACTTACTAATTAGTTGAATAAATCGGCTTTCTGTTTACTTTCGTATTGCGTGAACGATTTGAATAAATTATGCATTTTATACCAGCGCAAAAGACAATAACCCGAAAAAATGTGTGGCCGACGAACGACAGTAAAATCGAGGTTGTACATCGCGTGGTGTGCTGTGCAACGTTTCCAATAAACGATGTTCCGCGAGTTTCTGGGAATTATACTAGTGACGCGTGGATGCAGAAATTTTCCCGGCGGTGAACTTAACTGATAGTAAAACTTCAACGCTAAATTTCATAAAATCGATGGCATTCTGTTGAAAGTACATTTTGCAATGCTTTTTCTAATTCAATAAATTATTGTGAAATTTAAAAAAATCTCACAAGGTTGTGAAATTTGTTTACGTTAAATTTACACAAAGTTGACTATATACGGATTGAATAACAATTGCCAATTATTTTACGAATCATGTATTCCGATGGGACGTAAACCCGACGCTATATTTTGTTTTTAGAACTTTTTCACCAAAATTAATCAGCTTACGCAGCTCAATACGAGTCACTGAGTTATCACATTTTGGTAATCGAGGGAGCGTCGCATATCGTTTTTCCTCTTATAGAGTGTATATACTCTACGATATTATATTAAGCTGACAGACAAGAGAACGAAATACATTCAAAACCGTAACATAGTACTTTCTGGAAATAGAAAATTGAAAACTCAAAAGTATCTATTTTAGGCAGTATTACATTGTAATAGAATGACTTCTGCTCAGCAAGATGTCAAGAAGCTCAAATTTCTAACGTCAGAGAAAGCACAAAAAGTACACGGAAAGAGAAAGTAAAATAGTTTTCTCTAGATAGTGTAAAGTCAGTTGCCCTCACATACTTCATTAGCCTCCTTGGTTAGAATCGAACAGTGCTTTGTAGACTGTATTTTATTACTTATTAGGCGTTATCGGAAAATTTAAGGGAAACTTGAATCTAGATTCTTGAATATTCGGATTGTGAGTGGTATATGCATAGGGTAAAACGCATCGTTCTGCTATAATGTCTGTGTGAAGATTATAATCACCTAATAGAAGTTTTATATGAGGTGACAACATGTAATTTAAATACTTTACTAAAGTATGTTGAATATTTGTGAGTCTTAATTACGGTATGTTGAAACCGCTGAAAGGTCATTATTTTTTTTCAAATTATTTCACTGCTCATCTAAATAAGCAAGGATAATTTAGATAGATTTTCTTCTGTGTCAAGGATGACCAGAACATATTCATCATCCCCTCGTATTGTGACTCAACTGCGGTCCACGATTAGTCCGTACATTCATTCAATTATAGAATAAATTACTGTACGCTAGTTAACCTTGTGAGTTTTTATTGCAGTGTTATCGACCCACAACTCACAAATTCGCTCTCTATTGAGTCGTTAATAATCTCATCTACAACATAGGAATACAGATCTGTCAGACAAATCTTAAATCCCTGGGGTAATAGGAGTTTATTTTCGATTGTCAACTACTTGGAAATTCGAACAACGTGCCACATTATTTGTTTCAAGAGTTTGCAACTGCGTGTGCTCCGCGGGGTGGTTGATTCAGAATTGACAGGGCGAGCGTACGCAGAAATGTTGTACTGATTAAATCTTTTTCTTTTCTCAAATAAGTGCCTCATTTGACGCTGTGATATTATAAAATATCGAGGCATAAAGTTGTTTGCATTTGTGTACATTCCCACAAGACAAAAACAGCTTGAAGCTGGACTACAACTCTTTATGTAATTTGACTGTAATACTTTGTAACCCGGGTGGTAGATTCATTAATGAAGATATGTTATTTACATTCGGCAATGTTTTCAGAAAAATACATGGTTCTAGAAACGCTCCTATCCTACACGCTCGGGTCTTTGTCCAAAATTGTCATAGCGGACGTTTAGGTTGAATTTAAAAATTTAATCTAAATTGTAAAACATTCTGACTATACAAATATTTATTTATTTAGATTGGAGAATATCTATTCATTTATTCATTCAGATAAATTTATTCATTTAGAAACAGCATGCACGCTAATAGTGTGAAATTGTTTAGATATTACTTTTATACTGGATATCAGTGTGGAACTGTATCCCTATTTGAAATAGTTAAGAAGAGCTGTAGTATTTTATCTGCTCGGACTAATATCAATTCAGTCTGGAATATTGGCGCCTCTGGTCGTCTCGTACGAATAGGCAACTCCGTAGTGATAACGGAGATTGAGTGATAATTACTCTAATTCACTTTTGTTCCGGACAAGCAGCACTCAGCATAGTTCTGGTATAAATTCCACAAAGGAGTCATGGTCATGTTCAAGAATGCAAACCATTGGATTTTCCTCGAGTATCTACTACCTTGTTTAGTTCCGTAACATTGAGTAATCAGATCAGACTGAATTGAAAGAATAGGCTGAAATTAGCTATCAGTAGTTAATAATGTAGTAGTGGTTGAATAGTCTAGCGAAAAACTAGCGAAAATGTTCACAATTCCCGTATACAAAAAACTTTTCTGGTATCAAGGGTCGGGGAAGCATCTCCCGTGAAATGCAATGCTGAACACTGATCTCTCCTATCTGTAAGTACAAAGGCCTGTTTTGTCAATTAACTTTGTCGTCAAAACTGGGAACGACATGGAACAACCAGGGGGTAAACTTATATTCACATGAAAAAGAAATCGTGGACAATTAGTGGGGAGTGACACTTTCATACAACGAGACAGTCAAATTCGTATCAGTAAGGTCTCTTTATGTTACTTTGGGGCGGCCTCGTTGTCGTAAAATTGCGGCACTTGAACGTAACTGACGAAGCTATCGACCGCAATTTGACATCGGTTGCGTGAAACTTATAAGAATTTCAGGTTTTAGTGTGTGAGATGAAAGTTATCATGAGCGGCGAAAATGTATGTTTTTTATTGTATCATATTTAAATGCAATTATGTCGTTTAACGTGGATGCAACGACTACCTGACGAAGTCTTCATAACGAATGAAGGTTAGCACTTTTTCCGCATAATTTCGAAGCGAGGATCAAACTTGCGACATTCAGGTGGAAGTAATCAGTGGCTCAATATCAATCTCACCAACTGGCGGTCAAAGGCTTGTGCGAATTATAACACGTAAGCAACTGGAATCATGTCGTTCTCGGGTGGAAGGCAACGGCGCTAATTAAAGCTGTAACTACTGGTGAAGTAAACATATTCACAGTAGTTGATATATTTATATATATATACAAAGTATTTGAAGAATTAACAGAAAGTTCTGCTTTAGCTCCCTTAGATACATTCATAGAGTTCACGTCATAAATTCCCTTGCCCAAACGACCTTAAATGCAACCAAGGATTATCGTAATTTGTGACGCTTAAAAGGTGAGTCTGGAAATATGTCTGTCCCCCGCGTCGCAACGCCGTGAGAGTAATGTATATTTCATGAATGTTACCCTTTTCGGCGTGCATAATTCAATCCTATATGTCAATGTTGTTTGCAGATCTAAACAAACCATTTTGATAAGCTCCAACCATCAGTCAAGTCATTAGAGTAGGTCACTAATTATCTTGTCAAATCCGGTTTGAACCGGTATTTTTTGGTTTTAATATTCCTGAACAACGCGTCATGGGGGAAGGAGCAGAGGGCAACGAGGATGAAGTGCATTTTCTTCGAACGGTAATGTGCTCTATATCTATTCATCTCTGCGGACTAATATTCTTTATTCGATAATATATTATTTATTTATCATATTCGAAACTTGCAAGATTGTTAACACGTATCAGTATTACTTTAGTCTGTTCAGTTAGAAATTAGAAATCATTTTAGTTGATAAAAATGTACCCCATATCGAACACACGATGTCGATCTTATTTTAAACAAATATATAGATTTGAAATTGATACAAGAAATGTTGATTATCATAGATTTTATCAATATATAACAAAGCGACCTTCTCATTTTTGGTTTCCCATGTATCATATCAATGTTTCAGACCTTTTTGATTCTTTATTGGTGTTTTACGGCTAATTTAAACGTATAATATTTTTGTTTGTTATATATTTGGGTCGATAACATAGAGTAACAACTTAAAATGACAATACAAAATTTTTGAAATATTCTGTTTTTGATGCTTTTGTTGAACTTCAATATATCAATTTTATACAACGCACAGTCAAATTTTAGAGTGTATTTAATTACAAATCCTAAAGAGGTCATAGATTTCAAAAGTCGATTTGTTGTTTGCTGATAAAGGTCGACCATACCTTGACAATTTAACTTGTCGAACAACCTTCGACTGAAAATGGAAATCGGTAATGTCAGGGAGATAAGAAAACGTGTTCTTGGGAGAGCGATATACATAACCTATGTCTGGGCCTGTAATGATATTATATCCTTCGTATTACTACAAAATCGATTTTATCGACGCAACTTATGTTGATCAACGTCACATTAGTTTGACTTGATCTAAAAATGACTTCAAATCGATTTTTGGAAGCTTTTAACTTTGATATAACGGAAGGATAGCTTAAATATAGATGTTACTAATCGCACCCAAGGTTTAACATTAATACACTAAGAAAGGTTAATTGAATGTCTATTTCTGGGCTTGTTTGCAGCGTATAAATTTCAACGGACAATAAATACAGAACGGACACACGCACTCTGGTTTTACTCACAATGACAAAGCACTTTTCAGAACTCAGGAATGAACTCATTCAAAGCTCGCATTCGAAATATCAGAAATTACAAAAAAGTACCAATTATTCATTAAAGCTCTGTATAAAGTAAGCCAGAAAAATCGCTTGCGACAAGACTACAATTTTTCAAGTTGATGCAACTATAGGAAAATTCCCCAGTGCAAACATAAATTAACACTTTCACCAAGAATATGCATTATGATAATCTACCCAAAGAAATTCTTTATTCTCATATTGCTTTATACAGGAGGATGAAATTTTTCTTCAAAGTACAAGTCTAAACCAGAAGGAAGCAGTTAAAGTTGCTCTAGCCGCAGAAGGTTTCGGAAATAGAGTTTGTTATGCGGAATTAATCTCTAATTCAGAGGTAATTTTCTACAGAGTATGAGTACATATTGGCTGCTAAGCTTAACGCTTTCCCGAAATTTCAAAAGCCCTGTAAATTGACTTCACGTTTGCCCAATTGATCCATTACTCATGGGAATTGTGACGTTCATAAAATTTGTTCTTTACAAAATCACATTGGAACACTAATAAACGTTCACGTAGAAAAATACGACGTTCGCAAATGAACGTAAAATATTTTGCTGAAGGATTTTCATACCCGTCGGGCCAGATTATTTGGTTTGGAGTTCAGTTTGTGGAAATGAACATTTTTGAAAAATCAATCCATGTTATCACCGCTGAAGAACGAATAGTCTAATGTTGTCACAGATGCCTAACAACATTCAATTTTTAAAATTCTTGAGTTTTTCCTTAAGACTAGAACATAATATTTCGGTTCGGTGTAGACATGTAGTTCGGGTATCGGGCCTGACACGTTCTTGCAAGCTTTGTACATCTCAGACTAATACTACAAATTTAAATACTGTATCGTATGTAGAACTTAACTTACCAACGTTAACTGATCATTTTATTTCGTTTCAGTCCGCACCTACGGAAACACCACGATGTATTTTCAAACTTTCTCAAGCATTATCAGTTCGTGCATTACATGAGCTTCTCGCTACACCAGAGGATGATGTGAGTCCTTTATTTTAACTTTTATCTCACGTCATCATTGAGATATATGATTTTCTCCGTACTAGATCCCTGACCGATGACAAATAAAATGCACGACTTATGATCAATATGTCCAGACGAGTATAGATGTAAATTACCGTTGTACGCGAGTTCCCCTCACTCCCGATTTGCCCACCAGCGACAACATACACAGAGCATAAAAAAATCAGCCATGTTATATGAGGTGATGTACGACAAGAATAATATAAGGTACAAATTAATTTTAAATACAATTTCAAGGCGGACAAACACAATGCAGCGAAATGCATTACTGTTACATTTGTCTGCAGTTTTCATTTTTGTGAAACGAACGACGATAAAATCCCATATATTTGAAATAGATGGTTGATGTATAATCTGTTTCACGCTATCAACAATCCAGTAGCGTTAGGGCGGTGTGTCCTATTCAGTTTGTCTGCTGGCAAAATTATCTTGGCGTTGCGAGTTCTAGAACCGGGCACAGGCCCAATGTGCGTATGCTAAATTGGGTGAGTGCCTACGCAGAGCCCTATTGAAAACGGGATATAAAGCATAAAGCACCCAATAAAACATGATTTCCCATTTCAATTTACAAGTTACTGACAAAAATCTTAATTTTGGTACGACAAAGTTCAATTGAGAAAATGTAGAAACTTTCCAATTTCACTTATCCAAGTCCAATTACTGCAACATATCGTGGACCAAATCAATATTCGAAACTACTTTTCTTTCAATATTTAATTTAACCTGCCTGTATTGTGAGGGTATTGTTTATAGGTCGGCTTGTTGCGGAGCTAAAAAATCGAACTGCATTTAATAAACAGGATTAATCGATTTGTCTCCCGGGTGAACTTTACAGTGAACTTATATATATATGACAGTTATCGAACAAGTTGACTAGTATTAATAATTTGCCAAAATTATTCCAACTATAAATATTTGAGATTGAGGATAGGTTTGGTGTACTCGAACTTTCACTTCGAAAACACGCTAGGGAGTGAATTGACGATGATTTATTTACAAAGTATGGTGTGTGGATAATACCAAATATAGCCGCCTCAATTAGATTCTCTGTCATATTCGCCACACCTTTTCATTTTTGGTTGCATTTCATTCAGTTTTAGGGAAGTCTTATGGCTTTAAATAACTTCAATATAAAAATATCATATGGGGGATGTACACCGGAAAACCTCGCCGCGACTATATTTACATAATAAATTTTATGGAACTTTGACATTTTTTGCATCTTTTGACTTTGGTTATATAGGGAGGAGATGAGGTTTCAGAAGATGGTGATAACGGGAATTCCTCGCATCACGAAAATGCTGAGGCAAGACAGCCTGACGCGTGCTGTGGCAATTTTATTCTGATTTTTAAACTATTCTTTGCATGCGCATAGCGTTTTTATTTCTGATTTACATGTTTTTTTTTTTGCCATTTTTCAAACGCTCTTCGCTTTTTCAATTCGCTTATTGGCTCATTAATACTGGAATTTGTAAACGTCTGTTACATTTGGCAAAATCGGTATGATTGCTGCAACTCCATCTCTGCTTTTTATTCTTCTTTATTTCAGGCAACTAGGCTATGACTTTGCTTATATCTGAGCGCGAATGAATTGCGTGTTGCATGTGTTTTTATTGATTCTTGCAGTGCAATACGAAATCTTTATATTCGACTAACATATACATATCTTCAGGGAAAGACAGGGCATAGCAGAACGCTGCTGTATGGTAACGCTATTCAGTTGAAGCATGCATTGAGTGGAATGGTAAGTTTCACAGCAAACTAAGGTTTCAACGATTAAATCCATGGCTCTAAACTTGTCCATTTACCAAATGTTTACGAAATATTTTCGCGAAACCTCTTCGTAAGTTCTCAAAGTATAAGTTAAATCATCTTCGCAAAGTCAATCAATTCCTTTCCTGCAACCTTTGAAAATAGTGATAAATTTCATTCCACATCGATCGAGGGCAAAATTGTTGTATGATTTGAAAAAAAAGTTGAAAAGTGTCCTGTACCAATACTTGAAAATTCATAACAACGCGGAGTAATGTCGCGTAGTAAACGAATTTGGAAATGAAACCTCTCAAATATGCAATTAGGTGTATATATCCCAACCTCGCCGAATCCAACCGATTCGTTTATTTGACTCTGAAATCTGATCGAATCAAGGTTGGGCCACAAGTTTAGTCCAAAGTGGAATTAATCATAAGCTCTAACGTCTATAAGCAAAAGCAGCCGGAGAAATGTACAGTATTCTAATGTAATGTTTACTCCTATTGCCAATAAAAATATACGTAAAAAATATATTTATTTCACGTCGATGTGAACATTAATCTACATTTGTGTGTTTAGTATCTTTCTTGCCTCTCTGCATCTCGTTCATCAAACGACAAACTCGCTTTTGATGTTGGACTGACCGGCGAAGACACAGGTGAATCAAGATGGTGGACGGTTCATCCTGCATCAAAACAACGGTCTGAAGGAGAAAAAGTTCGAGTTGGCGATGATTTGATTCTTGTCAGCGTTGCAACTGAACGATATCTGGTTTGAATTCTTATTTTTGTTTCGCTTGCAATTTTGTATTAGAAATTCGAGTTGATGGATAAGTATGGTAAAGACGGTTGGTTTAAAAGTTATCAACAAGAATGATAATCACACTATCTTGTCGGGACAAGATATCAATCCCGAGATATCAATTAAATCATTTAGTAAAACGAAATTTGTCGGTCATTTTAAAATCATTCATTCACGTTGCGTCTAGCGTGGTAAAATGCACTTTATGGGGCCACAACATAACTTGATAAAATAACGTAATGGCGATGTCGCGTTAATATACGCTGCATACCATTCATTGATGAAGATATTAGTTCAATGCTGCAACGGAAAATTGAATACACTTAATATCATATAGATCGAATTAATGTTTACCGTACACGTTTTAACTGAAATGTCGGATATATACGTTTGAAATAGAGAATACGCCTCTATTGTGGCGCTTAGGTACCTTAGGTATCTCTAACCTGACATATACACGTTTTTAGCATCTTACATTGGACACCAATGGTTCACTTTGTGTTCTTGCATCTTTCCAACAAACTTTGTGGACAGCGGGTCCAGTTTCAGCTGGAGCTGACAAAGTGCAAGGATTTTTGCGTGGAGGAGACGTTTTGAGGTTATTTCATGGACATATGGACGACTGTTTGACGGTGCCACCAGCTGCTTCTGAGGATGGACAAAGAAGGTATTTTTTTTAGGCTGGATGTCGGATTCATTCGTAAATCTCTCCTATCCCATGGTCCTGCTCTGGCCTATATATGTCACGCTAATAACCGAATTGCGTAAGTCACTTTTGGTGATTTTGAGTTTTTTATAAAATAGGTATTTATGTAATTCTGCGCACCTGTCTGTTGACTCAGATTTTATTTTAAGAATTCCGAAACCCATTAAAATGGAAATTTAGTATGACATATATATATTTGTGCGATTGTTTCGTCATAATGAATTATCCTGGTTACCGCAGTACTATTGTGACGTCACAAAGGCAAAATAACCTCGCCGACGTATTTTCGAGTTTTTACATCTCGGATTCTAGCTTAGCGCGTATTAATTTGAATTTATACTACAGTATAGGAAGGCGTGCACTTGCGTTATTCACTGTCCGAGTCCAATTCACCTTGGTTGGCTTTTATATTGGGTGCATTGCTGTTTTATTCTTTATATTTAATCTAAGTCTTATTTCGCTGGGTGCGCAGAACGTGTTATATCGATGAAATATATATTTTAAACATAAAAATAATGTAATTGAAACTGATTAGCTATTTTGGGGATTAGACATTTTATATACTGAGAATTACATTCGTTTTTGGAATGTTTAGTTTTTAGGACTGGTGCATATAGTAAAGTTGCAAAATTGCGTATGTCCCCAAGTCATAGACACATTTCTGCCTAAGTCACAGTGCGCCATTATGACGTCACTTAACTGCGTCATACAAATTAACATAAATCCGGCTACGATCAAAAAAATGAACAATGGCAAATTATTGACTCTCAATGGCATAACAATATCATTGGGAAGTTTTTTACGTTTTCCTCAAAACTGCTAAAAATGACTTACGCAATTCGGTTATTAGCGTGACGATATATAATATACTATTAATGTAATAAGAACCGGGCATAAGAAATGATCACAGAATAAAAAAATAATTAGATGAATCTACTTCACTTAGAATCGGGTGCAGTGTTAAATATTACGGAATAAGTAATACTCTTTAGAACGTGGCTGGTCTAAGTAAGTATCAAATCACGAAATGATGGAATTATGAATATATCAACAACTTAAAATTCAAAAACTGTTGGTATTAATAACGTTACCGTTGCTTATACGTAAACGCCCCCAACACACCTTTTTTACCCTTTTCTCTATTTTATTATCCACAGTCCGATAAATAGTATTAGATAAACGAATCCACTACCAGACCTGAGTTTGCAATTGCTGATGGTTGACGTTTGTTTACGAAGATCTTGCTGTCGTCGCCACACAAAGCGTGGGCGAATCGTTCCATTTGTAATTTTGATTGCTATTTTTGTTTACTCAATCTCAGGGGAGTTCAATATGAAGCTGGGCCTGCAGGAAGCCACGCAAGGTCTTTGTGGAGGTTAGAGTCAGTTCAAGTGAAATGGAGTGGTGCACATATGTCGTGGGGGCAACCATTCAGACTGCGACATATTACTTCAGGTAAATAATGATATTAATATAAACTTGTGGCGAGACGGTGGCAAAATAATAATCTTAATCAAATATTTGTAGGGTGTTTATGATATTTGTGTATAAGCTGTACAGGTTGATTAACAAATATGACTGGGTTAGTATTTGCACTGGGGGTATTGCTTTGATCTTATTTCATTTTAAATTTTTTAGTTTATTTTTTATTTTTTCGTTGTTCTTTACGCAGGTCGCTACCTCTGTGCGTCAGAAGATCGTGGAGTATTGCTGATAAGCGCGGAAGAATCGTCCATGAAGGCAACAGCATTTTGTGCAAGGCAATCTAAGGTACGTAAATGAATATCACTTACCCAAAACTCAACTTGGTAAATAAAATTCATAAAAAGCATTCTGATTCACGTTTTATAACTGAATTTTAAAATCTATCGTTTTATATCTACCCAGGATCGTACAGAACCATGGGGTGAAAACGAAGTTGAAGGAATGGGTCCTGCGGAAATAAAATACGGAGATTCCGTTTGCTTTCTTCAGCACGCCAAATCTGGAAAATGGCTTTCTTATCAGGTATGCGATAGTTGTATTTGTTTACCTAATTTTGTTCAACTAAATTCAAACCAATTTTCTGAAAATAAAATGAATGTGTTGTACGATTGTGCAGTTTATATCTGAAGCTTAAATTTTGCTATTATTTCTTCATTCAATTTTTTACTTTTAGACGACAGAGTCGAAAGCAGCCCGTCTTGGAAATCAAGAACTTAAGGTGAGACATCACGGAAAACCTAATTTTTCGTATTTTTTTTGGATTATAAATGATTATACATTGTATATATTTAGCAGTAAATTTAGTGTTTGAAATGTCTTTTTCCTTTTATTTTAAAAGTTTTTCTGAATATTTTCATTTTCAGGCAATTGTACATCACGAAGGTCATATGGACGATGGCTTTACTCTTTCAAGAGCTCAGTCAGGAGAAGCAAGATCTGCGACAATTATAAGAAGAAGCGGTCAAATATTTTGGACATTCATTAAGTATGATTAACCTAAGATCAATCACGGTCGTCTTATATCAGTATGGTAAGCTTCTAACAAAATGGTCTGAGTTCGGCTTGTGGCTGAATAGAAAAAGCAGGTAATCTTCAAAAATTTTAATCCATAGATGAAATAGTTGTAATTCCCCCGAAGAAAATACTATTTCAGCTCTTAAGCCTGCTTCTAAGTGTCAAGTGAAAACCACTGGAGGTATGATGGCGCGCAGTGTGTGTGCAGACGCCGCATTTTCTCTTTTTTGATGATTAACCTTTATGGCGCAAGATGCTACCATCAAAGTGATATCATAAATAAAATATTTGTGTATTTATATTTATTGAAACACTATGTACCGTTACTATTAAACTACTATTGCTTGACTGTAGTGAAGGATTTCTGGCCTTTATTCCTGATATCACATGAATGATCGCAATGGCACAAAGGTATAACGTTAGACTAATCCATGTTGGCATTACATGCCAAACATTTCAGGTTTAAGTCGCACATCCCAATCCATCCAGTGTGTAATAAATCGGGTAGGTCGGATTCTTCAGTCTTTCTAAACAGTTGTTATCAGTAAATGCCCTTACTTAGCCCTGTACAGGGAGAAGGCGAAAACAATACCACTGGTCATTTATTATACATCATTATTTATATACATTAATTCGTTATTTCTTATGTAGTGCATTGGATTCTCATACATCAAAAAAGCCTTCGCGCCGTCCATCAGTGCTGAACATTGACGAGATGATGCAATGTATTGATGATCTTACTGAATATTTCGGTGAAGTATCGAGTCGATTAGAACATGCTGAAAAACAATTTAAGGCACAAGAATTGAAAAACAGGTTTGAAGGAATTATTAGTCACGCACAATCTTGTTAAGAAATAACTCGATCGTCCGGCTGCAAAAAGCTGTATCCACTGGTTTCTATATCATATAGTTGTATTGTAGTTAAATCGGAAAGCTTTACAAGAATAGTTTATATTGTACATACGACATACATTCTTTTTCATTATGAATGATAGTGAAATGAAATATACTGTTTCAGTGAAGTATGTACTGTGATTGGCAAATTATAATTTTAGTTTATTCGTATGTTTATGTCATCACTATCAGTTGTATATAGTCTTGTTTGGATTGAAGGTGTTATAACTCCCCATACAAAATATCCCCTTTTCTCGCACGAAAATTAATCTTATTTCTTTGAACAATTTTTACATCAGGCAAGATTTGTTTCAAGAAGAAGGAATGATATCACTTGTACTAAGGATAATTGACAAACTCAGTTCAATAAGTGATACAAACGCTATGGCAACTGTTGGAGAAGACCTAGCCGAAAAGTAAGTAGATTAAATTTATTACACGGCGTTCATTCATTTTCAAAATACCTCTGGTAATAATACTGCCTATCTCTATATGCGACAATAAAACTGACGAACTGGCCGGACTTTTTCAAGCGTAACCTTTATACAAATCGTATTATTATTAAACTTTGTTCTTTGTGTAATTAGTTTTTGTCTGTTTAACTAGTTGGGAAATCATCTTGAACTCCCTGTATGAACTACTTGCCTCAATGATCCGAGGAAACAGTGCAAATTGTGCAAGATTTTCAAAACATCTTGATTGGTTGATTGGACAACTTGACAGACAACAAGCTTCAATGGGTAAGTGAATTTTTACCGTTCATACCGAATCACAGGTTACGGATCTGGTTTGCAAACCCCATTCCCAAAACCCCACTCAGAGTGTTTTAATTTGAGTAGACCAGTCCGAACCGAAAATAGTAACTATCTGCTTGTACAAAGCCTTGTTTTAAGTGAAAGGACGGGGAAAGTGTCGTTGAAATGACCGGATCGGTTCAAATCAACCTGATTCACTTTATCCCAGGCGTGGAGTCGAGCATGGGCTTTGAACTCGATATTTCTAACCTGCTGCGATGGCACCATACTTTATAATGAAAATTGGGTTCCAGTTATATGTGTGTAACGCAGTTACAATCTTCAATCTTTATATTCGTGTACTTCGACACATCTACTACAGGTATATTAGAGGTACTTGCTGCTGTGTTGGAAGACAGTCAAGAGGCGCTGAATATTGTCAAACCACAACATATAAGATCAATAATTGGATTGCTGGAAAAACATGGAAGAAATCCAAAGGTAAACAACCAAAAACCCAAGCAGAATAATTAAGCTTAATTAGGAAATATTTTTTGATAATTAATACTAGATAAAGCGATGGCTGGTGAATTGATTAAACTATTTTGACATCCAGTACAGATATGTTAATCCTAGAAGACTGCTCTGCCTAATGTTTCACCCAAGCTAATCCGCTTGTTACACAAAAAGGAAATAGCAAAATTTCGATCCATTTTAATACTAATAGCTGCCTCGTTTTAGGTGGCTGCTTGCCGATAGCACTGTTTGGGGTGGAAATAATTCATAAAATATTTGCAAACTTTAGTATTTTACTAAAGCATTGGTCTGAATATCTAAAGTAATTTTACTATCAGGTTCTTGAAGTTTTATGTTCGCTCTGTGTTTGTAATGGAGTTGCAGTTCGTGCAAATCAGAATCTAATCTGCGATAACTTGCTACCTGGTCGGGATCTTCTTCTCCAAACAGCTCTCATTGAACAAGTCTGCAGGTTTGAATTTTAATTGATACCCAAATATCCTTTCACATTATTGGATGGTGAGGTGGTAAACTGATTTTTCATGGTTGTCATTTTCAGCCTGGACACCAATGAATAGGCCTATCGAACCGATTATAATTTTCGGCAATCGCTGAAGTTTTTATTTTATTTTATTCGGAATACTTTTTGGGAACTACTAGTTCTAAATTAGACAATCATTAAACGGTAGATAAGATATAATCATATACCAATTGAATTTGCTGTGGTACTGCATTTCTGCAGCTGTGTAAAGTCTCCCATTAAGTTGGAAGGCCGAGTGGACTGTAAGAAAAGCAAACTAGTTTCAACGTTCTAGACAAGCAAATGTCGGACGTTTGCCGATTACGTGAAACGTACCTTGATAACGATTAAACTAGAATACATTTTTCTTGCATGATGCATCCCACGGGATTAAAACTTTCCTTCTTATTTGTGGTTACGATAGGGGTCGTGTTTTTGGCATCATTTGCGTGATTTGGTAAAAATTTATTCACGTAAAATAACAGTAATCTATACACATTTAATTTTAGAACTAATTAAGTATCGTCACGCTAATAACCGAATTGCGTAAGTCATTTTTGGCGATTTTGAGTTTTTTATTAAATAGGTATTTATGTAATGCTGCGCACCTATCTGTTAACTCAGATTTTATTTTAAGAATCCCGAAACCCATAAAAATGGAGATTTAGTATGACATGCACATTTGTGCAATTGTATCGTCAGAATGAATTATCCTTGTTGCCGCGGGACTATTGTGACGTCACAAAGGCAAAATAACCTCGGCGAAGTATTTTCGAGTTTTTGCATCTCGGATTCTAGCTTAGCGCGTATTAATTTGAATTTTTACTACAGTATAGGAAGACGTGCACTTGTGATATTCACCGTCCGAGTCAAATTCACCTTGGTTGGCTTTTATATTGGGTGCATTGCTGTTTTATTCTTTATATTTAATCTTAGTCTTATTTCGGTGGGTGTGCAGAACGTGTTATATTGATGAAATATATATTTTTAAACATAAAAATAATGCAATTGAAACTAATTAGCTATTTTGGGGATTAGACATTGTAGATACTGAGAATTACATTCGATTTTGGAATGTTTAGTTTTCAGGACTGATGCATATAGTAAAGTTGCAAAATTGCGTATGTCCCCAAGTCATAGACACATTTCTGCCTAAGTCACAGTGCGCCATTATGACGTCACTTAACTGCGTCATACAAATTATCTTAAATCCGGCTACAATCAAAAAATTGAACCATGGCAAATTATTGACTCTCAATGGCATAACATTATCATTAGGAAGTTTTTTACGTTTTTCTCAAAACTGCTAAAAATGACTTACGCAATTCGGTTATTAGCGTGACGATATCCGTTATTGGATTATATGGATTAAATCTTACAAATTAATGAAATTAACTCAAACCTTTTTCAGCATTCGTCCAAACGTGTATATGGGTGTGAGCGAAGGTTGCGCTCAATATAAGAAATGGTATTACGAAGTCCTCATCGAATCGATTGATTGTGCTGATTATCAAGATCCATATTTACGCGTTGGATGGGGAAGTACGATAGGATTTTCTCCTTACCCTGGCGGAGGTGATAGTTTTGGTGGAAACGGTGTTGGCGATGATTTGCATTCATATGGATTTGATGGTCTACATCTGTGGTCAGGTATGAACACGCATGAATTTAGCATTTAATTCTTTGTAGCGTGCTCGTAGATATTCATTGACCTGAAAATATTTGCATCGTAAGATCTGTTAATTCGAATATATTTCATTAAGGATTTGGTTTGAAACTTTTCTGAATCAATTTGAACCTAACGTATATATAAGTAGTAGGAGCTTAGACATAGTCTTGTTTGAGGAAGAAAATATTATTCATCCGTACAATCATTTTCGTCATTTTACGTTTTGAAAAATAAGGTCCAGGGTTTTGCGTTTATTCCATATTACCCACAATACCATCCATTTAATCTCGGATACAGCCTCATCAAATATGCAATTTTATCCTCATATTTTCAATATTTGAGTTCGTATTTCTCCCGTTTGTATTTCTTCCGTGAAACTTATCCCTAGTCAGTCTTCTCTGATCATCTTCTTATTTATACATAAGTCGATGGCTACGGCGCACCCATGATTTTAAAAAAGAAGACAAATGCAACACCCGTTCATTTTTCAAACACCTAACTAATGTTAGGTTTCATTCTCTGCTACAGGACACCGGGCTCGTACAGTTGGATCAGCTAATCAACATGTACTTTGTGCCGATGATATAATCAGTTGCTGCTTAGATTTAAATGCTCCGAGCTTGTCGTTTCGTATCAACGGACAACCCGTTCAAGGAATGTTTGAAAATTTCAACTTGGATGGATTATTATACCCCGTTGCCAGCTTTTCTCCTGGCGTGAAGTTAGTATACTATTTATAACGATTGTTTCCCAATTGTTCCTCCATTACTATAGTATTTAAGAAGTACCGACTATAATATTGACGGCCAATACGCCCTATCGTGCGATATTGGTTTTCCAACATTCGCTCTGTCAAATTTACTTTAAATAAATAACGATTATAATTTTTGAATAAAAAAGTCTACATTTTAACGCTCATTTTCCCAGGCATATTCAACCTGTGAATAAATACATGTCAATTAGGTAAATATACTCAATGACAAGCAATCAAATCTCTTTTTCATATATAACTTTCGACGGAAATTTCATTTGACGTTAGAAAAAGGTTTCAATTTATTTAAAAGTATTTACAAGTATATCAAAGTGTACGGCCCAGATAGGTATATGACACAGTAACAAACTCTTCGAGTACCGACAGCGGGCCGCGGCAGTGTTAGAAAATTTTGGAATATATTATCACGATTCCATTTTACAGAGTTCGTTTCCTATTCGGCGGACCGCACGGAGAATTTAAATTTCTTCCACCGGTAGGATATGCAGCTGCTTTTGAAGCACTTCTACCTGGCAGACGACTCATTGTAGAATCCTGCAAACATTATGGTGATCCAAATGAGGGTTTATTACGAGGGCCAGGATCTACGGCGGAACAAAACGTATTTGTACCTAATCCAGTTGACACAAGAAATGTAAGTATGGTCGCCCAAGTTCGTCTTTGTTTTTGACCTGTGAGCTTGTTTAATTGTTTAACGGTTGATGAAAGTTTATAGTTCGTTGGGGTAAGGAGTGGACCAATGGATCTAGTGCTGTTTTTAGGTTGTTGTTGTTGTTATTGTTGTTGTGATAAAATGCTTTTTTCGCAATTAATTTCAAATTTACACCACTTAAAAATGAAAGTAGTTACTAGTAGGTTATTACTTTCATTTTATTTTCAAATTTTCATTCGTACACTCCAACTTTTCACCCTATTTTTTTTAGTTTTTTCAAATTAATGCACACCTATGTGTGATATTTAGTTTACATGTCATATGACATTCAGTACAATTATTTTAGAATTTAGCTGTAATATCAGCCATTTGCTGTGTTTACATATTTAAGCATTGCTCCCTTATTTCCTGGAAAAGTTGTATATATAGGTATATTTTTGAAATTTAAAATTCTTAATTAATGAATTACATTCATGGTACCCTCTCTCATCAGAAAAAAAAGAGCGATTAAATTTTGATTAAACCAGAAAAAATGCAACTGAATGCAGTCAGAAGTGAAATATACTTGATTATACATTTTCTTTGCTAACAGGTAATCCTTCCTCACTATTTACAAACTGTCGTATCGAAACTTGCAGAAAACATTCATGAACTCTGGGCAATGAATAGAATTCAAGGCGGATGGAGCTATGGAACAGTAAGTTGAATAATAAACGAAAGTAAAATGAATAGAATCTACAAATTCCTTCCTTATTACATACATCATGGTCAATAGCGTATTCCATTTGATCAGTTATGAATCAGTTATTTGATTTGTTATTAATTCCACACATCTGACGTGTTTGAAGATTCCGGTTGTTCTTGTTCTAAAAATTGCTATTTATAAAATCATTGATTGCTTGCAGGAAGCCTTGTTCAGAGTGAAGAACGCTTCATAAAAACAATACCATGTGTGATTCCGATTTAAAATATGATGCGATGATGTTAAATAGCTATTAACTGAATTAATAATATATAGATTCGAGACGATGTCAAAAAGCAGAATCCATGTTTGGTTGAATTTACACATCTACCTGAACAAGAGAAAGGTTTCAATCTGACGATGGCGTACGAAACATTACGCACTATTGTTGCTCTTGGATATCATGTTGGAATAGCTGATGAAGATGCCGAGTATAAACTAAGAAAATTGAAATTGCCGAGAAAGTAAGTTTTGCTCAATTTTGTGCCCTGGTATTTTATTAAAATAACGACTTATGGACGCGATGGGTAGCGTTTACAGCGTTGACCTAACTGTGTTGGCATGGCAGGATACACATATCAAATTTAAATCTCACGCTAATCACCTCACACGGAGTGTAATAAATTTGATAGGCAATGCGGAACCGGAAAGATTTCAGTCCTTCCAAAAATATCACCACCTCACATAGAAGTGGTTTAATAAGCGTCGTGTAAAAAGTAAAATTTTCATTTAGTTCAGCGGTGACAATTTTGTCTAATTCAGTTGAAGCCGTATGATTTGCGCTCGATACCCATCACCATGGCTCACTTTGGTACTAATGATAAAAAAATTTGGTATACTACGCAATATATTTAAATCTTCCTACCTTCGCACTTTCACTGCTTATCTAAGGCCTTTTGTAAAGCAAAGCGTTAAGTCTCCTTAAACATGAATATTACCTAGACTTGAAAATGGAAATTACCTTTACTATATTTCAGTTACATGATGGCAAGCGGATACAAACCATCTCCATTGGATTTATCTCACGTAAGATTGAGTCATCAGATGGAAATGTTGGTGGAAAAACTGGCAAACAATGCACATAATGTATGGGCAAGAGAAAGAGTAAAGCAAGGATGGACGTATGGACTTAATCTTGTAAGTCAATTGAATCTTTGTGCGAAATTAATAAATACGATCACTGTAGGTTGTCGCTGATCACGCATAATGGCCTATCGGAGAATATATCTGGTATATTTCGTCAACTTAAGTAATTACAACTTCTTTTTATGCGCATGGGAATTGGTTGCAAACTATAGGGAGAGAATCCCAGCTTCTATGTGTCGTATTCTTTCTGAACTAATAAACACACTTGAAGAAATTTTGCAACTCTAATCTCGTCAGATGCCAACATATAACGCTCAATATTGTGTTGTTAATTGTTCATATATTGTATTGTAAAATTTGCTCAATTAAATTATATTATTCCAAGTAGCAGATAATTTAAAATACGTACAATCATGATTTCCCTTCATACATACGGAATATTAACAATAACGAACCGAAAGCGAACTACAGGGCGCAGTAGCGGAACACCACACTAACCACCCATGTGTATGCACTTTATTCTTCGCTATCTAATGATTTCTTTAGATCTAAGAGATCTTCTAACGTTTGTGCTGTTTTACCCTACTAGGTTGTTGGCATACTTGAAGATTTCTCTCACCAGCCTAGAGCCCTCCATTTTTCCCCTGATATTTTTTTTTTCATTCAATAAGGTGTATTTACAATGCGTTTGGTTAATTTGCTATCAATTTAAGAAATAAATCTAACGTTGTTTTATATGTTGCAGGATGTGAAAACCAAACGAAATCCAAGACTTGTGCCTTTCCATTTATTGGATGACGCGGCTAGACAATCAAACAGGTATATGCTTGAATCATTTGTGGCCGCAATTTTCGTTTGACACATCATGATGTGCATATTTATTGCCAGTTTTGTTTTAAGAATTATTATCAGAATCATCTCAAATCGTGTTTTGCACAAGTAATTATTATTATATTTATTTCAGAAACTCAATTCGTGAATTAGTCCGAACATTACTTGGGTATGGATACGCTGTTGAACCTCCAGATGAAAGATTAAATGAACACAGCACTGGTGAGGCGCTAAGTTCAGTTATTATTATTATTATTATTATTATTATTTTAAAATGCAAAATTTCCAAAATATAGCTAAAATGGATTCTCCTAAGTCTTTTTTATTATGAAAATAGCAGAAAATAATTTTGAAATTTCGAAAAAGTGTTTGAGAGGGGAAATTCAAATGTTTCTTTTCCTTCCAACTTTAACTCATCACTGACTAATAAACGATATTGAAATCGTACATTAGAGATCAGATCCAACTCTATCCAGTCCATTGTTGAGACTACAACACACATAAAAATCCCAATCATTTCACAGTTAGTATCTTCTTGACTATACGCAGAACACCCTGCGGAGAGCATTGTTCGTAGCAAACGGTTAATAAGACTTATTCATATTTTAGGATCAAGCCTGAATATTAAGCAAGGTCATTGTCGAATGTACAGAGCTGAAAGCACTTTCGCGGTGAACAAGGACAAATGGTATTTTGAATTCCAGGTGAGAAAGTAACCCATTAAACCTTTTTTCCCATTACTACTAAGCATAATAACGCCCCTTTGCGCTAGTTTAACCCTTATTTAAACAGGAGAACAGGGATCGAATATATATCGATGGGAGGATCAAATTACTAATATGGCCACCTCAATGTTAACAAAATTCTATCCAAATGTTAAAAGAAGTGTACCGAATGTTATATGTACCGAGTGTCATATGATGGTGTATTTGTGAATTGTAATAAAAACCATTAAGACTTGAGGCGCAATATCGCGCCCTGTAAGACACCAAAAAAAAAAAATATTAAAGTATTAGCCTTCGGCGCTCCTTCTATTTTCAAGTACAGGTTTAAAAATTGAATGGTGCATTAGTCGCGGCTAAAATAATTGTTTTTGCAAGAACATTAACAATTTGCAAAACCAATTTAATCTAATTCGAAAATGTGTCCTATGTTTTCAGGTTGAAACAAATGGAACAATAAGAGTTGGATGGGCCACATCAGATTGTTCTCCGGTTGTTGAGTTGGGAATTGATGAAAACGCCTACGTATTGGATGGAGCTCATGTATGTATATTGTACAAATTTTCGAGCTTGTGTGTGTGTGTTTATATGCGTACGCACACAAGCTTATGTCTTTAGTGTAAAATTGCAGTAATATTTTTCAGTTTTATTATATACAATTTGTATATATCTTGGACGATGACTGTGTGTCCAAAGCCTTGGACCAATAAATACATTAAAAAAAAAACGGTCACTCTTTGTGATGGATACAACTATTTTGTTCATTTTTGCTATTGTACTCACAGGCGCAGAAATGGCACAACGGTCCAGAACGTTTCGGTCACGTGTGGAATGTAAGTGATGTGATTGGCTGCTTGTTGGATTTTAATGAACGAACAATTGGTAAGTTTTTTCATATTTGATTCAACCCCATTTTCATTAAAATTACGTGATAAATATGTCATACAACATATGACCATAATATACATTACTTGCTGGTATTGAATGTCTAACAACCTCTATTTTCAGCATTCACACTGAACGGGGAAATCATGATTGATAGCACTGGACAAGAGGTTGCATTCAGTAATATCCCTGCTGATACTTATCTTGTGCCAATTGTAAGCCTGGGGGTTGGACAGAGCGGTTCTCTCAATCTTGGAAAGGTAAATTTTTTATGTTCACTATTATATTATTTCAAGTGGCAATAAATGTTATGGTGTAATTTAAATTTTCGTTCCGAAAAGAGGTCTACTATGAATATTTACCCCAATATTATTAACACTAAAATTCAGTCAGCGATTATAGCAAAAGTGCATGAAAGAGAAACTCTATCGCGAAAATGACGGAATTATAATTGTCTTCGTGTAATCAGTGCCCACAGCTTCTTTGTTGTTGTGATTCTAACAACCAGGAGTGTCGACGATTTTGAAGTTATTTACCCTTAACTGCTATGTACATATTTTTCAATGAAGTGCCTGTTTCTGGTTCCATCAATATATACTTCAATACTATTATCGGTCAGTATTTGAATAATATTGATGTTCTTTGTTTCAGGATATCCACACTTTGAAATATTTTTCAGTAAATGGTTTACAAGAAGGCTATCAACCATTTGCTATGTGAGTACACTTAATATGCTATTCGTTGCCATTAGTATTATGCTGTTTTCAGTTTTTTACATTAGGGTTTCTTGTTTTCTTACACAGTCGAATGAACTCCAACATACCAATGTGGTTTACCAAGAATCTTCCAATGTTTCAAACTGTCAATGGAAAACACTCTGATATTGAAATTACGAGGATACCAGCTGGGTAAGTATTTTTATAAGTACAATACTGTATTGCAGAAAATATCAATATGTTCGAGTGATCCAAGTTTACTCTTCTTCCACAAACCCTACTTTCTAGCTAAAACATTTATATGTAAGGCAATGTAATTTTTTAAATACAACTGAATCATCTATCGAGAGGCGCAGCGGTGTGGCTCAACGGGTCAAGCGTTAGGAATACGCTCGCCACCGCACCTCTAATTACTCTGCGTGGGTTCGCAGGTTCGATTACCATGCAGGGGTGGTTATGTGCGAGAGGATTGCTGGACTCCTCGCCGTCGTTGGGTGGTTCACGTAACCGCTGGTCGGTTACGACTTCCTCCACCACCAAGTCCATGCTTCCGAAAACAAACAATACAGTATAACTCACTAATCTCATACCCGACTTGGAATGGTAACCGGACGAGAGGCCGTGGTTCGCCATATGGATAAGCCGTCTTATCGGCTTTCCTCTCCCCCGGGATAAATATGTAAATCCTATCCTATCCTATTGTGGACATTGTATGTCATGCTTTGTTAGATAGATAGATAGATAGTTTATTTCGAAAACTCCATAACAAACCTAAATTTAAAATGGAGAATTCTGGAGGGCAAGCAAAACCTATAAAAAAGTTTAAAACATGAAGTATCTCATGTGCCTGCCCACCAGCACGCACACAAAAACACAAGCCTAATTAAATGAGGCTTGGGCCAAACTTAAAAAACAAAATACACGATAGTAATAAACTTTCGGGCTGTTGTACTCTCTTAGTTGAACAAGGATCTAGTTGAACAATCTAGTTGAACAATCTGTTGAACAAGGATCTAGCTTTCCCTGGGTATCACTCATGATAACTATATTAATTTAAAGTAAATTGACTGTGATTTGTTTAATATTCTTTGACTGTAATGCATTTATTTCATTTGTTGACTTTTTATTAGTGAAAGTATCACATGAAATAAGTGATAGAAAAATGTTGACACCAAAACTAGGTATTGCTATAGAAAAGCAGTAGGTTGAGTGTTGCGAGTCCTTAGGGGGCGGCTAAGGATCATGAAAGTTTTAAATCCACTGGTTTAGATTTAGATCATCTTACCTAATTACTCACACTCTGGAGACATGGTTCTAATTGAACATTAGCCTGATGGAACACAGTACTCAAACCCAGAATCTATTAATATTCGACCCCAACATAGTTAGACCAGTTTGCTAGTAACTGCTATTTGGTTAACAATGTATGCTTCATGTATGTATTCTTCAACACTTCACAGTTATATACAACCAACATTCATTTGCCCAATGTGCATGACACATTTGCCAAAACTTGTCCACGACAATCTGAGAATATTTTGCAAATTTGACGCATTTTCCATTTTTTCATAGTGTTATCTTTATATACTGAACCAATGATTGTTAAATTTATAATTTGTTTTTCAGTAACCATCTTCCACCAAGATTACGTGTCATTCACAAATGGTTAGGAGGACCTCGCGCCAGAGAAAAATCAGTTGAATATTTATTCACAAGATTGAACATGCCTGTGAAGATGGCAGAAAAATTTACAAAAAGGTAATTTTGAAGTTGGTAAAATTTTCAATTACAGCAAACAGTGAAAACATTTTAGAGCATTTCTGTCAAGAAGTTGAAATTTGCTTTGGCATTGTGAATAGCAGTTTTCAGGATCATTATATAGCAATAGATGCCAATAAAAAAATTCATATTTTTTGATAGATTACCATATTTCTCCCTACATAATACAACACAGAATACACAAAAGCATTTTAATACATAAATCACCAGAAATTAGTAATCTCCACGTTTCATACGAATAACTGCTAACTCCTGTTTTGCGCCTCCAGCCTTTTTGTTTATTGCAGAAGCGTTCCATACATTCAGTCTACACTTGTGTATTATACACAGAGTAATACAGTATATTAGAATAGACCGTTGCAACCAGCATATGCCTTTGTAAGGTATTCGTTCTCAAGACAAGATCATATATCATGTTCTATTCAAGTAACTAAACACCACTGATAGATTGTTGCAAGTAACCGCAATAAGAGCTGCATGTGAATGAAAGAGTTGATATACACGTTTACAAATATCATTTAAGAGAAGATTTGAAATATTTTTCAAAGTCAATCAAATCAAAACCTCAAAAAAAGGAATGAAAAAGGCTACCAGTCTAATAAACTATAGCTAGACTACAACTTATCAACATTTCTCTGTTTTTCTTTCTTTATACTTTCCTCTTTTATCCTTTCTTTTCTTCTTTCTTTGCTGCACAAAATAGTCCTGGAACTCAAATTAACATGTTTACTGATCAAGAATCTGAATTTGAAGGTAAGAAATGTTGTTGGCATTATTTCAGTATCTAGTTATAAGGATTTATTTTTATAATAAAAGTATTTTAAAAATCTATCTATCTATGCAATTGCATACAGAGTACAATATGATTTTTTTGCTTGACTACAGATTTATTCGATTTATGTTTGGTTTATCTTTCTTGAAGAATGAGATATTACTTTATATAGCAGTTGGATTAGAGTTCAAAACTCTACTCAACGTTTCCCAGATCAATATGTTTTTAGACTATTTTTAATTTTGGTAATTTTGACTAATGATTCAAATTACCACCAAAGAATAATAATTGGGGGCTCCCGAAGTATGCGAACAAAAATGGCGGACATCGTAATGTAACATGTGTACTAGATTAGGGTTAGGCCATAATTTTAGGTATAAATACTACGGGAGGCTCTTGGCTAGTCTTCGAACTGATAATAGGACTAAAATAAGGAAAACTGGAAAAAAATTATCGCCTAACCTTAACCTGTTACTCATGTTACGTTCCGATGTCCGCCATCTTGGTTCGCATACTTCGGGAGCACCAATAATTGTATATATATTATATATGCTAGTTCATCATTCAAATTTATATTGTGCATTTAGATATTGACAGTGATTTTGAAGTTCTTCGCAAAAGTGCTCGTGGATTACTCGCACCTCTGACAGCTCATGATCAAAAACATTTGTCGCCTGCACCAAGGCATAGTAAGATATTACTTTTAAATTATTTTTATTATTGCATTAGATAATAGAAAGTCGATAAGACGATTTATGTACTTGTCAGACCATTCTAGCCAATCCATTAGCAATTCAGATTGAAACAAGAATAAGGTCAGTTGTTTCAATGTATATCATTCTGCATAGGATGATATGCTTTGAAATGTCTATCATGTCTTTAATGCTTAGTGTCATGAGTCAGGGGTCACATATTTTTCGAAGAGTTATTTTTCATGCACTTTACATATAATATCAATAGAGTACATGCTCTTCACGCTGAGTGTTTTTTCATAATTAACTTGAATGATCGAAAAGAGCTTCTTTGTCAATTGCCAAATTTTTTTTATTTTAGGCAAAGTATCCAAGTTTCCATTTTCGAAGTCAAAAAATCTTTCACCGCAAGCAAGTACAGCAGGTGCTCTACCACCTAATTCACCAGGAGGAACAAGATTAACGGAGGAAGTATTGCCTGATCAGTTCGCAGATGTTCTGTATAAGAACGATATCGAACAAGTGAATTTTTACTTACTTTTATCAAGTTCCCATGTTATGTTTAATTTTATTAACAAAATTTTGCTATTTGTTGCTCACATTTTTCAATTGATGACTCTACACTTGAAAAAAAATATTCAAGTCGGAATTTGTGTTTGTTCCGCAAACCATATTCGTCGTTCGTCACAATTCATATCTTATGTTGAAGTCAAATCTACTGTCTATATGCCAGCCCAATAATGACCTCTACAGAAGAGGTCATTGAAATGGCAATGGGACCATGTAACCATCCCTGCTAGTAATTCAGCACTTGGATACAAAATTATTCCGAACCATGATGTGAAAAACCTTATAAAAAGTTCCAACCACAACCAAATTTTCTGTGAGATTATGAGTAAATCTATCAAGTTAATCGTTCCCATTGCATGGTCTTGAACACTAACCAATTTCATCAAGTATCAGTATTTGATTGTTATACATTGTAGGAATCGTTATCTTTACCCTATGAACATCACAATGCTATATTATTTTCCTCAGCTTCTGAAGAGCACTCAATATTCATTTTCCGTTCGGATTTTCCCATCACAAGAATCATCAAATGTATATGTTGGATGGGTGACCTCAGATTTTCACACATGCTCGTCTAAGTTTCACATGGAACAAATTCGACACGTAACCATCACATTGGGTGATGACAGAGGGAAAGTTAGTGACAGGTAAACAGTAAAAGTAATATTGATCGATTTGTGGACGACCATGGAATTCTTAGCAGCAAAATCATTGTTTTATAAACCCTATATTCTTTTGAAAAATAGAGCTGTGTTAGCAACACTGTTCTCACCATACTCCAGAATTTTTCATTCTATATTTGTGAGTATTTTGGAGTTTTCAAAATATTCTTTCCTATCTCATCTTGTGATTCACTTCCTGGCAATTGTGTATAAGTATATTTTCTTAACTCCTCACCTCACCATGAGTAGTGTAGTGGACACATCTACTGGTCGATTACCACCTCCATGCTGGACAATGCCGAGCAAAAAGCTGTATTTTATAGTTGAATACGTGGTTTTCTTTTTTTATGACTGAATATCAAAATGATATTCTACCCTATAAATGGTATAGGGGCCCAACCTTGACAATGTTGCTAATTGCTTGTGGTTACACAAAAGTTGCCTATATTTTCCCTGCTTTCATATGCATATTCCTCTGCATAAAATTTCAGTGTGAAAAGATCAAACTGCTTTATGTTATGGTGTGGTGATCTCCCACAAGCTCCATCTCCACCAAACAGCAAACCTGGTGGAAATCCAAGTGTATCTGGTATCATCGTAAGCTGTACTGTCGATCTTGCTACTGGACTACTCACATTTTCAGCAAACGGAAAAGATCTCAACACCTATTATCAGGTATATTTTGTATTTTGCGTCCTGTGTTGCTATGCTTTGGGAGGGTATTAACAATTTCTGTAATATAAAATTATCCAATGGACTGCACATGGTGTTAAACATGAGGAGCATGCTCTAGATCCCACTATGAGGAGCTTTAGTTTTAACTGGAAAGTGTTAATTATGTGACAGAGAATCGCTGATGTCTTTGTCCCACATGAAACTCCGAGAAAGATTTTCATCAGCCGCAGAACTGGCTTACTGTTATCATATCTGAGCTTAACAAACTAGTGACTGCAGTCGCTTTATTTCATATCTTATAAAATTAAGGAAAATATTATTATTCTATCTTATTTAAAACTATAACATCAAGTCATTGAATGTATAGTAAATTAGCAATAATTTTTATTCTCTATATATTTATTATAGGTTGAACCTGAGGTTCTCTTGTATCCAGCTGTCTTTGCATTGCCTTCTTCTGCGAATGTCTTTCAGTATGAATTGGGAAGATCTAAGGTATGAATGAGTTGAGATACTGTATAATAGAAATAATATGCACAACCTCATTTTTTATTGTTTAATTGCCTTGTTTAGCAAATAAAATTTATTATAAGCAGACTTTTATACTATACTACACTAATTAGTTATTGTTTAATATTTTTCAGAGTTGTATGCCAATTTCAGCTGCCATGTTTCAATCTGAGAGGAAAAATGTGATTTCTCAGTGTCCACCAAGATTACAGGTAACAATTCTTCAAACTCGTTAGCAACAGGCAACTACGGTACTCAACTAATGAATAATTAGTGACTAATAGCTTCTTCCAAAGATATAGTCAGTAGATTATCAATGAATCTACCCATAATAGCCAAAAAAAACTGTTTGATAACAATCAAGTGTTCCAAATATTTTGCTGTGCTAGCTTGCTGTCTCTAAGAATATTGTAAATATATGTTACATATCTTGAATTCGAAATCCATGTCCACTACTAGGGTGGTCCTAAAAATAGGGTAGGCATTTCTGAAGGATTCTGTTTTTCCCAAGACTACCTGTCTGAAACTGTGTAAAGGAAAATGGTGTGTATCATCATATAAAATCCTGTAGAGACAGTGATAACACATCCATAAACAGGGGCAGTACAAAATTGTTTATACTCTCACTGATTAATCAAATTAATGTTGTGGCATTCTCTTGCCTTCCAATTTTGTAAAATGTGACATAATGTTATCATACTGCGTTGTTAAATAAGGATCACTAATCATGACTTCTATATTTCACAAACATGAATTATCATGCTTATCACTTACGGTACTTAGACAACCTTAATAGATTGTCTAAACTTATTAAACTAGTTTGGCATTGGTCAACTTTGAATATTTTCCAATTATATGACAAATTGGAAGCCTTTAATTTTTGCAAAAAATGTTGAATTTCCAGTTCAATCAGTAGACTCGGACTAAAATATACGGAGTGATTGATAAAGCGAAAAACCAAATAAAAAGAGTTCATATTTAGTCATGAACCCCATTCGAAGCCAAAATACAAGCCCTTAGAAATTTATCAGATCTACTTTTCTTAATTTCTTCCTTGTTTTTCAAGAAATTCCCTACCAGCCTTTCCATTTCTATTACTGTGTGGTTGCTTGATTGACTTTGAATAGTTGAATATTGCAATTCACCGAATCCTAAATACTCTTTCATATATCTTAGGTGCCAATATTTATTCACACGCACATTGGGCAAGATTGGAAGAAAATCCAGTTGCACCTTTATGTAGAAAAGAAAATCACCATAAAGGAATGGTCCAGTTGGGAATTGAAAACAACCAAATGAAGAATACAAACACTTTCAAATAAATCCATGTGGTTGAAATATTTGAATTGATCATCATCAGGCAGTCAATGAAAGCCGGGCAACTTACCCATTGCAAAATTTTCAACTTTATTGATAAGAATTGTATGTAGAATTCAGCTTAAAATGGAATAAATTTATTAAATCTTATTCTAATCAAATGAAACTTTGATTGGATTATTCAACTAATTGGTTTATTTTGAGAAATCAGGCTTAAATAGAAATACACAATATTACCGGCATTTATATGTAATACCTGGTAACAAAATCATTGTATTTAGCAGTCACAGATTAAAGCTGCATCATCATAGATAGCAGTAAAAAGTAGAAAATACATCTATTATCTCAATTATTTATATTTTGTCTAGTATTTCAACTGTGGTCCAATATGTTATTTACTAATACCCGCATGTAATTTTACTGCGATTTTCTGATAGTGACATATTGTATTGGATAAAATTTGAATAATTACGGTAATTTATGTCAACTGTAGCATTTCAGTTTTTAACTTAATTTTGGAATTGATGGATATTCCACTGAACTTTAATTTATTGATTTCTATGAATGCTTTATGACAGCAACGACTTTTGGCGAATAAGTTCATGATGCTAAAGACATCGCTGTCACCAACCTTGTGAGAGTAGGCAAAGCAAAGCCAAATGTTAGTGTAGATTTGGATAACAGATGTAAAATTTGGAGGCCAATCCCACCCATTTTTTATGATGCTTATCCATGCCTTTCACTTCAAACAAACAGCCAGCACCTGATAGCTACCAAATTTATTTCACCCTGGGTGAGATGCTGGTCATGGGGTTCAAACCCAAAATGTGTTTTCTGCGATTACAACACAGTAATAAATAAATATGTAAATTCTATCTAAGTGAAGGCTAAACGCTAGGAAATCAAGCAGCGTCCTTGATTCCAATGTTCAAAGCTATCATACAGACATTCAACTATTGCTATGTCTATTTTGTATTCATAAATAAACAAAACACCTCTTTCTTCTTGTTTTCAGTCAAGTTTATTGCTGTCCATATACCAGAGGAGAACAGAAGTATTAATTTATTAGAATTGACAGAACATGAAAACCTACTCAACTTTCATGAGCAAACCCTCAAATTATATTGTGCTATGAGTGCCTTGGGCAATCACAGAGTTGCTCATGCACTTTGCAGGTCAGTACAATAAGAAATTTTAAACTTGATCTTCAGAATAAAACTTAAAAAGGAAAGTCGTGCTGTTTTTCATCTTATCATATTTACAGCTGTATTACTCACTTAGTTATATTTTTCTTTTTCAGTCATGTTGATGAAAGGCAGCTCATGCATACAATTAAAAGTGTATATCTATCTGGACCACTCAGAATGCAGTACCATAATCTTCTTATTGAAATGCATTTGGCACCACACGCTGATGCAAGGTAACTTTGTGTATATGAAATATTTTATGCTTTGTCTTCAAACAAGAATTCCTGATTTAACATAATTTGCTTGATGGAATAGTCAGTGTAGCGCTTGCACCCTAGTATTATAACTTGCGACATCGACATATTGATATTTAGAGTTTCGTATTTGTTGTTGTTAGATAGATAGCAATGATACCAATAGTTCTAACAATGGTGATATAAAGTTTTATTAAGTATTTCATATATATAATTATCATTATCATTAATTATAGTCATCAAGAAGTTATCATAATATCGATGTAATGATTAGATTGCTTTAGTGTAGTGACCTTTCTTCTTGTAACATATTAGTTTAACATTTTATTTTTTTCTGTTCCATTACAGAGTCAACACTCGAGAAGAATACATTTTCCCATTGAATGATTCCACAAAATCAGTTAGTTTATTTGCAAACTCAGAAACGAAGGAAGCAGGTTTACCTGGAGTTGGAAGAAGCAGTACATTGCGCCCTCGTATGAATTGGTCTACAATACAGTTTGTGACATCGTAAGTTGGTTATTTAATTCATTGTTTAACTTTTATTTTTCAGCGTAAAAACTGTCTTACTTCATACATTTGCAGCCCGCAATTACTATATTGTCCAACTGAAGTTCCTGAAATACGGCTGAATAATCTTCGTGATCATGTAATTCAACAATTGCTTGAAGTTGTCAGCATTGGAAACATGAATTTTAAGGAAGCGTGTGGGGAAAAACAGGAATTTCTATTTGTGTGAGTACTATTTTTCATTTTGCATAGAATCAATTTCTACTATACACAATCTACCATACTTAGTGTGAAGGAGCAGTAAACTTGTAATGATTTTTCGCCATTTGTTGACTGTTTGATGGAGGTATATTTTGTTTTTTTTCTGAAGATGCGTGCTAAGTGTTAGGAATACGCTTGCCACCGCATCCCTGATTACTCTGCATGGGTTCGCAGGTTCGAATCCCATGCTAGTTATGTGCGAGAGGATTGCTGGACTCCTCGCCACCGTGAAGTGGTTCATGTAACCGCTGGTCGGTTATGGCTTCTTCCACCATCAAGTTCATGCTACCGAAAACAAATAACTAATTAATCCCATACCCGACATTGAATGGTAACCGAACGAGAGGCCGTGGTTCGCTATATGGTTAAGCCGTCTTATCTTCGTTCCTCTCCCCCGGATAAATATGTAAATCCTATTCTTTCCCTATAGTCCAGTGCGCCTTATGTATGGACTAAATTCCAATTTGAGCAATTTATTGTCAGTGCGACTTTAACCCTGTTCATCTTGTGGTCCGTAGAATATGGTAATCTAGTTTCTAATGATATCAAAATGGAAATAAATTTGTGAAACTATGGTGCTTGCAAACCAACCACATTTCTCAATCCTTTTCTATCGACTTTTATTTTGTAATTCATTGACAATAAACAATTCCAGGCCTCTGTTGAACTTAACTGTCAGATTGTTACAAATGGGAGTCTTTCGAAACAGTGATCTTGAACAACTTCTTACAATGATTGATCCTTATTATATGGGATCTCTAATTGAAAACAATGAAGGTAAATGAAGTTTGCTTATTAGATAATTATGAAATAGTTAATTGATTAATTAAATGAATTAAGCATAGATATGAAATTAATAAGAATTGTTTATCCACATATATTCATAAGACAACATCTATGGAACATCTTTGAAACATCTTAGAATGTTTTTAAACTGGCAATATTAAGCTTGTATTTTTTTATATATATTGAGTCATTGTATTTGTTATCGGTTTGCAGTTCTTATGTGTTTCAATAGAGGTTTTTCCAACTTGCTTGCATCCTGATTTACTTTATCTCCTATTTCAATTTCTAGTCTTTGTAATCATTTTCTCAACCGCATTACTTTTTTTTAAACCAGTCTTGAGGGCGAAGGTCGGATGTGGATTGTTGAGGCTGAACCTGGTGGAATCAGTAAAAATTGAAGTTTGTCAGATGTTGATGCATTTCAGTGATCTTGTTCTCAGACACAGAGTAGAAGCAGTAAACTCATTTGCAACATTGATTGTTGGAAAAATGCAAATGGTATTATTCAATCTTGTGTTTCTTTTTTTACTTTTTGTATCTCATGTGCTAAATAGAAAGTTTTTTTTACCATATTCCAGCACAACTACAAATTAGGCATTTTAGCAATGTTTTGGGTATTAGACTTGATGAATTGATTATGCTCATGAGCAAATATCCTTCGTTGTGAGTTTACAACATTATTATAAACAAATTGAGTGGGGCTGTATGTTTTCAAACTATTCTTGTATTAACTTGGTTATAATGGAAGTATATTTATCACTTAAACCAGGGTTGGGATAAGTTTGTTTTGCAAGGCCCAATTTTTTAAGAAAACATGTTATATATTAACTTTTTGTACAAATTCAATATGTAAAATAAAAACGTCAACTACAACACAAGTTAGTATTTAGTTCTAAGAAATTTTAACGACCTTCTCCAAATTCAGGACGATGCACAAAATGGTTTTGTGGGCTCAATGCTGCCTGCGGGCAGTAGTTTGCCCATTCCTGACTTAAAATCCACCCGTAAATGGACCTCAAGTTATAATCCTATCTTTACTTTACAGAACCAAAAAGATAGATATCAAAATGTGATGCAAGCATTAAATATGTCTGCAGCAATGACTGCAAAGATGACGAAAGAATTTCGATCTCCACCAGCAGATCAAGTCGGACTGTTACTCAGGTAGTGATTTAATAAACATTTACTGTACTTTTTTAAATCTTTTTTTACATTATCTGATCACGTTGCTGACAATATTAGGCAAATTTTTATTTCACTTAATAGCAGACATTGCACTAGACACAGTACTAAACATAGTACACTAGGGTTTGGCAATATGCAGATTTGTTATTAGTAGTACACAGACGTTTCGGCCTACGGACGTTTCTGACTAGATGTCTCAGCGCAAGATAAGTCAAGTGCGGAAATAGGTTAAAGTGATGCAATAGAAGATGAGCCACACTTAGAAAGTATCAAAATCTTATTACAATATTACTTGGGTTGAATCAAAAATTTTATGACTGTGAAAAGTGACGAGTTTTAAGGGAATTATCTGACAACCGATACGTTAACGTATATCTAGGTTTTATGCTAATTGCACAATATTTACATGTTGAAAATCAAGAATCGAGTATCAAGCTTGCCTCCAGTTTTGTTAATTTTATTACCAAAATACTTTAATAATAATAGAATAACGAAATAATTCACTGTTATAAATGAAATATTCAATCTCTGCAATCGAACCTTGTCTGTTATGGTATCACTCAATATGGGTAAATGTATCTTTGCACTCGACCTGTGTGTGCTGAAAAGGTCTGGTTCAAAATGTTCGTGGTTCGAAACTTCTGTACAACGTTACTATTTATATTTGGGCTATATACCACCCCAAACCAATCTTCTGAAGCCGTATTTTATAGCAGAAAATCGAATTCAATTTTCAAACATCGTTTTAGTTTCAAAGATGAAGATGCGGAATCAGATTGTCCATTGTCCGATGATATTAAATCGATGCAATGGAATTTTCATATGGATTTATTAAGACATTGTGGAGAACATTTGGATGAAGAAGATGAAGGAGAAGTTGAGGTAATTTTAATATAAAAAAAATATATAAATCTACGATCATTTGATTCGAGAAGGCAAGTTTCAACATATAGCCATCCTAATCTATAACCCATACCCGGCATGGACTGGAAACCAGACAAGATGCCGTGGTTCGCCATATGATTAAGCCGTCTTTGCAACTTTCCTCTCCTCCAGGATAAATATGTCAATCCTATCCATAATTAGGAAACTATCCAAAGCAGCCATGATGTAGGTTCAGGTCCTGTCGAGTAACCAGTCTAAATACCGCAAATAAATATCAAAATTTTTGAAGGATTTATTGGATTATAAATATAAAGTGCATTATTAATAAATCATGATGTAATAGTCCATATATATTCAAATATATATATTTATTATTGAACATTTATATAACATATAAGACAAATTTTTCTTCTTCATGACATATATACAGAAAAATTATAATTTTTATCAGATGACATGGAGGCAGAAACTATCTTCTTTCATATCTCGACTGAAACGATCAAAAGCATCTGATGAAGTAACCGGTGCAGCAAAAGAAGAAGCAAATGGAATCAATTCATTTCAACAACTTGTTATAAAAACGATTGTGAAGTGGGCTGAAGGAAGCGATATTCAAGATCCAGCTTTAATTCGTATCATGTTTGAATTGATGTTCAGACAATATAATGCTGTTGGAGAGGTACCATAGTACAATTTAAAGGTTTTTAAACTGTGAAAGTGTTTTAAAATTAACAATTGCAGTAATTACTATTTCTAGATAATCACTCTACTTTTACAAGAGCTGATAAAAAAACTACAATCTGCTAAGTGCGAGTTAGAAGCAATTGCCCCGACTCGCAGATAACCAAAGTTTGACTAGGAAGACTTTAACGTTTGCGAATCTTTTCAAGTTTCAGTTGATTATGAAATTTTGACTCAGACTTCAAAATCCAAAAATTTTCAATATATGACTCCACCTCTAATAACAAAAACAAGAAAAAATGCATGTCCAAGGCTATAACTTTCACACCAGTAACATTCAAATTAGTTGAGTGTCTCCAATGCTTTACTTTACCTTGAAATGACTTGATAAACTGATTAATGAAAAGAGTTTATTCTGTATTCAAGACTCACCAAATATTTATTCGAATTCAGCTTCAACAAGCTTTACATAAGGCATATTGTATCAGTGAAGTTTCAGAAACAGATACAATGGATTTGGTTGAAGCATTGACAAGGATTCGATCTTTACTTTCTGTTAAACTTGGACGAGAGGAAGAAATTATGATTATTAAAGGACTCAAGTAAGTATGAGGAACAATTGGGGCTACTTATAGATATATGGATATTTGGTGAACCTCAGCTTCTTGTCCGTTACCATGCCGGGTTAGCCAGTTACTTGTTTCAAATGCATTGACTTGCTGGTGAAGAAAGCCGAAACAAACCAGCGATTACATTAACCAAGCTAGAGCGGTAAGAATTACAGCAATCCTCTTATACATGGTTATTTCGCACAAAACTAACGCTTAGCACAATGAACCAACCGTCAAGTCGTGTTTTATTCATTTTCCAAAAAAATCAATTTCGTTTCTGTTTTTAGCCAAATCATGAATAACAAAGTGTTTTATCAACATCCGAACTTGATGCGAGTTGTATGCATGCATGAAACCGTGATGTCTGTCATGGTTAACGTATTGGGAAGTTCTAGTGATGAAGATTCAGAGTCTGGAGGTTTGAGTTTATGTTATGTTGTAATTTGGATAGAATTTATATTTAAACTTTTATTACTTTAATAGTATTGGTAATTACGATACTGAAAAAAGGTAAACCGAGTCAGGGTTTGGTCAAAACAGTTTAGAAAATGAGCACCTTGCTCATCGGAGTTCAATTAGACTTGCTCTATCTTGCATAATCTTAATTTTAATATTTTAAGAAGAGATCAAAAGAGTCAAAACGAGTTTAAGCTGGTTAGGGCTTGTTATGTTAAAGCATGATAAAAGATATAAGTTTGCGCCATGGTAATTAAGCAGAAAATTGGAAGTTAACACAAAACTTACACACACTAATCAAAGGAAACTCAACATTATTTCAAATTGTTACAGGTCCAGAAATTCTATTTCCGAAAATGGTTGCAGCGTGCTGCAGATTTCTTTGTTATTTCTGTAGAATAAGTCGACAAAATCAAGGAGCAATGTTTGATCATTTGGGATTTCTTCTTGGGCATAGTGCAGTCGGACTAGGTAACTTTAATCATGTAATCAGGATGACAATATAATGTATTATGACAGAAACTTTTTCTGATTTTAAACACGGTGAATTGAGTCTTTATTCCATGCAATAACAGTTGATAATTTTGTTTTTCAAAGCTTCACCATCTATGAGAGGATCTACACCACTAGATGTTGCTGGCGCGTCAGTTATGGACAACAATGAACTTGCTTTGTCACTTAGAGAACCTGAACTAGAAACGGTATGATTTTTATGATGATAGTAGGATAGGATAATATTCACATACTTATCCCGGGAAGAGGAAAATTGATAAGACGGCTTTGTCATATTATGTACCACATCCTCTTGTCTGGTTACCAGTTCGGGTTAGTTAGCCAGGTATTTGATACATTGATGGTAGAGGAAATGGCGCCCCACCCTATGGAGTGGAGAAGTCCAGCAATCCTATTGTACATGATTATCCCCCAGAGTTCGAACTTATGAACCCATGCAGAATAATCAGAGGTGCAAGGGCAAATGCATTGCTAACCCTTAGCATGATGCACCAGCAGCTGAGATATTGCAATATTTCAATCAATTATCTTTTTCAGGAATAATCCCATTAAGTGTTTTGTTAACACATATTTTACTACACATTGGCATAAAGGGAATGTATTATGTTGAAATAGTTCTTTCGTCACACTTCCTATTCAGATTATCACTTCCTTTGTCAAATGGGGTTATAGATGGAGATACTATATCCTTTCTGTTTCTTTCTATCTACCAATATTATTTTATATTTAGGTTATCACTCATCTCTCAGAATGCGGATTGCAAAGTTGTCCTCTTTTATTATCAAAGGGATATCCAGATATTGGATGGAACCCAGTAGAGGGAGAGCGCTATGTAGATTTCCTGAGGAATGCTGTCTTTGTCAATGGTACAGTACAAAATCAGCTTTATCTCAGCTTAGAAGTTCTGCAAGTGGTTAAGCTCGACAGACGTTTTTTTCACCATTTTGGCGATTATTGATAAATGGCTCAAGAGCGCAATACAAAGTTGTGAACTTCAATGGAACCTTAATTTTCAAACTCGTTGATTTGCACATAACAATGTAATATGGCACAATGGTAATTTTTACAACCTAAACTAAACCTAATCCCATTGCAGGTGAGAGTGTTGAAGAAAATGCCAACCTGGTTGTGAGACTTCTTATTCGAAGACCTGAGTGTCTGGGACCAAGTTTACGAGGTGAAGGAGGTCAAGGCCTTCTTGCTGCAATAACTGAAGCAATTCAAATATGTAAAGATCCTTCTAGAGATGGTCCAGAGCATGCACATGGTCATCATTTTCAGTAAGAACATTTTCGATTGACTTCTTGTGTAATATCAATTCTATTAGTGTCCTCTGAAAGTGAAATTAAAGACCATGGCAGTCACACATGCTAAAATATCTGTTATATGCGAGATTTGAAGACAAACCATAGATTTCATTTTATTCGGCAGCGTGATGACCTATCAGTCAGAACGTTAAATAATATCAGCTGCGTATATATCATTAGATATGAGTCAGCTTCCGATGAAAAAACGATCATTATCAACTGGGTCTAACAAACTTTAGAAAATATAAAGATAGGAATAATAACAAATTTGTTTCCAACTTCAATTTTAAAGTTTCCAACACCACGAAGAAGATGAAGAAGAGGAAGAAGTACATATGGGATTTTCCATATTGGCTTTTTATTCTGCTTTGATTGATTTACTTGGAAGATGTGCTCCTGAGAAATCATTGATTATGCAGGTTTGTACAATGCTTTTGTTTCAACTTTAATTTTTGATTTCAGAATTTTTTTTTATAAGTTTATCATTAAATTTTCATAATTCTTGCTATTTCATTCAATCATCAGGGTAAAAGTGAGGCTCTCCGCATCCGTAGTATCCTTCGTTCTCTCGTACCTCTGGAAGATTTGATTGGGGTTATCAACATACCCTTTGATTTACCAAGAGTAGAGAAAGGTAAATTTGCAAGTATCAGAACCAGTAATTGGTAAATCATTATTAGATAATTGAGACCTTTGCTTTTTTGGTAAATGTCTGGTGTTACTTCATTTTTATATGTACATCCACCCCATAAGACTTATTTTGCACATTTTTTTCTTGTGTTTTTAATTTTAACATAAAACTACTACCGTAATTGACTTGCGTCTCTATTTCAATATGTGAACAATTTTTATGCGAAATTGCTTCGGAACTGTAACATAACAAGTCAAATTTATATGTTTTTATTTATTTATATGTAAATTGAGGCAATTTTGTCTTGTTGGCAGACAATACACTTTCACTGAAATTTTCAGCCTTGAGCAGAACTAATAAAATCTGAATATAAAGCACAAGTAATACTCATAAAAACTGGCAATAGCAAAAATCATCACATTGATGACAATAAAAACTTACTTTCCACAGATGGAATGGGAACAGTAAGAGAACCAGTCCTATCAGCTTCCTTTGTACCAGATCACAAAGCAGCAATGGTTTTATTCCTTGAACGTGTATATGGCATTGAAGATTCAGATTTCTTTCTTCGACTTATTGAAGTTGGATTTCTCGCTGATATGAAAGCAGCAGCGAGTCTTGATACGGTATGTCTATAATATGTGGTAAAGTCAAATCCAGGTTAAAATTACTTTTCTATTCCCAATTTAATATTTTTCTTCATTTCCTACAAACTTTGACCATGAAATCGGGTTGGATTTAAATAGGAAACAAACTAAAGATTAGAATGCCTTGCTTGATTTTTTCAAATCGGATACATCTAGGGTTAAGACCCCACTCCAACAAACTAATTCAGTTTGTGGTAAATTGGGTAGACAAAGCTGAACCATGAAGATTCAGCTATTCCAAAAAATAGTAGTCCCTTACTTGATGGCTCGTACATAGACTTGTTTAAAGCAAAGGTGTGAAAATGTTCTATAAAAAAATAAATATTGATAGGTTTATAATTCTCTTTTTTACAAAAAAACATATTTGATGGATGTTATGTGATGTTGATGATGTGAGGATGATGTGGTATCATATGATGTAAAAGTAACATTTTATACATTTAGAATTTTTGTAATTTTCCCCTGAATGAAATTTAATCTGACTATTCTAAAAGTGTAATAATAAAAATCTATTCAATCTTTTTTCCTTTAAGAATATTTTATTCATTTCATTTTATAGCCTGCACTTATGTCAACTGATATGGCACTTGCATTGAATCGATATAATGGCCCACAGTGTGCTGCCACTCATCATTAATTAATGTGAAATTCTTGGAAGGAAGAGAACACAGAGTTGCTTTAATTGATTCATTGCTGAACACAATCTATAGAATGTCCAAATGTCGTTCTTTGACAAATGCACAAAAACAAGTGATCAGCACGTGTTTGGATTCTGTGGCCGGGTATGTATATTTATTTCCTCTGTGGTTCATCATATTTTTCCTATTTTGTTGATGTTTTTCTTTGTTGCTAACAAGGCTTAAATTAGCAGCAGGCCAAGCAGAAATACTAATTAAGATGTACACAACCACTTATTTCTGATTAAAAAACGATATTTCAAAAAAGTTTGTTGGCAGTATTATTGTTTTTCTAGTGTTCTTCGACCAGCCTCTCTTCACAATCTTTTGAGAAAACTTGCATTCGATGTTCCAGCGCTCAACAAACAATGTGAAACGCCTATTCGTGTAAGTCTATGGAGAAATATTGATAATACATTGGTACGAATTAACTAGATGAAATTTTGTATTTTAATTATTAAAAAAATAATTTGATTCTGCCGGTTTTCGAAGTTTACAAAATATATCAATATACCGATACATATGAAATGAAAGAAAACAAAAATAGAAATGAATTCTTGTAATATTTATTGATAAAAATATACATTCCTGAATATTTATATATTATATTATATCATTTTGTCTCATAGCTTCTTACTCTTCATTACACACGATGCTGGAAATATTATTATCTTGAATCTGGAGGAGATCAACAAGGCTGTGCAACAGATGAAGAAAAGCATCTTACAATGATGTTGTTCTGGGGAATATTTGATGCATTGTCCAAAAGAGTAATTTAATTATCAATATTTTTTAATAATTTATCTTTACCTAGCCTTTCTAAAACTACTAGTGTTTCGGGTTTATCAATCATATATATTGCTCCACCAGTTTTGAACAAGTAGTGAGCCTTAAACACTTGTTTGTATTCAAGAAGTCTAACTATTCATTTTATTGCTGTTTATTTCTATTGATATATTTCTGTTAATTTTATCTGTTAATTCCTGTTTTCCAGCAATTTGAACCAGAATTGTTTGGTAAAGCTTTGCCATGTTTATGTGCAATTGCAAATGCCCTTCCACCTGATTATGCTTTATCACCTGTGATGGAAAGATTACAAAAGCAACAAGACATGGACACAGAAGGAAATTTTAATCCATCACCTTTGGATACCACAGGGTATTTTGCAATTTTCATTGGTTTTTATAAACAATACGCTGCCATATGATCAAGCCATGTTATTGTCTTTTCTTTCCCTGGGATAAATATGAAAATCTTATCCTATCTATAGAACTAACCATTTCCACTCACGCTCATCCTTATCCATATATCCAAATACAATGCCTTATTGATGATTCAAAATTCAAGGGTTTATTGTTTTCTTATGCAGATTTGAACTACCTGACAAAATGGAGAATTTTGTATCAAAGCTTGCAGAACAGGAGCATGATACTTGGTCTCTTGATATGTTTGCTAAAGGATGGACTTATGGAGCAACTTACTCTGAGCATAGGGATGTAAGACAACACCCCATGTTGAAACCTTATAGGCTCTTCAATGATAAGGTATGATTTTAAAAAAAAATTATTTGTATATTTTTGTCATGACAAATTCAGTGGTTACGTTTAATTTCGTTGTCATGTTATATACATATTCTACAAACAGTAACACTCATTCAACAGTTAATATGTTGCATATTTTCGACTACAATTTGGATGGAGGTTTTGATAACATGCTAAAAATTCAACTTTTATTATTCAGGAGAAAGATGTGTATCGTCCACAAATCCGTGAAGCACTGCGAGCACTGATTGCATGGGAGTGGACATTTGAGCGATCTAAAGATACTGGAGATATTTATAGTGCTGGGCCAAGGTTGAGAAGAATATCACAGAGTAGCGTGGTGAGGCGTTCTATTCTTACAACTATACACATTATATAAGAGCAGCTTTACTGCACAATATTTATATTAGTTCATTAAGATTAGTTCTTTCTTTTCAATAAATTTCACACTTTCACACAAATTATTTGCTATATAAATCCATTGAAAGGGCATAAATACGATTATCTTCTTTACACAACATATTTATACGCCTTTCTCTGTACGTAAGTAGCCACTACTAGGTATGGAGCTACTATAGTTTGGAAGGACCGGAAGCTTCTCAGTTCGGCATTGCTTACCAAATTTATTACACCCTTGGTGATGTAGTGGACATGGAGTTCAAACACAAAATTACAGCTTTTGGGGCTTTCATAGCTTAAAGCCCAATGCGTTCACCCCTCCACAACTGCGCTCATCAATTGCTTTTCAAGAATTTCATGCTACTTTCAAATATTTCACTTATTTTCCTATCTTAATTCAATTTGTTTTTATAGAGCATGGCAATCGATTCACCACATGGCTACAGCCCGAGACCATTCAATCTAAGCAATATTACATTGACAAGAGAACTTACAGCAACTGCAGAGATGCTCGCAGAAAACTTTCATCTGATGTGGGCAAGGAAGAAAAAACATGAGCTTGAAACAAAGGCATTGGCGGCAGCAAGTAAGTGAACAGATAATCGATTTTGCCTTTGATTGAAATCAGGGGTCTAAGGTTTTCTATTTTGCTCAACTGGTTGTCATATATAGTGAGTGGTGGCTACACGAGTTATTTATAGTTATACTTGCACAACTGGTAATTAGCAAGCAATATAGTTCAGACAATGTTTCGAATATTTATACAGAACATTTTCATCAGGCCCATAAATAAAGTGTATTCAAATAGAAATATAGTGATTTTTATTTTCTAATTATTGCAATGATGAAATTTACTTGTATAGGCATTCGAAGCATTAGTGGAACTGTATTAATTTATTCTTACCAGTTGTGTATGCATTGTTATGGCTGTCATATAGTTGGACTTGAGATTCATAATAACTTTTTTTCGTTTCCAATGCAAAGTGGGAAGTTTTGATCTCTCCTTTTGTTGTTCAGAGACAATCTTTGTAATTCATAGAGTTAGTTGCAATATCTAAAATAAATAAAGAATCTAAACTTTGAAGATGTTAAAAATATTTTTGTATTGATAATATTATTTTTATTCAGTACCTGGAAGCCCATTACCATTGCCACAACATCCAATGTTGGTGCCCTATGACACTCTAACAGCTAAAGAGAAAGAGAGTTACAGAAACAAAGCCTATGATTTGCTCAAATTTTTACAAGTAAGTGAGGATCAAAATCTATTTAATGATAATTACAATTTTCTGTCGCTTTTTTTGAGAATATAGTAATCATTGGTTATTTTACTTATGTAGGTAAACAACTACAATCTGGTCAAACTTCAAGAAGAAGTGATTGAAGTAAAATCAACAATTGAAAAGAGATTTTCATTCACTCTCCTATCAAGATTGCTACAATATGTTGAACACGTAAGTAAAGCAAATGTTTTGTTTTCGAAATTTTCGAATCGGCTTATTTTGAATTTGTTTATAACTGTAGGCTGGAAGTTACATTTCTGCATTGACTCGTGCAATCGATCTCACGAAACAACGTAGACGAGAACAGACAGCAAATATTCTGCTTTCAACTACACCTGCTGTTAATGTTCCTCAAAGTGATGATATTCGATTTTTTGCCAAGGTAATGTACTTGTATCTTTGAATTGTGAAATGGCCAATATAGATGATGAAGTTAATTAGGTATGTCTTGCGTACTTAGCTGTATATGCTGTATAGCATGCTTCAATTTTTAATTTTCAAAAACTTAGAAATGTTATCATTCAGTTAATTTCTGAAAAAGATTACAATTGAACATTAAAATGCATTACAGTGAGTTAATACTGCACTACTAATCATGTTTGCTTCATTCTTTGTCTTCAGATTATTCTTCCATTCATGGAATCATATTTCAGAACTCAGCAATTATATCTTGTATCAGTACCTGGTATGAGATCTGATGGAATGTCATCTGCATCTAATAAAGAGAAAGAAATGATGGCAAGGTGATAAATCCCACAAAATTTTTCATGCCCATGATGCATGTGATTTGAGAAAAATCAACAAAACCTATTTACACAAAAATGTTGAATTATTTTTCCGTAACAACGCTTATTCACACCTCTCCTTCCAAACAAGGCCGTGTACAAGCTTCCACTGGTATCTAACATTATGTAAGGAGATAGTAATTTTGGAAGGACTAGATTATTTCGGGCTCGGCATTTCTAGCCAATTTATTACACCCTGGGTAAGATAGTGGTCATGGGATTTGAACCCGAATTGTGTAACCTGCAATGCTAACATAGCTAATCTATTGCTCTAATTGCTAAGTCAGATAAATTGGTGTAGAAAAACTTCTATAAGTTAATTGCAAGTAAGAAAATAGCAGGGCAGATTATCAGATTTAAATCGGAAATGTGAATACTTTCCCTCTTGATCTTTGATGATAAAGAGTTCATTACTTACTTACATTTCAATTTTATCTCTGAGAAAAATTCCTACAGGAAAATGAATTAGAATTGATCGAAAAATACATAAAAAGCTTTTTTATCACTTTTTCCAGTTTGTTTTGTAAGATGTCTGCACTGATTCGACAGAAAACTTCACTTTTCGGTAAGTTTTTTTTATGTTGTATTCAAGTTAAATATGTCCCTTTTATCTATAAATTTTTATATTGTTTTTCATTTTGCTTACTGGATAAAGTTAAAAAGAAAAAGAGTAACGGTAAGAAGTTGTATCCCCGTTACGCCCAAAAAATTAGTCAATGATATCTTGCTTTGACGTATGGACATTTCTTTACAAGATTTATCATAGGATATTCATTGTATTAATATTTGTTCAGGAAATGATGCAGTTACTGCTGTAAGCTGTCTGGATGTTATCGCAAGATGCATTGATGCTTCGTGAGTATCCAAGTAGTTAATACCGGTACTAATATCAGTTTGAGCAGCTTAACAGAAGTAATTTCGAATTCATATAAAAGAGTAAATGAGTTCATAATTTCACAAACAAACTTCTTTTTTAGAACTGTGATCAAATCTTGTCCAGATCATATCAAACAAGCATTGATTGTATTTTTCAATCACGCAGCAGAAGATCTTGACAAAATGGTAGATACAATAAGAACGTGAGTGTGAATAACTTTTATTTCATTTTAACCAAGTTTAGTGAACTTGAGTGTACAGAGTGACACCAATAAAGCAGAACCATGAAATTTCTCAATTCCTTCTACTATAATGAAGAAAGTTTATTTAGAACTTTAGAACTATTTAGAACTCTGTTTGTGCATACTTGTACTCAAAAGTTGCAGTAATCTATGCGATTAGTACAAAAGTTATATTCTCTCCAGAAAATGTTTCTTTGGTCATCCGGTATTTATATTTTTCCTATTTATACTCAGTAACTAAAATTAAGATATGTTTTGCTGTACTCTCCTTCATACTTGAACTATATACTGTATATTCTCGAGTTTTCAGTACTAATCATAAAGTTTATTAATAAAATTTTTAACAAAATAAAGAATTAGGATTTGTGCCACAAATCATGATTATTGGTACATGTGAATAAAATTCTTTTAACATATTTTCTCTTTTGCCAGTGGAAAACTCAGTCAGTTGAAGACATTGTCAAAAAGTGCACAGAGTGTCAGTTATGTTACTATGGCTCTATTACCCACATTATGCACTCTGTTCAAGCATTTGGGAAAACACAATTTTGGAATTGATTTACTCTGTGAGTATTTTTTAGTTTATTCATTGAATTAATGTTCAATAAAGTTGCAAAGTTTAATGCATATTTTGGTAAAACTTTTGTTTAAACAATATTTTTCCATTATATTTACAGTGGATGAAATGCAAGTAGCCTGTTACAAAATTTTGAATAATCTTTATACGCTTGGAACTGGAAAAAATTCATTTATAGAGAGGTAAGTAGAATTAAATTCTGAACTTCGTCATATTGCTGAAGTGAAATTTTGGTTTTGGACATTACCATCCATGCTTAACATATCAATAACTCATATTTACAAATATCGAATGTTTGGGTTCATTTTCAAAAGCCATTTCATTATTGGTAGGACTGTATTTATAAACTTTTGCTTCAACGGTTATTCACGCTTTTGCTTCACAAGCTGCCACTGATATCCAACAATATGTACAAAGCTCTTTTTACTTGGAAGGACTGGAATCATTTCAGTTCAGGATTATCTTTTCAATTTATTGCACTCTGGCTAAGGAGAGGTCATGGGATGTGAATCAGAGATGTGTAATCTGTAATAGCGTCACAGTTAAGTCCAACAGTGTAACTGCCAGGCCATCTCACCTTCCACAACTACTGGAGATAGCATAGACTGTTTAAACATCTGAATATCATTAATGATAATGCATTTATTTTCAATTCATTGCTTCCATTTCATATTCATTGATTCAGTTTGATTGATTCGGATTGCGAAGAAATTGTAATTCGACTTGTTGAAGCTATTTTCATGCAGTAAGTATGCAGTTCATTTTGCATTATCAGTATCATTCAATCAGGTTGCCTGATTTTCATCAGGAAACGAGGTTTTGCATTGTGCTAAGCATTAGGAATATGGTTGACATGATACCTCTGATTACCCTGCATGGGTTTTCAAGTTTAAAATCTGTGGGGGATACTGGTGTCAGAGAAGATTGCTAGACTCCTTGCTGGTTGCTGGTCGGTTACAATGGTCTCCACCATTAAGACCACGCATCTAAAACAAATAACTGGATAACTATTTAGGATAGGATAGGATTTACATATTTATCCCGGGGGAGAGGAAAGCCGATAAGACGGCTTATTCATATGGCGAACCACGGCCTCTCGTCTGGTTACCATTCCAAGTCGGGTATGGAATTAGTTATATTGTTTGTTTTTGGAAGCATGGACTTGGTGGTGGAGGAAGCCGTAACCGACCAGCGGTTACGTGAACCACCCAACGATGGCGAGGAGTCCAGCAATCCTCTCGCACATAACCATCCCTGCATGAGATTTGAACCTGCTAATCCACGCAGAGTAATTAAAGGTGCGGTGGCGAGCGTATTATTACATAATACTATTTCCATAACCAACATGGACTGGTATCTGAACGTGAGACTGTAGTTTGCCATATTATTAAATCATTCATACGGTTTTCTCTTCCTCAGGATAAATATGGAAAATTTTGTTTTAGGCATTAGACTTAGAGTAAAGCTTTATAGCCTACCGGTAATCGTGGCATGGTTAAAGAATTTTTAATAAAATTGCCATCATTGACATAAGTTCATTGTTATTATTGGAATGATGTAAGTTCATACATTATTGTGATGATCTAAAAAAATTTAATGTTATTGTCATAATTGGGTTTTTCGCCAAAAAATCACTTTTTAGGCATCTAATGGACTGATAGATTTCATTTTTAGCCCTTGAATAACCGACAAAGTTAATTCAAATTTTCATGGGTCCTTTAGAGCCATATATAATTCACCCATGATTTTGCTGATATGATTGTTCTAACATCTGGCTAGAATTTTGATGGCTTCTTTATCAATATATATTGAGCATTGTTGTCCTGTTTATTCCCAATATATTACTTGGTTATATTAAATTATTATTATCTCCGAATAAAATTATATTGATGAGGATTCATATATTAACAACAATGTATTTGTCATGTTTTTCTTCAGGCATCGACCACTTGCAGGAGAATGTTTGGCAGCATTCACGAGTGCTTTTCCGGTTGCTTTTCTTGAACCAGCATTGAACAAATATAATTTATATTCCATCTACAATATTCTGAGCATTAAAGACAGACAATGTTAGTAGTCCTTTTATTATAAACTTGGAAATGAAATCTTGAATCGTTAAATTGTTTCTTGAAAGGATAAAAATAGTAGGAGAATATTTGTCTCGCAACAAAGTAAAAAACAATAAAAAATCAATGTAAACCACAAATCCGTCTTAACATTGAATCTGATATTTGCTAATTTCGTTTCTTAATAAATGTGCACCTTCAAGTACATTAGGGATAAATCTAGTAACCAGTTTGCTAATGTGTTAAAAATTGCAAATAAGCAATTGCAAATTACTTCAAAACTTAAGTTTATTTAATATAATATTCATTTTCTTCGACTCTGATATTGGTTTACAAATTACAAATTACAAATTAGAATTCATTACATTATTCAACTTTAATATAGTGCTTGGCCTTCCTCCAAAACTTGATCAACTGACTCCAAGAATTCCTGATCTTGAAACACTCTTGCAAGATATTGAAAGTTTGGCAGATTCTGGAGCAAAATATGAAGATGCACCGGAAATGATTGACATCATCTTACCTATGATATGCAGGTAAATACTGATTTCTTTTTTATTTCATATTTCAGTGTTGCCCAAATTGTACATTGTGACACAACTTGATGAACTATAGAATTTATTAACGCATTTTTCAGAAATTTTAATTCAAATTTGAAAACTAGATATCAATCAAATTAAATTATATTTTTATTCTGTTCATTACAGTTATCTGCCTACATGGATCAAATTTGGACCAGACTATTTTACGCAAGGTGTAGGTGATGATGACACATCAGGAGTTGATGGATGCTGTTCAATAGTATCAAGTGATACTATGAACAATGTGCTACGAAATGTGTTGAAATTGATTCAGAACAATCTGGGATCAGAAGACGCTGACTGGATGAGAAGAATTGCTGGTGTGTTGACTTTTTTTTCAAATTTTTTTCTACTTCGTCTTGTATGTTATATGTAATTTAACACTTTATCTGGTAACTAAGCAATATCTATGCTACTATACACAAAAATAACAAGAGAACTAGAACAACTATGAGCTGTTTAAAAAGCCCTTTTTATAAACATTTTTCTAAGTTTTGCCTATTTTACAGATCTTACAGATCTTTGTTTGTGTTACAAGCGAAAGATCAGAATAAAACTATATTGTAAGGATCTGAAGATATCAGACCTAATATTAATATGATAGGGCCTAAAATGTATAGTGTGCCACTTGTCTAACCAATGATATTTAAAACTTTCTTTTTGAAGTTTACGCCCAACCAATAATGTCACTTGGTGACCCTGATATATTGGAAACACATTTCTTGCCTATTCTGGAAAAAACATTGAAAAAGTTGCAACGAACTCAAGCATTGGAAGAACAGGTACTGCTTTTATATACTCCTTGAAAACACTGATCAATTGAATTGAATTCATAGAAAATCCATACTTTATCACCTGCTGCATTTGCTTGTCAATATTTGTCTGAATAGTTATGTGGCATCATCTAGTCCACATACAAATGATTTTATGTGGTACTAAGTTTACTTGAAAAAAGAGCACTTCACACTAACATTAATAGATGGTATAGGACACTCTCAATGAAGACGAAATTTTTAATAAATACCTGAGTCAGACGATAATTGGCATGCAATCCCAATCATTCCGTACAGTTACTGCATTGTATTGGAAGATATCATCAATGCCAATGACTTTTCTCATTATTATGTTTCAAGCACTTGAAATTGTATAGCACATAGAATTTTGCATAAAGTTTATTTTTTATATTTATATCAGATAGAATCTGATAAGCCTATCCTACTCTTACTATCCCAGATGCTGCCTGAAACATGACAGTTTTTATTTTGTCACTCTTATTCAAGTTTACAGCCACTTTATTAATAGTGATGGTTGTAATATTATTTTTCACATTTTGCACCTGCTGCATGTTTCACTTTACTCACTGAATATTATGCTTCTCCCATTTATCAGCTTGCTGCTCATCATGGACCAATGACTGACACTCTTTCATCTGTAAGTTCTGCTTTAAATTACCATATTTCTCCTTGCATAATGCGAAGGTGCACTTTTGCACCTGGATCGCCAGAAATTTTCAATCTCCATACATAATACGCATAGCAGGTTTTCTTTTCTCTTGCATTGCGGGTGTTTTTCTTTTGCCATAGCGTTTCAGACATTCTGTCTGATTTTTATTAACTATCCATATCTCTGAATTATTATGTTGTTTGAAAAATGTCTGCCTCAAAATAGCGTATTATACTCGGAAAATATGGTAATCATTTCAGTGCTGTGTATCATCATTATTGTATTTTAATCATTATCATTTTCTTTACAGTTGCCTATATAAACTTTTATGTCATTTATTAAAACTCACCCAATTGCAAATTAGAGTTAAAAGTAATTTTATGTTACTCAGGCGAATTGTTCAACAAATTGTGCAATATAACATAATTAGAATTTCTTAAGATTTCAAACGTTTTTATTGTAGGATTTGCATTTCGTTCTTGTAATGCTTTTCGTATATTATAGATAATTTACAGTATTTTATTATTTTATGTTATTTTACAGGTTAAATCTGATACCAAAGTTGGAGATGTATCTGATCTTGAACTAATGATGTTGGAAGATTACGGAATTATATCCAGGGATATTTATGCCTTCTATCCATTGCTGATTAGATATATTGATTTGAGCAAGTGAGTTTATGTATGATTACACTGACTTGTACATTTTTTGAAGATAAGTTATTTTAAAAACTGTCAAACTTATATAACTCATTTCAACTTCGGGAACCAAAATGATCGAAATGGAATAATTTATTGGTCAAATAGCAGCACAATCTCGCTCTTTGTGTTGATGCATTTTGACAAATAAAATGTCACATATTTGTTAAATGTATTCATTAACTTCGCTCTGCCAACCTTTTTTATTTTCATACTAATATTTTAAATTTATTCAGATCTACATGGGTGAGAGACAAACTACCAGAGGCAGAAAAGTTGTTTCATCGAGTTGCAAAAATATTTATTTCATGGGCAAAATCAACTGTAAGTTACTTCAGTTTATATAAAAGCAACCTTACATAGAAGTACGGTACATGATTTATTTTTATCCAGGTCTTTCAACGTGATACAAATAAATTGGATTGAGATTAATCATAAGTTATTTGAATCCTATTTTGTATAATTGAAACAATCATGCCCGTCATTGCTTCATTACATGTTGACCGGCCTCTTACAACAATCTTTGTGGTATTAATTTAATCAAATGTATCTAAGATTATTATGCTTCCCAAATTAACTCATTCACAACATTTTTCTAGAATTCCAAAATAATTTTTCTATATAAAATATTTATGACAGAAGTAAAAGTAACAGCCCTATCCATGGCAGTTTTGTAGACTTCATAGATACAGCATTTTTTGATCATATTGTATTTAACAGGTACACCATTGTTGTCAGTTCATTTTTATTTATTTTCAATTGTACCATTCTTTTATTTTAAACCAATAAGGTAGCTCAAAAACTTATTTTTATGTTTAGAATTTCCGTCGTGAAGAACAGAACTTTGTTGTGCAAAACGAAATAGACAATATGGCAATTTTGACCTCAGAACGCGGGGGACAAAACGTTGATGTATGTTGACATTGATTAGGAACTTTTCTCATTGACTTGAAAATTTTTTTTTGTATGCACTATTAAAAATTTGAAATTCTATTTTTTATCAATTATATTTATATAGACTGTAAATTAATATTTGTATTTTACGCATCCAGTTTAGTTTATTCACTCTAACAAGGGTTTAATTTTCAATTTCCATCAGTTTATTTTATAATTTTACCTAATTTATGTTAAAAATGGAAGGAAACAATTGAATATATATATATATATCAATGCCTAATTATCTAAGTGTTGTCATTGACTTCATAATGCCAGTACTTGGGCTGTATTTAGAGTATAATAAGTGGTGCTGAGATAATATGTAATTGTTGATGACACAGGAAATCTTTAATTGTAAAGATGTATCAACCTAGTGGTTCTTCCATAAATGAATACATTTTGAAATGATTCACAAAATTTTCAGGCCACAAGACGAGTGATTTCAAGGCGAGGAGATCGTTATTCTGTTTCCACTTCATTGATTGTGGCATGTTTGAAGAGAATGTTACCTGTTGGCTTGAACATGGGAAATCCAAGCGATTATAAACTTATTCAAGAAGCAAAAAATAAGTTTATACGACGTGATTCTGAAGATGACGTCCGAGACTTTTTGACAGAAAATCTGAAGTCACCAAAGCATATTGTAAGCTAATATCACAATACAAACTTGAAGGAAGTTTTATGACAAGGTTGCAAACCATTTTTGTTTTGTTTTAAGGTTGATAAATCTGATCCATCATGGCAGCTAGAAATGTATTCAAACGAATTGGCTGCCAAAGCAATCAGTAGAAGTATTGATCTTGGTTCTGATCATAAATTTGACAATATCAAGTTTGAAGCAGAGAAGAGCAGAAGAACGGCCTTAGATAGAAGAGTAACTCGTCTTCTAGATATTGCCAAAGTTCAACATCATCTATATCTGGTATGTATAAATACCGCTTCTGTTTCAGACAAGACAATGGTTTAGAGCTAATAATAAATGTCATAGTTTCCGTTTTGGTTATAGTCAAGTTGATTTCCAGCCAGTAAAAATAGCATACAAAATAAAAATAAATAAAATTAAACACACAATTTTACTGGGAGAAGAACCAAAGCTGGATGTCAATCACTGACACCAAAGGTTCTAATATCTAATTAAAATTTATTAAGTTTTGCTGTACACTAACACTAATATATTTCTTTCACGTTTTGTCTGAGCAAGGTCAAGACCTTTCAGACAAACAGTTAGTTTCGGTAGTTTGATAAATGTTTGTTTGAGAAAGTCTGACATTGGTCGGACGAAACATTACATAAATATATTTGTGTTAGTGCTCAGCAAGACTCTTGAATCACTTAGGATTGTTATGTTCACTTTTGATACAGCATCCTTGCATTATATGCATATGGATACACTGGCACTAAAGCATAGAAGAAGTCCCATAGAAACCCTGTACAAGAGTACTCTGAAAACTAAAAGCTTCAACCTTATGAATTTTTGATATAATTTCAATGATATTTTTTTGTATTTATTTTATTGGCAATTAATAAGAATTATATATATATATATATTAACCAAGTGTGAATGATTGCTTCATTAGGTTGAACATCCACCAAAATCTCGTAAAGCAGTCTGGAAAAAATTGATGTCAAAACAAAGAAAAAGAGCTGTTGTATCTTGCTTCAGAATGGTACCTTTGTACAATCTCACCAGGTAATTATAATGCATTTGTATTAAAAAGTAAATGAATGTCTATCCTCTAAGTATAAATCATATTTGTTTTGTTGAACTACAAAATCAGTAAAATTGTTATCCATTTGCGAAATCAAAAAATCAATTTCATTCATATGGTTATTTGAAGGAATAAATTTCAATTGTACTAAAATTTATTAATTCGTTGTTTGATAAACCAGGCATCGAGCAACGAACTGTTACATATTGTCATATGTGAAATTGTGGTTGGAATTGGAAGAGCAGGATCAGTGTACAATGATTGATATTATAGCGGTATATATGATTGCACAGTACACTATGAATGTTGAATATTGTTGTACAAAAAACTGCCCGAATTCTAGTGTGGCATTATAGTGGAGTGCATGTGCAAATAAATGTTTTAATGTTGTGTTGATCTACTTTTTGCTGATTTTTGGGGTTGGAAACCACTGTTTTATTGTCTGCTTTTAATAATGTCCTGCTTTTATAAATGGTCAATATAATGTTACCATATCTTTGTTTTAGTCATGGAATGGTGACGGTGTACGGCCATGTGTACGCTGATTGTTGGCTGTTAAAAGATGTTCCCAATCTTTCTTCAATTTTGATTAGTAAATTATCAAAGGTATATCGTGAAACAATCATTGTTCATTACCAAACCATTACTCAAAGATCAAACTTCTCAAATGCCATTGATTGCTTAAAGAAAACTAATGAACATTTAGATTTTATCAAATATAGTAGACTTACACTATCATTCGGTCATTTTACCATTTAACACATGAATATATTAAAAAACTACCGTTTTTCGGATGTGTGTGATGCTCGGTATGTTACTGCATGTTAATTGTTATACAGAAAATTTACTACAGCTTCTGATAATTGTTTTTAATTCTGTTTTATATGGAATGATCATAAATTTTTTCTGTGTCCGTACGTGTCTTATTGCTTAAATTACATGTATTCATTGTCTTACTTGGTTAAACGATGTATAATTACTATTCATCCATTTCAATTAAGTCTGTTCAATTCAATCCTTTGTTGATTCTTAAGAAACGAGTGTTAAGAATATGTAGAATAGAGTCATATCATCAGAAAAATGTTTCTTTTTCAAATTATACCAGGAGCTGTCGAGTAACGTTAAACTCACATCTTACTCTGACTCCAAACCACAAGCCAAAAATTGACTCTGACCTCATAGTTTACTAAGCTTTGACTTTGACTCTGTTTCTTGGATCTCGGTTGGATATTTAAATACATAAAACAAACAAAAAAAAGAGTGCATAACCTAGGTTAACACCATAAATGCATGTCCTTTTATACTTACTTTAAACCAAAGCTATGATTTCATTTTTCACCTCAATATCATTGAACATGAAATTTCATCAATCTCTTGATACTTTGTAATAGAATTGAATTTTTAATAATTTTCATCCACACAACAGCCTGCAAAAGAAAATGTGATTGAAAATGGTGATCAACAAGAAGAATCAAGCAAACCTGATCCGCTCCAACAACTTATATCAGTGTTCAACATGACCTCAATGACTGCACCTGTGTACGTATCTGAAGTGTTAGAAAATTTTACTTCCTAAAAATTTACCCACGAAATCCTGAAACAAGTGAAAAAAATATGACATTCCTAATAGAATTATGCCAGACGATTCACTTTTCCTTGCTCTATGCCCTCGTGCAAGTGAATCTGTATGTGTATATTGCAAGGATGCTGTAGCAAGAATAAAGATGACCATTCTATATGATTCAAGAGTCTTCTTCAGCAAACAAAACATACAGAAATGTTGGTGTGCAGCAAGACTCTCAAAGAATCAGTTAGAATAGTCTCATAATGGAGGTTAGGGTTGACCTTTTCAATTTTTATGTTTTCAAAAATATTTATTCTTCTTATTTTCATACAGGCCAATGGAAACAGATGACTTATACATGAATTATGCGAATATGATGGCAAAAAGTTGTCATACAGGTGATGATGACGAGGAAGAAGCTGAAGAGGAGGGAGAGGACACTGCTCAATCCTTCGAGGTAATTTTAACTGCCTTTGAATTTAGTTCTGTATATATTTCATTCCGACTTCAAGCTTTAGTCATGAGAAGATGTGATAATTTTTTATACAACTCTTATTCGTGTCGCTCTCTCTGAATAAGGCCCTATATAGTAAGCCACTGATATCTAATGATACGTAAGAAGTACTATCATTTAGAAGGACTGAAATCTTTCTGTTTCGCCTTTGCCTTTCGATAAGATGGAGGGCATGAGATTTGAACCTGAGATGTATAATCTGCAACATACTTGAATCAAGCACTTCAATACATCATACTGATATCATACCATTATTATTCTCGCTAATTTTGTAATGATATTCGGGCTATTGTTTGGCGATATCTGTAATCGTTTATTGTTGGACCTGGCCACCATAATATATTGCATGTATGTGTATACATTGTATATTTATCAATTCCTATTTAGCCATGTTTGAATAATATTTTTCATAGGAAAAAGAACGAGAAAAACAACGACTTCTGTATGAACAAGAAAGACTTGCGTCCAGAGGAGCATCTGAGATGGTTTTATATATGGTCAGTGCAAGTGGAGGAGAATTTTCCGATATGGTCATGGAAACCTTAAATCTTGGTATCGCATTGCTTACTGGTGGAAATCAAATGGTCCAAAAGGTTGGTAGAAACATAGGACTATAAAGATTTAGCTAATATAAAATCGGGAACTTTAAAAATAAAACACTTTTATTTAGAAAATGTTGGAACATTTAAAAGAAAAGAAAGATGTCCGGTTTTTCACTAGTCTGGCTGGATTAATGACTCAATGCAGGTAATGTCCTGACATTAATGTCATTAATTTAACATTCAAATAAAAACAAGTAATACAAGATAAAATTCTTCTATCTGCCATATCTCCAATTTCAATTGATGCCTTTCAAATTACTAAGCATTTTTTATTACCTTATCTTTTTTATCCTTTTATGATTTTACATTATTATAATTTTGTGTGTATTTTTAGTGTTCTTGATCTGGATGCATATGAACGTTGCCTTAAAGCTGAAAACTTGGGTTCAGTGTCAGATGCATCAGCAGGTGAAATTTGCCGTACTATATTTACTTCTACAAACCTATTACATTGAAAAAAATTTTCCTCCATGCTATCAAATCTTTTTATATCCTTAACATTTAATATTTACATCGTTTATTTTTTTCTTATCTAAAGCGTATTTGTCTTCGGTTATTTATCCAACATATTCAAGATTTGGATTTACTTCTGGTATATATTCTTAACTTTGCTGAGCTAATGCACAAGCCTGATGAAAATTGAAAATACACACTCGGCACTGTTACAATCTTTACCCAATTCTGCTTCAGCTATAGCCTATAGCTTTGTTTTTACCACAGCTGTATTTAAAATAGCTTAATTTGCGGGAGCAATTTCACTTATACAAATGTATATGGCTTTTATTCCAAGTATATGTTATGTGCTAAACTATGTTATGTTTGTTGTTGTGCTGTTCACCATTTTTATGACCCAAGATTTCCTGTTTTTATTTTGATACTGACTTGTTTTTCATTTTTTTTTCATGTATTCATCATCTCACTAGCACATGGAGGTAAGTTTTGAAGTTTGAACATATGCATTTTGTGTTTACAAGGTCATCAAAGAAATTGATGCTCAATTATTATCTTTTTCACAGGTAAAGAAACAATGCATGATGCTGAATTCACTTGTGCTTTATTTCGTTTTCTTCAACTGACATGTGAAGGTCATAATGCAGGTTAGTTACTTTCAACAAGTTTTGAATTCCAACTAATTAGTATATTATCGAAAAACTGTTTTGTATTGGTAAACTGTGTAACTGACTGTTATCTTATACAGATTTCCAGGACTACCTTCGAACGCAAGTTGGCAATAATACGACAGTCAACATAATCATATGTACTGTTGATTATCTTCTGAGATTGCAAGAGTCTATCAGCGATTTCTATTGGTACTATGCCAGCAAAGAGACAATAGATTCTCAGGTATACATAACTTATGTCATCAATGCACAATTTTTGGTTTCTTGGTTTTTATATTTTTCTTTAAGTTAACCTAACGTCATGTGGTAATATTTTGTATATATATATATTGTATATATAAAGTGAAATGAATTTTATATTTGCAATATTTGTTAGATTGTTCTATAACTAGCATATTCATTAAAATTCACATACTTTGCAATATTTTCCCATTCTGATAAAGATTTTCAAATACAGAATGACCCCCAAAACAATACCCAGGCCATATGGAACATATTATAAAGAGAACATAACTTTTGTGCAAATAATCCTAGTTTACTGAAACTTTTAGGTAAAATTATACACAAACAGAAGTTGAAATGTTGAATATATTTTCTTTATTTTCATAATTAGGAAGTTTAAGGTTTTTTTTCCCCTGTATGTTCGGCTGCTATTGTATATGTCAATAACATTGTCCAATACAATGGCTTTGAAAGCTATATCTAATGGAGTAAAAGTATCTATCTACCTGGTATTGAACATTCATACTTTCATAATGATTATATTCAATATTAGTTATCAACAATAACATATCTTTTTTACTTATAGGGTCAAGCAAATTTTTCAAAGGCTATTACAGTTGCAAAACAAGTTTTCAACTCGCTGACTGAATATATTCAAGGACCTTGTCAAGGAAATCAGCAAGCCCTTGCTCACAGTAGATTGTGGGATGCTATTGTTGGCTTCTTGCATGTGTTTGCCAACATGCAAATGAAATTGTCACAAGATGCTGCAAATCAATTGGAATTGCTGAAACAACTTCTCGATCTACAGCAAGATATGATTGTTATGCTGCTGTCTATGCTTGAAGGTATTTCAACCATTAATCATTTTTTTCAATCTACCGTAATGTAAATTAATCTACACTGAGCTACAATTACCTGAATATATAAAACAGTTATTAATAACTGATGTAAATTGTGGCAAATAAGAGTTGAACAAAAAACAAAAGATTAAAGACTTCCGAATTTTAGTTAGATTCAATGGTGGGATTCAGGGGGTTCGTACAAGATCGTTCTTGAAAAGTCATGACACTTAGCAAACCTAATATTTTTTAGAGCTTTTAGATCTGTAGAAAATGAGGGAACCTATTGTTAGTAAGTTTGATGCAAAAGAGAACATATTCTTAAAATTTTGATTCTCATTAGGTTCAGACCAGGGGTGGGCAAGAATTCTGGACCAGGGGCCAAAAATTTTGCCCATCTAGACTGGCGGGCCATTTAAGTATGACGGAAAAGGTTACATTTTATAAACAATATTTACAGTGGTACAAATGCTAAAGTGGGTAACGAAAAGACTCGTGCCAAAACTAAATTTAATCACAATCTCAACAAAATCCTTGAGCTATTTTTCAGCTAAATCACTTATATTTAGTTTTAGTTTGGTTGTGGCAGCATCAGGCGGGCCAGATTGAATTACCCAATGGGGTTAGACTGTATGAATAATTTGTTTCACCACATGAATTTTGTATTTATTTTCAAGATAATCTTAATTCAATCTAACAAAAAAGGGAAATTTCACTACAAAGAAATTGTATGACACTGCGTTAATTAATGAATTAGCAGAGATAAATTCATCATCTGATCTTCATTAACAGATATTGTAATATTTATTCAATTTACAGGAAATGTCGTCAACGGTACCATTGGAAAGCAGTTGGTTGATACACTCATCGAATCATCACAAGAAGTTGAATTAATTCTGAGTTTTTTCAACATGTTTTTGCGTCTGAAAGATCTTACTTCATCAGAATCTTTCCATGAATTTGATCCTAACAAGAAAGGAAAAATAACTAGAAGGGATTTCCAAAAAGCAATGGAAGCATCGAAATTATACAATAGGTGATTTTTAATATTTTAATATTTAATATTTTTGAGTAGTATTGATTGATTATATTGTGGAGATGTGTTGGTCTATCTATTTTTGTGACTTCAGATCTATATAGGACTTGACTCACAAAGATGCTTTGATAGGATAAGATAAAAAGTACAAAGCAACAAAAGTGCAGAATATTTCACATATTATAGTGAAATGTAATTAATTATGCATTTTTGTTAATATCAATGGCACTTGGAGAATTTTCGTTATTTTCAACATCTTCAGCAACTTGTAAAGGCGTATAAAATACAAGTTATGTTTTTTTACATTTTTCAACCTGTAATCCAGATATAAATATTCTCATAATTTACCATACTGATATATTTTTATATTTCAATTCCAGTGAAGAGATTGAATTTATGTTGAAATGTGCGGAATCTTCGGAAAGTGAATTACTCGATTATGTTGAGTTCACCGATCGATTTCATGAACCTGCTGCTGATATTGGTTTCAATGTTGCTGTTCTACTCACCAACTTGTCCGAGCATATGCCCAATGACAACAGGTATTATTTGGTAGATTGCAACCACAATTGAATTTGTCATTTTTTATAACATATCTATATGCATTTCACCTTTAACACTGCTCTCTATAGGCAGCCATTGATATTTATATAACAGGCCAGTTTATTTTGAAATGACCAGACTTTTTCTGGTCTGACATTACCTACCCAATTTATTACACCCAAGGGGAGGTGGTGGGCATGGAATTTCAATCCAAAATTTTAATTTGTAATGCCATAATAACTCTAATTTTTATAACCATTAGACAACTGCACCCAATAATGCTGGGTATATTGTTACTTATTTTCTTGTTTAGTAATTTTAATTTAGTTAATTTTAATTTAGCAGTAATACCATTTCCAGATCCGCTGTATTATGTATATATATTCATAGTACATAATACTAATGAATAGCCTAATAATATTTTATTTTTATTTGTAACTCTATCACTGAAAGATGATATTTGAGTAAAGTATTAAATTAAAAGTTGAGAATCAAATTGCAAATTGTTTTCTTAACGTTATATTAATCAAGAATAGAACACTGTTATATGTGATCATAATGTATTATTGATTTCAACTTTTCTTTTACATAGATTGGCAAAATTCATGGAAATGGCCGAAGCAATGTTGGAGTATTTTAAACCAAATCTTGGTAGGATTGAAATCATTGGTGGAGCAAAAAGAATTGAACGAGTATATTTCTATATCAAAGAATCAAGTTTGGATCAATGGCAGAAACCCCAGGTATTCAACATTAAAAACCATTCACATTATTTAACGGTTGGTGCATCGTTCTCAGAATTAGCAATGCACTTGTCATCGCATCTCTGATTAGGCTGTATGGATTTGCAAATATGAATTATATATGATAGGATTGCTAGACTCCTCGCTGATGTAGGGGGGTTCACAGAATCTCTAGTCTGTTACTTCTTTCTATACCATTCAAATACATCCATTTGAAACAAATAACTGTATAACTATTTCCACACCCCTCAAGAACTTCTAACTGGATGAGAGGTGGTGGTTTGCCATACAATTAAATTGTCTAATCGGTTTTTCTCACCTGTGGGATATATATGAAAATCCTAGGGGCTCCCGAAGTATGCGAACCAAGATGGCGGACATCGGAATGTAATATGTGTACTAGGTTAGGGTTAGGCCATAATTTTAGGTATAAATACTACGGGAGGCTCTTGGCTAGTCTTCGAAATGATAATAGGACTAAAATAAGGAAAATTGGAAAAAAATTATCGCCTAACCCTAACCTGTTACCCATGTTACGTTCCGATGTCCGCCATCTTGGTTCGCATACTTCGGGAGCACCAAACTTCGGGAGCTAACAAACAAAATTCATTGAGTCAGTTTTTTAATAAGTGAATAATATTAAAATTTATCTTCAAATTAATTCCATGCCAGGTTCAAGAATCGAAGCGTCAGTTTTTCTTTGATGTCATCAATGAAGAAGGTGACAAAGGAAAGATGGAAGAATACGTCAATTTCTGTGAAGATACAATTTTTGAGGTATGTTATTTATTAATCTTTTATTGACTGGTTCAAAGGTCACACTTTCTAACATTTTATTTTGTAATGTTCTTCGGACCAAAGTCAGACTTTCTCAAACTTGCCGTTTACAGCAATGATAAAAAATATTCATGAGGGAATTGCAATACAAGACTTTTAATTTCCTTATTATGATCGCTCTTTACTGTGGTAGCCGCTAGTTGGTTACGGCTTCCTCCACCACCAATGTCTATGCATTTTAACTATTTCTATACCCGGCATGGACTGGTAACCAGACGAGAGGATGTAGTTCGGCATATGACTAAGCCTTGTTAGTGTCTTTACTCTCCTCTGTGATAAACTTGAATTTCCAATCTTATGTTCAGATGCAACTTGCTGCTGATATTAGTGAAGCAACATTTGAAAATTCAGAAGGTGGAAATGAAGAAGCAGAAGAAGAAGAAGAAGATGAAGAAAATGCTGATGAGTGAGTGAAATTAGGTCTTCTATGTTGGCAATGTGGGTTAAAGATCGCTTACCGGTACCTGAAAAATTAATTGTAAAGGGATCAATCTCTGTAATATCGGTATGTTCATGTCTTGATCTAATTGATAATTGGACATTTTGTGGATATATGAATTGTTGTGCTAAACCCTATGTATTCCTATTTGCATATAAAATTCACACAAACTCTACATTTATTTATCTTGAATTTTTTATAGACAATGGAATCATGAATATACATCTCATTAACTTTCATTATTTTTTTAGATCATCACCAACTTTGACCAGTTACATATCAACATTTACACCTAATAATATGAAAAAGAGTGTGAGTAATAAAAACACCACCAACTGCTCTACTAACGTGTTTTATAGTTTTATGTCATCCATGACTTGAACCCATATTTCGCTATTCAATTCAATACCTTATATCATGTAAATTTATTCAAATTCTCGCACCCAATTTTATATTGATATTTTCATTATCGCCAGTCAATAAACTGGTCATGTTTGAAATATTTGTCCAAAAGGTATTATTTATCAAAATTAATAACATTTTATCCCAATACTGATAGCTTAATTCGCCCTTGTTCCTAATGTTCATTCGTTCCTTATATAAAACGTTGGCTATTATTCTCAAACTCTGGTTTAAGAAATTTCTTATTTGGTAAATATTTTTTATTTCTTAATTTATTTCAGTACAAGAAATATCGAGCAATGTCTTGGATTGAAGTGTTCATTGCTTTATTCTGGTTCGTTCTTGGAATCAACTGGACTGCTATGAAATCATCCATATTCATGCTGGGGTAAGTTGTTCATGAATAAATAAAAGAATAAACAAGTTTTTTTTTTAACGGTACTGAAATTTTCAAGATATTTGATCAGATGACAGCTTTTGCTTTGTCAGTTTTTATGTAAAGGGGGCTTGTACCTGATAGTAATTATCTTATTTCTTCCTAGCTATCATAATCTTGATAGCTTTGATAACTTTGTAATTAAAAAAAATTATTAATAATAATTTAACTATAAATTAAGAAATACATAAATATTATAACGATCAAATGTACCAGAGTACCAGAAATTGCCTCCGTCTTAATATAATTGTGACTCGTGTAAAACTAAAAACTGCATAATACCAACCAAAGATTATAGGACTCGTTGAAAAATTGCAGCTGCAATTTTGATTCAACATCTATGACCCACAGTCTTCTTTTTCACAATGAAAATTTAATTTTTGACTTATTCATTAAAAAAGGTTCGTCATTCTTAGGATAGGATAAGATTTACATATTTATCCCGGGGGAGAGGAAAGCCGATAAGACGGCTTATCCATATGGCAAACCACGGCCTCTCGTCCGGTTACCATTCCAAGTCGGGTATGGGATTAGATTTACTGTATTGTTTGTTTTCGAAAGCATGGACTTGGTGGTGGAGGAAGCCGTAACCGACCAGCGGTTACGTGAACCACCCAACGACGGCGAGGAGTCCAGCAATCCTCTCGCACATAACCATCCCTGCATGGGATTCGAACCTGCGAACCCACGCAGAGTAGTTAGAGGAGCGGTGGTGAGCGTATTCCTAACGCTTAGCCCGTTAAGCCACACCGCCGCGCCTTATAATTCCTTATGGTCTTATCAGTTCTTGGATCTTCAGTGGCCCATAATTTTGCTCAGAGATCAATCTCCCTTTTTCTGAGTGAATGCACGTAACCTTGCTTTGGGTAAATTTCTATGTACAGCAGTTAAGTAACACTTACCTATTTGCCAAATTCAATTTTTCTCTTATTTTTGTTCAGAGCTATCATCAAGTTCATATTCTACGCAATGTTTTCTGGTAAGCTGATTGAAACTCTGAAAAATACTACATTCTCAGATATCATGAATGGAATGCCTCATCCAACTCATGAAGGAATTGAGAAGAAGGATGCACTCACGCAGGTAAAGTATATTTTAATTACTGATATCAAAACTAAATAGCACTGCTACATGATTTCATGTCTGTTGATCCACAAGCAAGCATAGACATAACTTTGTTGAATCGTTTAGCATTTTTACTAGTTGCACCATTTTTTTGCTATCAATTCTGATGTTATTTGATGTATATTCTAAATTTATATATATATATATATGAAATCTAGAGGCTATTATAATAATTAAATCAGGTTTGTTCTCATATAGTGATGTAATTGGAATTTTCACTTCACTTATTTCGACTACGCACATGAATCCGCAACAACAAAGGCAGAGTAAAAGAATTAATTAGTCATGGAATACATATTTTTATTGTATATTTCTAATTTTTTAACATCAAAATCTCTATTTTTATATTTTAGTCTGGATTTTCAGTGAATGGATCGACAATGACAGAAGCAGATGATAAAGAAGATGACACTGAGATTATTTCCAATGTATTTGGACTTGATATCAGGTATAGTCACAGATTGTTCTAACTGCATTTCTATTATAGCTTGCATTCCTCAAACTGGGCTTCCGATACCCTCAGCGGATCAGGGGGCATGAGCAAAGGCCTTCACAACGTGTCGCTTGCTTTTTATTATCAAATGTGTCAAATAAAATAACTGATGAAAATCTGTTAAAAACTAAACTAATTTTTTTCATTGGAGTCTCTGGAAGGAAGCCATGGATCATAAATGTTTAAAGGCAGTACCCGATCATAAATGTCGCTTCTATGTCGTCAGCAGGATTTTTTTGGGGCCCATTTAGAAAATAAAAATTATATGACTTAATATGTGACGTCATATTTTATATTTTACGAACTGTTATGGGATTCATGTCGAGTTCTAGATGGATTTATGAAAATTTTTAAAAACTGGGCAAATAAAAAAATTGTGGCTCAAAGCTGTAGTAAAACATCATAGTTCCAGAAAAACTGATGTCATAATAACTGTTCACAAGAAGGGAGGCGCAATGAAACCCTTCGCTCATACGTCAGTATACTCTAACTACAATATCTTTCTTACTGCTGTCTGTATCATATATCAATCTTCCATTGCAGCAAAGAGGAAGAGTTGATCAGACTTGTTGCTCCTCATAAACCTGATGCTGGATTTGGTGACTTCACTGTTGACGAAGCTGCAGATACAATCAGTTTGAATCAGTCAGAAGATGGAGATCATAGTCCTAATACAACACCCGCTGCTGTTAAACGTCGAAGACATGCTTTGATCAGAAGCAGAATAAAGCATGGTGTTGAGGTTTGATATAAAAATTATGTGTTAGAATTGACATATAACCCTAACCCTCACTATTGCAGTATGGTTCATTTAACCATTGTTCGACTGCAGCTTACTCCACTGTCTGTGCAGCAGAAACATATACATGAGTTTATAAATACAAATAACATATACTTTTCATAGCACCCCATGTTCTTACAAACTCCTTGAAAGCAACGAAAATCAAATTTTGTTAGCAAGTACTTGATTTCATTACAGGACAAAGATCATTTAGCAGCAGGAAATCAATCAGCAACAAACAGTGAACCAGAACATGAACCTCAATCACAATGGACTTATTGCATGAAAATGTGTGAAAGACCTGCAAGGTATCAACGACTTGCATACACATTAATAATACCAAACTAGTTTTTACAGCACAATTAATAGGAAGTTGGGAATACATGTGCAATTATGCCCGTAGGGTGGTTCATGTAACTAGCCACTGGTCGGCCAAGTCCATGCATTTGAAACAAATAATTGGTTATCTATTCCCATACCCGACATGCACTGGTAACTGTACAATAGACTGTGTTTGGGCATATATTTAAGCTGTCTTATCATCTTTTCTCTCTCTTGTGATGATATGAATATTCTATCATACCCTGGTAGTTGTTCTAGAATTATAATTGCTGTTTGTTTATTCATAAAATAATTTTGCATTCTGTTACTATATCATATACTTTCAGATACAAAAAAGAAGAAAAAGTCGATGAAGGATCTCCCTTCAAAGAAAAATTTTCAAAATTTATGCGTGGTGTTTTGGTGAGTATACCTTTACAATTTTTTTTTAAAAATCTTTAAAAATTCTCATAACCTGTGCTTTAAATTTTAAATTTCTATTTTCAGGGAATTTTTGCCAGAAATTTTTACAACTTCAAGATTCTTGCTCTTGCTGTCACTTTTGGAATCAACTTTATGTTGCTGTTTTTCAAGGTATAAAAAATATTTGTTTCGTGGAATAAAAATTTTAAATGTTTAAAGTGTTTCCACTCATACATTTAAATATGTTTTACTTACTTCAAAAAGCAGTTGTATTTATAAAATCCACATGCAATTTTAAAAAAAAAAAATTCTACAAATATAATCTATCTGGAGTGTAGTAGTCTTATTGATTTGAACAAGTCTCTACACAAGCAGTGACTAAAAGTCCAAACCCCAGGCCCCAAACCTGTAATGCCAGTAGAGTAATAGCAGCACACTAACCGAAATCGATATTCAATTCTTATTGTTGTAACCTGTTATGATACTAAAAATTTGTGCAGTGGCAAGATTTTGAAGAAGATCAAGATGAAGGAGGAGATTCAGGGGAAAATATTCCTCCACCAGTAGACGATTCACAAAATGAAGATGGAAGGCCTGATATTTTAATTTTGGAGGAAAAATCTGGATATATGGAATCTGCATTGTTTATATTTGCTGTCATTCATTCATTTCTCAGTTTCTCAATGCTCGTATCATACTACATGCTCAAGGTAATGTACATGAATTTCACTAAAATAGTTTGAAAATAACATTTCCCTACTAACAATGTCTCAGTAAAGCTTGAGCTAAAACCGATTGTTTAAGTTGAAAATTTGGAAGCTGTGACAACTCCAGTCAAAGTAGAATTTTACACTTGAACTTACCGTACGTAACGAAAAAAACTCAAATTCTTTTATAACTTTAAAGGTTCCACTTGTCATATTTAAACGAGAAAAGGAAGTTGCCAGAAAGCTTGAGTTCGCTGGATTGTATGTGACAGAAGAACCAAGTGACGATGATTTGACTGGACAATGGGACAGACTTGTTATATCATGTCCATCATTTCCATCAAATTACTGGGATAAATTTGTTAAAAAGAAGGTTAGTCTTTTTGAAAACGAAAAATCACATCGTAAAGGTTTAAATACCAGTGACCAATTTAGAAAATAAAATTTATAAATATTTGATTAAAAACTTACTGTCTTAGGCCCAGTATGATTCAATTTGCAATATTTAAGTTTTGTGGATCGAAGGGTTTAAATTTTGTACTAAACTCCTTGTGTTGCAGGGAGTTTACTTGAAATAATAATAAAATCAACTAAAAATGCCAGATATTTACAGTATGAAATTTAAAAAATATTACATTTCAGCGAATGTATTATTAAAATTGTTCTACTAATATTTACTAAGGTCGTGGATAAATATGGTGGACAATGCGGACCAGACAAAGTCAGAGATCTCCTAGGTATGGATAAATCAGCAACAAGTTTCCAAGATTTTGAAGAAGAAAAACCAAAGGAAAATTTCTTTGTACATGCGTAAGTTCTTCAGAATTTTCCAAACCCAAAAATATAGAATTTTTTTTATCTGACAAAAACAACCTTTATTCATGGAGCAATTAATTGCAATTAACTTGCATGATAACTTAATTGGTAATGCTGAATAAACATCAGTATATTAAAGTATTTAGGACTATAAATATTATTGCCCATCCTTTCATACAATGGCCTAGCAGTTTAAGACTTAACTGTGATGGCATCACTGATTACACATCTCGAATTTTAATTTAATGACCTTCCTCGACCAAGGTATAATAAATTTCAGGTTATGAACCAAAATGATTTCGGTCTTTCCAAAACAAAAACTACCGGTAACTCTATACTTTCCTCTCTGATAAACTTTGTATGTTTATTATTTCAAATCTATTTATTAAAATCTGTATAAATGACATGTATTAAGATAATTTACCATCTAGTTTACTTGTTTGCGCAAGTTAATATTGTTAAATCAAATTTCAAAGTCGCATCTCAAATGTTGCATTTCAATTTTTTGTGTCACAAAACACTGGTAAATAACTTATATATTACTATATTTTTTAATTATCATTTCTGTTACTGATTTTAGGATGAAAAATCTTGACATCAAATACAAAATTTGGAAGTTGGGAGTTATGTTTATGGATAATTCATTTCTTTACATCTTGTGGTATTTCGTGATGTCATTACTTGGACATTACAATACCTTCTTCTTTGCTTCTCATCTCCTTGATATTGCTATGGGCTTCAAGACATTGAGAACAATTTTATCTTCTGTTACGCATAATGGAAAACAGGTGAATTCTGCTGATTATTTTTTTCGTTTGATTAGCTTAAATAAGAATAGTTCGTGAAGTAGTATAGGCAGTTGATGTAATACCTGATATTGCTGTTCAATCAATAAGCGTGCCATAAAAAACCTGTTGTCGTACTTCTGTCTCAATATTAATTCTAAATGATTTGGTCATTTTATATACATAGGAAAATAACAAGTATCTTTTTTGGAAATGGTTTGATATTTTGTAATCCACTAGACTTCACAATTTAGGAATCAACTAGTTGAATGCTAGTTAGCTCAACACCTCACCTAGGGTGCCATGAATTGGGTAGGCAATACAGAACTGGGAAGATTCTGATTCTTCCAAAAATACCAGCTTTTTACAGCTCAGTCTTTATATTCCATGTACAGTCTTGTTTGAAGTGAAATACATGGAAAACGTTTAAAAAAAAGTGGCATATATGAATTAAATGCAGCAGCAAAGATGTTGATGACATGACATCATGAGTTTTGGAGATATTCAGATAATAAATTTGCTTTCTGCTATTGCTATTAAATAATCAATGAAATGTTATCTGGTTTAGCTGGTGTTGACTACAGGATTCCTGACAGTAGTGGTGTATCTGTACACTGTAGTTGCGTTCAATTTCTTCAGAAGATTTTACAACAAGAGTGAAGGAGAAGAGCCTGACTGGAAGTGTCACGACATGTTCTCGGTAAGATATTAACTTGGGCTCGAAATTTGACAAACATATCTTTTAAGTCAAGTCGAGCAACTTTCCATCAGAATCTCAAGCCTAATCTCGAATTGAGTCAATCACTGAGAAGCAATTTAATGACGAAACCGAATAATTTCATTTAGATAACTCGAGTCACTTTGAGTCTTAATAAATGATGATTCGAGTCAACTTGAATCGCCACAACACTGAGTATGAAATAGAAACGCACAAAAAAATTTATGGAATGCTCGACATATTTAGAAATCACTGTTAAAATTACATTGTCCCTAATATCCGTACAAATACTCTTTGTTTGAAGCTCATCGTAGGGACCATGAAAGCTTTTAGTAAATATTCGGAGAAAAATAGCCAAGCGATCAGGAATCTTGGTTTTTCTATAAAACAAAACTTTTTTTCAGTGCTTCCAATTTCACTTGTATGCTGGCGTGAGAGCAGGAGGAGGAATCGGAGATGAATTAGAAGATCCATCTGGAGATGAATATGAGTTGTGGAGAATCTTGTTTGACATCTCTTTCTTCTTCTTCGTTATTGTCATTTTGCTAGCCATCATTCAGGGTGGGTATTATCTATCAGTAAGAACAGGATGGACTATAATTTTTTTCATGCAACATTATTGAGTTGAAAGCAATTCAAACTAGTGATAAATTACTGATTCTTCCTTACCTGCTCAGGGCAGGTACAATTTTTATTTACTGAAAGCATATGCATAATGATACTTTAATGAAAGAATTTGCTTTTTCATTAAACCACCAACAACAATGCATTCATTAAGGAATGATTTTTCTGATTTAAATGAAGCAAAATGTGTCTACTCTGTCTCACAGCAGCAACATTCTGAAAATTTAACTTTTTCTGCTAATTGCGTTTCTCCATCTTGCATATAATGATTCAAGAGTCTTGCTTCTTCGCCTGACCAATGTCAAATTCACTCCGGTTTACATAATTACACTACCGATACAGAAATATATTTGTATTAATGTGCAGCAATGAATAATTCAAACCAATAATTTTAATCAATTTACAATTCTCTTCCCTAACTTTTACATTGTGTTTGTTTATCTTTGAATATCCAAAAACAGTTGAAATGTCTTTGCAAACAACTTCTATCATGTCATATTTCAGGTTTGATCATTGATGCCTTTGGAGAACTTCGTGATCAACAGGAGCAAGTGAAAGAAGATATGGATACAAAATGTTTCATTTGTACAATTGGAAATGATTATTTTGATCAAGTACCGCATGGGTTCGAAACCCATACAATGCAAGAACATAATCTTGCAAATTACATGTAAGTTTAACTAACGTGATATATTTCATGGTAATAGCACAAAACTAATTATTGTGAGTTGAAGGTAGATGTGGGAGCGTTGGCCTATTGGCTCAAGTGTTAGACTCCACTGTAATACCATCACAGGTTAAAATCTCTAATTTAAATCCCATGCCCACCATCTCATCCAGGGTTTATTAATTTGAGTTGGCAAAGCCCATTCAAAAAAATTCTGGTTTTTCCAAACTCTGGTAGTTCCTTACTTAACAGTTCGAAGAATCGGATCTGAGCGATCAGGGTTGATTGAAACATCTTTTTGTGAATGTTGAATCCAAACTTCGTACATACCGGGATACAGAAATGTATATGGCCATGTATGTTGTAAAAAAAAAGTCAAACTGTTAGTATAAATTCAATGCACTAGCAGTGATTCTGCTACACCCAGGAAGAGAAAGTTAAGATTTAGCCCCACAAACTAATCTTGCCAGTCTACGTATGGTTCCCATATTTGTAAAAAACAAAATATTTTTAGAAAATAATTCAATAATCGCCTTTTTCTACTTAGGTTTTTCCTCATGCATCTTATTAACAAGGATGAAACAGAGTATACTGGGCAAGAAACTTATGTTTGGCAACAATATCAAGAAAGATGTTGGGAATTCTTTCCCATTGGTGACTGCTTTAGAAAGCAGTATGAGAATGAGCTATCAGGATGAGGTAAAATGGTATTCAAATGTAGGAACATGGTACCAACCAAATGCTTTGTGCAGATGGAAAGCACAAGATCAGTTTAAAATTTGGAAACCGTGTATCAATATTACTTATGGTCTTTATGGATTTCGAGATGAACTTTTTCTTTATCTTATTTTGCATCACATGATTTTCTTTCTTTACAAAAACTTCAATGGAGAGGTTCAAGGGGATCATGTGAATCTGTTATTGAAATATCATGATAATCAGAAAATTATAGATTTGTCATTTTCTGAAACCAGGGAACCTGTTGTTAATGAATTATATACAAAAGGGTACCCGTTTCTAAAATTCGTTTTGTCAATTCTAACTGTTTGTGTAGTAGTAAATTAGTAGTCTCTCTTGAAAGTAACAAAGATTAGTTTTCATCCCCACACCGCACTACCATTGCTCTTTCTTTCAAAATCGTCTTGTTTTATAGAATCTGCATGTTTTTGTTTAATTTTATTATTATTTTTACATTTGTTTCATAGGAGCATAAAACTGTACAGAACAAATTCTTTTCTTTCTTGTTCAAACTTTTCTTGTGTAGATTTCTAACATATTGAACTGATTTCTCACGTGTGTTTGGTCTGGAATGTTTCTGCTCAATTATTTATTAATCATCAATATTATAAAGTGCTACTTGCCAAATAAATATCCATTTCATATATTTCTTCATGTGCGCTACTAATAGCTTATACAATGAGAATATCTTTGAAAAATTTGCCACCTGTATAAATGAATAGTGTGCGATTGCCGACTTTGAGACTAGTAACAAATATTTTACATTAAGTTCAGGACATAAAAACAGCTTCCTTATTTGTTAACAAAATAGCCTTTATAAAGATAGCAAGACATCGTCAGACGTTAAACGTGTTTTTCAAAAGCGAAGGCGGCTTTTTCCATTTTCTGCAAACCCAGGGACAAAAAGAACTCTGAAAAATGGAACTACCAGTACCGTATTTTACTGCCAAAAAGGCGAAACACCAATTGCGCAGATTGGAGGTTTTGTCCACACCCAAGGCGCACCAACCTATAAAACACTTTGTGGCGTAGGCACCACCTGATCGATGGTACATTAGGCGCACAATCGAAAACAAAAGGATTCAAAAAGTATCTTACAGTCAGTAAAATACAGAACTGTAATATTCGATCATTTTTCAAGGGAGCTGGCCAGTAACTAAGTCACATGTACTCAATCATAAGTAAAGAAAATTCACATACGCAGAGCGCAAATATTTCTCAATGCTAAACTACATTGATTTACATTACAATTTAAGTTATCAAGCCTCAAAAATTACTCCTGAATCTTCTCGCACTTGCATAACCACATATATTGTTGGCAAAAGATCATGGAACCTGCTGCCGGATGTGATCTTTGGATATTGCAACAAATTGTATTTGAAATGAGCTTTACTAGTTCAATTTAACCCCGCACCAATACAAAATAAGAAACAAGACATGCAAAAATACAATTTATTCACAATGATTTTGATGATACTCATGAACACTGAACAAATTAAAGAACAGTATTGCAGTACTACAGTACAGGTTTCTGAAACTAAAAATTTATCACCGATATATGAAAATATTCATTAAATTAAAAATAATAAACACAATGACATTAAAAGCATAAAAATGTGCAAAGTGTTTTCCTCATAGTACAAAGTGACTAAAAATCAGAACTTAGGTCATTTGAAACATAAATATTTGTGAGGCGTCCTGATAACTGTAACTTGAGAATACAATTATACACAAACAGGAGGCTAGGTTTACTGGCGATCTTCGGCAATAAAAGTTCGTCAAAACATAATTACTGTTTATAATGAAGGTAGTTGTGCATCACATGATACATTAGAAACATGCACCAAGATCACATACTACACTGGTAACCACTATTAACTACTACCATACTGTATGCATACTTCCAAACCACCCAACCAACTTTATAGTTCGAATTAACTCAGGGAACTTAATTTACTTAACTGTGTGCATATAGCATGCTGCCCCAGTTACAGGAAATGTCTGATGGTTGCATTATATCCAGTTTAGCCCATGTGACTCGATAGATCGTACACATTTTTTGAATGACATTTTTTGTGTAATTCCAAAAATAGTTTTGCTAATGATTGAGTTCATTTTTTCATTCATTTAAAAATCGGAATCATCCGATCCAACTTCTTTTGGTTTCCATGGACTTCCTTGTAATTGTATTGATTTACCTGAAATAAATAACTGGTGAAGTGAGCAGTCGTACCAATTAGGCATGTAATACTAAATTACTTTGATATCAAAGATGGTATTGAATTCCATTTATACAATTTAAATATAGTCAAGGTGGTAAGCTAATTGGACTTTTCATTTATAAATTCAGGCCAACTCAGACAAAGCCAATAGCAGTGGTCGCCAAACTTTATGTACTACTGGGCCAACTATGCACATTGGTGGTAGCATGTGGGCCACAATAATTTCCGCCTATATACAATCGCCACATCAAATTTCAATTTATGACGTACCCTCAATTTCTATTTCTGTGGCAATTACAACTAACAGTAGGTACGTTCGGCAAGTAAACGACATACAACTGACAAGCGCTACTTACTACAAAACAAACGTTGTACAACAGCCATTGTTATGACACACATCCATGCGTAGATAATTAAATAATGAGTAATTTTTGTTTTCACTCATTAAACGAGATGCGGTAGCGGGACACATTCGGCCAGTTTGTCAACCATTTGGTTTCCATATTTATCCTGAGAGAGACGAATACCGATAAGATGACTTAATCACCACAGCCATTCGCCGGGTTTCGTAGTCCATGCCGGGTATGAGAATAGTTGGTCAGTAATTTGTTTGTGACCAGTCAGTGATTACATGAACCACCCTTCGATGGTTAGAAGTCCAGTAATACTCTCGCAGATAAATATGTAAATCCTATCCTACTAAAGATCTTCAAATTAGCTGTTTCCCTGACAGTGCTGACTTGAACTGTAGTAAATGATATGACAGCGACTATTTCTGTTACAAGTAAAAGCCTATATACATATATTTGTTAGCTCATCAGTGTTCGCTTCTAACTTTTTTCATAACTCTTTTCTTTTTTAGTTAGGGCTACGAACTTTGATTCAAGATCATTTCATACATTAGTTTCATTATTTTACCTTTTCCCGCTTCTTTCATTTCATATTTAGTGGTTTTTGCAAGCGGTTTTGCAGCTGGAACAGTTGGAGATGAATCAGGTTTAGAAACATCAGGCTTAATTTCTTTTTCTTGACTAAAACTCTTGTCAGTACTTAGACGAGCCACTGGCTTTGGACGGACAGCTGAAAACAAATCTTTTGCTAGTAAAGACAGCAATACATGAAGTATTATCAGTTTGGTGCACCATGCACCCAAGGAAAATTTGTCTTCATGAAATCGCAATCAACATTTAGAGTTAGAAATCATTTTTGAAACTGAATAAAGCTTAACAGCGACTTTTAATAATCTAAAATTTGTTATCAATTTGGTGGTAAGATAATTTATCGTAAAGTTATACAGAGGTGTCACAAATTCATGACCATGAGATAAAAAAGTTAAGAACCTTGACAATGACAACAGCATGAACATGGACCTAACAGATACAGAAGTTTCTGTGGCAGAGTGGATGTAAACTTCGCCAACTGATATGACAGCCCTAAGACAAAAAAACGAGCATCATCCGTTTTATACATTGGAACACAAGTTATCAGAAACTGAAACTTACTTGCATCCTTCATTGTAAGATTTGACAAATCTGGAGGATTTGTCTTGCTATGTTGTGGAGAAGAAGATGATAAGACTGAAAAATATACAAAGAAGCAAAACTGAGTATGTTGTCATCAGGCAGAAAAACTTAAAAGATGTGGAAATAATAATCATACTCGATCATTACAACTAAAATTGAAGATTGAATGTTAGATAGCGAACAGTGTTTCACTGTTATATTTTTTGTATGGGATTTGAACCAGAGATTTGCAAACTGCGATACTAACACAGTTAAGTCCAACACGTGAACTGTGAGGCAAACCTGCGATACTAACACAGTTAAGTCCAACACTTGAACTGTGAGGCAAACTTGCGATACTAACACAGTCAAGTCCAACACATGAACTGTGGGGCAATCACTTCCTATGCTTAAGATGAATGCGCGTCAGAAAATATTATTTTGGAAAAATTTGAACAAAGAATGACAACAAATAAAATAATCCATTACGAAACAAAAATATGTCTTTCTATTTACGAAAGCAATTATAAATGCACATACCTGGACTCTGTGAATGAAGACCAGATGTGTAATGAGTTGAGGTATTCAGTGTTCCACTCATACCATGTTGTATTGGACTGCTTGTACTAACATAATATGTAGATGCCTGTAATGTTGCACCCCCATTCATAGATCCATGTAGGTTTGGTGATGCTGAAAATAAAGGAGTTGAAGGATGAGAAAGCCGACAAAACTCTCTTCCTGTTACAAGTTCATGTCCAGGTATAGGGAATAGGGATCATTAACAGGTTAACCACAGGATTCAAACCAGCAAAGGATAATCAGAGGTGCGATGGCAAGTGTGTTGTGCCTAACGCTTAGCATGATATGTAAAAACCAGGCCTGACTTGATATAACAAACACTTGCATGAGGGATGACCAAAATATACAATTTGAAGTACATACTAAAATATTATTTTCGAATATTAAATATGTTCTAGATAGAGTCATGTTCAACAAGGTATATACAGAATTTGCTGAGTTAAAAACTGGAAATGAAGGAAAATCAGGTAACACTGATTCGATGGGTTGGGTAGATTTTTTGTAACGCATTACTGTATTAGAATATTTAAAACAATCCGGTGATATATTTTAGCTGAAAATAAGTTCGATCAGCACCAATAAATGATATAATCTGAACTAAAAGCTACAGATCATAACATAATTCAACGCAAAATATGAATAACTTTTCTATATGATATATTAAAACCCTTCTCACTGGCTCTGAAAGAGCAGACTTTGATATGTAAGGCTTTACTTTGTAACTTTGGCTCTGCATTGCCTACCTAATTTTTCACACACAAGGTTAGGTGTTGGGCATGGAATTTGAACCAGAGGGCCGATATTTCATCCGGTGACGTCATCATAGGTATTAATAAACCTAACACTTTAATCACTGGGGCACCACATTGGAAAATGCTGTTGGAAAACTGGACATAGATTGTCCACACAAGATTTCAATAAAATCCCAACTTGCTCGATTTTCATAAAAAGAGCCGATCATGTGAAAAACAAGTCAGACAATTTTAATAGACAGACTCGTTTAAACAAAACAAATAATGAATCAACATAATAAAAAATTTAATGTCTCATCCAAAAATAATCCACTACCTCCAGTATAGGTAAAATTTGAAACACTTGCACTCATCATATTTCTTTCTGAAGCTAATTTTCCACCAGAACTATGTGTTACAGGTTTGTTTGAAAGAGATTGTAAATCTAGAGATTGTGTCACTGATGAATTCTTCACTGCAGTAGAAGGTCGTGGTTCCATACTTGACTTCACTGGTCCCTGAACACTTTTTCTTCCAGATAAAACGACAGAACCCTATCAAATATAACAAACACCTCAAAAACTTGTCTGAAAAATTATGTATAATTGTGAAAATAACTAATGTACCTATCTGTATACAGCCAATGGTAAGTTACCAATTAAAGGAACAAATTTAGATGCCGCTTCATATTTGATGTTCTGTACTCTTTTCAGTAAAAATTAAAAATTTTGGACCTATTTGACATATAAATTTTAGGTAGACCTTTAGTATTAGGTAGACTAGGAATTCTCATTGGAAATTTAAAAAACAACCTTTCATGCACCAGAGCTTTTGTTATCAAAATTTAGTTCGCTTGGAGTTCGGATCTGTAGTCAGAGATTAAATTTTCTACAAATTGTCAGATTTTAGTCAACCATTCGTCGAAAATCGGGGGACGTTTTTCAAATATCTTGGGTTTGGATGGAAATTTTTCCAAACCTCACATCAAAGGTAATAAATAGGTGATTACCGAAGCAGACTTTGGCCTCCTTGGATTCTTCTGTTTGTCCTTTTGTTTATTGTCAAGATAATTATATCTGAATGAATAATATGTAATATGTAGTATAATAAAAACAATTGAATAGCTAGAATTAAAAATTATTCATGAAAATTTCACAATTTTTATGCTTCATATTCTACAAATACAAGCAAATTACATTCAATAAAACAATTGAACTAACCGATGGGTTTATTTGTATCCAGTCAAAACTAGTTTCCTACTTCTCGAATTCAATAAAGTTTAGTTTCATGTTATTCCCATATCATTATCAGAGTATGTAATACAGAACTCACTTATCAAGCAACAAAGTCAGAGAAATATTCACCCCACCCATTGTACAATAAATTGTGTAGATAATGCTGATAAGATAATCTGAGTGAGAGATTATCTTGCAAGTCCTATTTTAGTGTGACATTTTGCATTAATGTAAACGCTAACTTATGAAACCTGTACCTCATTGTGTCAGTTGGATTAGGATCTGACCCTTTCCAAGGTGGTGGTTCCCATTTTGGTGCAGGTATCGGCACAGATTTTGGTGCAAAACTTGCTTTCTTTCTTCTCGATGTGGAAGCAGATGACATATGACTTCTTGCAGTTGAAAGTTGTGTACGATCTGTTCTAGCTGTGTCAGGCTGTTTCAAATCAAATTCATGATGCTTTGGTTCTTCCTAAAAACGATAATAATTCAATGTCAATGTTACTGAACAGCTTACCTTTTATTGGGTGCCACTGACTGAGATGTTTATCATAACTGTTTATGCCTGTAGTTTACTACATACTAAATATATATAGATAACCATGATCCTACTGTACACCCTGTATGATCACTTTGATTTTATTTTCCGAAGATGGATAAAACTATTCATGTTTTAGACAAAATGACTTTTTTTAGTGTTTGAAGAACCTAAGCTGATTTTTTAACAAAATTTATGGACAAAAAAAGTATTTCCAAACAATATCATTTTAAAATCCCTCTTTCACAACTAAATCTACATGTTGACCTTAAATCAGAAAGTCCTTAATATTTTCATTCTCATTAAATAACAACCAAAAATTTTTTTGAAGAAATTAGGTGAAATAAAATCACCCTGACAGAGTCACTAATATGACTAGTTTTAACCTGTAAAATGACTGTAAATTTACAAAAATCAAGTAAAATTGTAACGAAAATTTGAAACACTATGTTGGTATCAGAAGCCATTTTGTATCTTTTGCACGACTATTTGGGTCAGCGACCATTTTGTATTTGCACAACCAGTATTGACTGGTTTTATTCAGAGGGGTGAGTCCACAACATTCAGGAAAAAGGGGGTTCATAGCGCTGAAAATACTGAGATCCACAGGTTTACCCTACATAGAAGAGAGTGTTACCTTTGCTTTAACATAGTGTAGTTGATGTATTGTAGCAATATAATGTCGTTTCCATATAGTTTCTTCATATTGTGATGGTTGATGCGTAGGATACCAACCAAATCTTAAACATTTAGGTCTCCATACACAATCTAGCTCTGTGAGATATTTCCAATACCAGGACACCTGTATGGAAGTCTTATTTCACATTCAAATACGAAATACAATTTTTGCTGATAGTTTGTGCTAGATAAAGCAAAAATATTCTTGTTTCCAAGCTATTACAGACAAACTAATTCTGACTGCATTTTAATAAATATTTCTAGAAAAATCTGAATCAAAAACAATCTGAATATTGTTTTTTCTGTGAACGTCCCTTTTTGAATTGTTATGTTTTTGTTGTGAAATATATCTACTTCAAATTTTTAAATTCAAAAGCTGAATTCTGGAATACATTAAATCTTTTATAAAATCATCCCCAGTTACTGTAAATATGTGTTATGTTAATAGTACTACTACTACTCAAAATATTGATAAATATTGTACCTGAGAACATCGACAAAGACTCCTCGGATCAAGAAAAGAAAATACATAAAGCGATAAAACTCTAGGTAGCCTTTTTGTAAAATCAAATTTTTCCTCAGGAAATTTTTGCCTCAGTTCATCTGTAAAATAAGTATTCAAAATTGAAAATATTGTAAGAATCCCATATCACAATACCGATTTCAATGCGCTTGTTAGAAACATTGTATTATGGAATATATTATTGATAAACCAGTTGGGTGTAAGTGATTCTATTATATATATACCAATATTCTGTTTTTGTTTTCACTATAGCGACGGTTTTTGGCTTTTTGCTTTCTTCAGTTATCATGCTATGTATGAGAAACACACTCCCAACACACCCCTTTCCTTTCACCACCAGGATAAGCCATAAAATTATGTGCAAGAGGATTGCAAGAATCCTCACTGTTTTAGGGCGGTTCACGACTTCACGTAACTGCTGGTTGGTTACGACTTCTTCCATCATCAAGTCTATATACCTAAAATGAATAACACGTGGAATACTTCCACACATGGCATGGGCTGGGTACCGAGCGATTGACCGTGGTTCCTTACATGGTTAAATCATCGTATCTTCCTTTCTCCGAGACAAACATGACAATTTTATCGTATCAAAATTCGGGTACCAAAATATTTTAATTTTTCCAACTTACTATGAACAGCAAGCAGATGCTTCTCAGATAAACTTTTAAAAATATCATCTATTACAATTCTACGTTGTTTTTCATTCCATTTTTCAAACTGTAAAAATAAAAGATCAGAGATAGATTAGAATCAGATATACTTAAAACATGAGAAATAAGACACATATCTAATTGCTTTTGAATTTAAAACTAACCCATTTTTGAATTATAGTTCTTCTTTCTTCAAAAACCTAAAAATATAAATTAGAAATTAAATTAATCCATCTCTTAAAGAATGGTAGAAATTGTTTTTCTTAACAACATCTATAATGTAGGAATTACATATCTACCCTATTCTCGTCCGGTTACCATTCCATGTCGGGTATGGGATTAGTTAGTTATTTGTTTTCAAAAGCATGGACTTGATGGTGGAGAAAGCCGTAACTGACCAGCATTATTCAACAATTGCACTACCAAAATCTGACATTTATGTTAAAACCCTGTCCATGTTTTCCCAATCCCCATGTTTTTTTCGACTAACAATAAAACACATAGTTTGGAGATAATAAAATTAAATAAATAATAATATCAAATAATAATTAATGGAATAACTATTCCCTTATTAATCATTCCCTCATGAATTCAGAAGTTCCCAACTTTTTTAAACTCATTATGCTTTACTTTCCGTAATACAAAGCAACATGCGTTGACAAGAAAATCTTATTTTATTAACATCAACCCAGGCATATTATGCACATTTAAATAATCAATGTGTTATGTGACCTCATAGATATATATTTCCTTTTTTAAGAGAGTTTGCTCAAAGCAAGGTCAAGCCACGAGGGCCATGTTTAGGGGGTCGGCTTATATTGAGTATATACGGTAGTCGGTAATTGATCTTTGGTGAATCTCGCAACGTGAGTTTGGGAGCCACTGTATTAATTAAGCTGAAGAGTAATTAATTGCTCCATTTGACAGTCTCCATCCTGAATGATATTATACCTGAGAATTTGCTCCAGTATTTGTCATAGGTGTCCATGTACTTTTTGCAATATTAGTGGTCTGCTGTTTATTTTTAGTAGGAGGTGCAAACGCCATGATTATACTAAACAGTTCAGTATACTTAAAATAACAAAACTATTAAATACAAAATACAAATATCATGAGCAAAAAATGCTTATTACACACAAAGTTGAATAATTGCAAAATATACATATATGCTAATTACTTAAGAAAAAAGCATTGAATCAGTTGGACAGAGAATAAAACAACTGAAGGCAGTGTAAAATTGATTGGTTAATTAAATAAAGAAATTCTAAGGAAATAAGAGGCATTAATTACTCTGACCATGAGGTGGCATAAGACGGATATTAATATGCAAATACACATGGATTTATAGATAAAATGAATGGGAAAATATTGTGTGTTATATCTTTGAGAGAATAAAAGTGGCAATATCATCTTCTTTCAGATAATGTAATCAGTTACCTAATTCAAGCAAATTGGGATCAGTATTAGCCTGAAATATGCCAATGCATTTCTAACTTGGGATGTAAAAATGAGTGATATCTTAGACACATTTCCTGGATGGTTGATAAAATTTGGGATCAGTAAACAGGCATATTACAATCCCATTCATAGCTACGTGAGAGAACTTTCATATAAACATTGTCTAGTGTGAGCATGATGGCCTGGTTGTTAAGGAATTAGATTTAGATTGCAGGCTGCAGACTCATGGTTCAAGCCTCATGCCCACAACTTCACTGATAAATTGGGTAGATAATGCCGAAGAGAAAAGATTCCAGTCGCAACTCACTTCCACCCTTTACCCAGCAGTGTCTACTTGTCCACTGCCTTATTTGGAGCATAAGCCGTAGAAATATATCGGTGCTCCTGAAGTATGCGCACCAGGATGTGGCATAACCTGAACCCTAACCTGGTACACAACCAGAGTTCAGGCTGTGCGCCATTTTGGTGCGCATACTCCAGGAGGTCCAATATATAATATGAAAAACGTAGATTATTTAGGAAAGTTAGGGCTGATAAGAAGGGTCCTCAGTCCATTTGAAATTACCATGATATCAGATAACCTTAGTCAAGTGGAACCCCTGCCTCATTCTGAGAACTCAATCAAAGAAGTGATACTAGCATTTTAGAATGAAAATATTATTTGTTCAATACCACCGTATTGTATTGCAAAAGAAATAAACATTTATTGAATTAAATAAATTGATGACGAAAAAAGGACCAATTATAAACAATCTTGCAAAAAAACATACCGTATACATTGCAAAAACAAAGCTTAGTAGCTATCATAAATGTTCTTATGATATAATTGGCAAACAAATGCACATTCATTACATACAAAAGACACTACAATGTAAAGAATGACTGTTTAATGAAAGAAGAAAAATAAAGAAACTAACAATAATAATAGGTATGAAGGAGAAAACATTTCATTTTGAGATTGAAAAATTTCATTCGAAGAAAAAAATAACACAGAAGTTGAATAAAACAACGGGAAGTACAAAATGATGAGCACAAAAAAATGGCTCAAATCTCAACACCAACATATTAAACGCATTAAAAATATAGCAATATATAAATTGGCAATTGGCATGTTGTTTAGATATATTTCGAATATTAAAAAGGTCCATAGAAACAGAAATGTATAGGCTATTCATATATGTGTGTATTGAGATTTTAATTCTATTGAATTTAATATTTAGATATCCTTTCATATTGCTATATTTCTGGTCTGACTGAGCGATAACTCTGGACAGTTTGATGAATATGATAATTCACTTCAAATACAGATATTACAGAAAAACAAACTCCAATTCATATTGAAGTTCATATTTAATGAACAATTTCAAGAAACCTTTTAATTGAAATTACATTCTCATTCGAGGTGATCTAGAACTTCTTGATTTAGACAATTTCACATTATTAGTTCTTTCTTTTATACCATTTATTTTAGCAGATTTCTCTTTATAAACAGCTTCATTTGCATTATATGGTGCAATTTTATTGGCACAGGGTACTGATAACCTATTTTCTTTATCATTAACCGTCATGCAAGGCTTAGATTTATCCATACTTCGCTTTTTGGGTAACAATTTAGTGATTTTGCTTTTAGAACTAGAGGTTGCTGGCAAATTTTCTGCAGATTTTGATTCAGCAAGACGATTAGCTGTAATTCTTTTCCTTGTTTTTGTATCTGTTCTCATCAAATACGCTGATGATAACGTCGGTGGAGTGTCTGTCTCAAGATCGGACTCTTCTGAAGATTCAATTTCATCTTCTTCTGTAGACATCACTAAATCAAAATAGTCCAATTTTTCAGATTCTGGAGTTGAATCTATATGATCTTCTTTTAATTTTACTTCTGAGGAAATAGTTACAGAATGACTGCAACATGGAGTGTTGATACATTCCGGTGAATCATATTCACAAGTAATTTGCATATAAGAAATAAGTTGTTCGTGTGTGACGAGTTGCGTTCTTTTGATTGAGCCATACCGACATTGACTATATCGTTCTTCTACTGCGTCAAGTTTTCTGTTTCTAAAATCAGTCGGTGGTTCTTTATCCAAACATTTCTCATAAATTTCAATTGTGGTTGGAAATAATTCTCCTAAAGTATATCCAGATAGTTTTAATAGTTTTGAAGGCCATGGATTGCTGGGGTTTGCAGTAAAATTTGCAAGAAATACTGCAGCAACAGCAGAAATTCCAGGAGGGAGACTCACAATGTCAACATGAAGTAAACTAGCATCTGCAATGAATCTTGCAATATCCTGACTTTTTCTGTCAAGAGTATTTGAATTTAAGAATATTGATAGATAATCATACATTGTCATTTCTTTAATATTTCCATTTAACGTTGCAACAACGTCTTCAATCATTTGCACGAGCTCGTTATATTTATACGTTGAATCAGTCAGCCAAACTGCTTCTCGAATTGTCAAGACATCTCTTTCCATGTATCTGGTACAGATTACCATGCAAGCTATTCCTAAAAGTTGAAGACGTGATCTTGATACTTGTCGTAATAACAAATATCTATCAACGCATCTGACAGTTGTATGTAACATTTCACTGCCAAAATCTTTCATTGTTGCTACTTCAATTAACCAGTCAACAAGGATGTATCTCATACTACCGGTTACATTTTCTTGATACTTTGGTATCTGATTAATTTGCTTTAATGAAGATTTTTGAATTATATTTTTTGTGTAATCTAGTGCAACCTCCATTGGCAATCCCCCATAATTTCCCATTGCATATAATCGACATAACTGCATTTGTGCAGGCTTATGTCCAGCAGCGGCAATTTTCCTTAATTTTCGAATCAATGATAATCGAAGTCCAGGACTTCTTGATGAAACGAAGCTTTCTATGGAAGAAAAACCTTCAATATCTTCAAGTTCCATGCACCATAATTCATGCATTGCATTAGGAAGACCGACATCGGCTGCACGTTGAAACCATTGTTTTGCAGATTGACGCTTCTCTAAATCATCTTCAAATAACTGCAATACTTTCCCAATGCAATATAACAAATTAGGATGATTATTACCATCATCAACTGCTTTTGATAATTGTTTGAAAACAAAAGCTTTTCGACAAACAGAAGCAGCAGACCACGGTGGACGAATGAAGACCCAAGTTATTGGCAATTTGAGTCGGCTATTTTGCTCCATTTCACAAAAATATTTAGCTGCTATTAAACTGTTTTGTTGACGAACACGGGCGGAATCAACCAATCCATCAAAATATAAATGTGCAAATCCGAGTTTAATACTGGCTTCAAGGTTACCTTTTGATGCAAGCCAAGCGAGTGCTTTGCTATTTTCAGCATTCAAAAAAATATCCGGTAATGTGATATTTTGTAGAAGACCAGGTGCTTCATTTTTGATGAGATTTTCAAAATACTTTGAAACTTTCAGCAGCTGAATAAGCTCCTTATAAGGAAGCTTTTGTAGAATCATAACTTGAACATCTTTCGGTAAATCCATTATTCCATTTCTATTCTTTTGATGATCAAGTTTGCAGGTAAATTCCATGTCTAAGTGCCTTTTTTCAACTCCAGAACTTGGTCCCCTTAGCTTGGTAGATGAATATTTTCTTGGTAACAATTAGACACTGACTAACCTATCACAGAATTTGACTAAAACCCTAATACCTAGCGCCTACAACAGCATAACCGACAGATGGCGAAAGATTGTGAATGACGACGCTCATAAAGCGAACTGTAAACAAAAGAAAACGTTCAAAAGCTAGCTAATCAATGATGCATGACGACAAGCAATTAATTTATTTCTAGCGGTTGAATTCTTCGTCGGCTTCTTTATCAAGTCGATAGCCCTCCGGCATTGGTCAGTTTCTAAAAATCTTTCAAGTATTTTTGATCTAACCGACCTTTCTATGAAACGGGAGTTACCGACATTATCTCAACATTCTCATAAACTTGTTGATAATAAATGAAGCACAACCGGTGTTAGCAAATGTTGTGCTTCATTTATTATCAACATGAGTTTACCTGGTGGCAATCATGCACTATTCTCATAAACTTGTTCGGAACAAAGTGCCTGGATTTTTGAGAACGCGTTCATTTAAAAACACTGGCGATTATCAGTCGCGTGGGTGCTAACAAATTGTCTGATTTGGGAACTTCGAAGGTGCACGACACGCGAAGGTAATGTGCGAACTCGGAACTTGCGGTGCAAAACAAAAGAACTTCACAGGGTTGTAAAACAGTTTGATAGCTGTCGCCCAGTGTGATATGTCGCGAATACCGATTCCAGCTGATATTTGTCTGAGCATGCGATCATCCATACGGTTCAATATTTTATGATGGAGATTAAGAACGACGATGTATTGTTATGAATACAATTCGCTTGGCTATACTTTATGAAATACAATCACCTTATCTATACTATAACTCAATAAAAGCAGTGCAATTGACCTTCATTCAGCGCGTGTCAAACACCTACTAGCAGTTTTCACGCAGTAGCCTACCAAAATTTTCCGCTAGTCAAGGGTCAATATAATGTAGCTAGTTTGAAAATCAATCAAAAAAGCCAAATATTGGGGATAAATTTGTTGAATTTTGAAAATGCTTCACAATTACCTTGATGAGAAGTTTCCAACAGCGATGAACTTGTGATAATATTAAGCAATAACCTTCCAAATATCGGGGTAACAATTATAACGCGTGCGTGTAATTGAGAACTAATCAATAAATTAGCACAACAGGTTGAAAAAAATAATCGCGCGACATATGCGTGAAAATTATCACATGCACCATATGTCTCACTGTCGTGATATCTGGTAATACTCTCTGAACTTTTCCCCGTCTAAATACAACCGAAAATAGTGCAAATAAAGACCGTATGTTGCAATAAATTTGTACCTCTTTATATTGGAGAAATTCCAACCAACGCTTTTATTTGAAAAAAAAATTTTCCAATGGTATTACCGAATTATATGTATATTTTTCAAATATTTTCTCATATTTAGTCTTCATATTTGTCTCCCCAAAAAGTTTTAAACCCAGATATAAATATATCTAAATAGCGGTATTTGAATAATAATATCAACAAATGGTGTTTTTTTAGGCTTATAATATTGCTTATAATATTGCTTTTTAAAAAATAAACACCGACACAAATATATTTCTGTGACGTTTCTTCAGACCGATGTCAGACTTCTTGACACATACATATTTCAGCTGTAAATATATTTGCATCAGTGTGCTGCAAGTCTGACCTAGAATAGTTATCTTCATTCTTGATATAGCATCCTTGCATTATATGCATAAGGATCCAGTGACGCAAAGGCATTGAATGAGTTGTCGGTCCCACGGAATACCAATTGATAGCAAAAGTTAACAGGTATGCTGAAAAATTAGTCCAAAAATGAGCGAAAAATATCCTTTATCGAGCCAACACAGTTCGGATTCAAGCTAATGGCTGACGCCAATTCAGGCAGTCACAACACCATTAAAGATATGAGTGATCAAAAATACATTGACATATTTTTTGCTGAAAATATCAAGCATCATCGGGTTCCTTTCTTTTTCTATGTCGTTTATGTCCATGGTGGCGATGCGATTTACCTGTAAAAATAATTCGAAGTATTTTTAAATTCAACACGATTCTATTTATTCTGCCTAACATAGCAAAACTCCGTATGACTATAACTAATAATAGCTCACAGCGTTTATTTATTTCAACCAAAGAGTAAAGACCTGATGTAGGCGCTCATGTTGTCTTATGCGCTCATTAGTATAGTGTATAATACGTAACTCGTTATATATGAATGTGTTTGCTGGATAGTGGAATGAGGTTCATTTCATTTCTTTGACCCCAAAACTACTAAGTCCACGTGATCTCTTCGTGGTATTTCAAATCAAATCGGTGCGCTCTCTTGGCCACGGCCAACGATGTATCTTATAGTTTAATGCTACCGTATCTTATTTGTGAACCAATCGTTCATATACGTCGGACCTACGCATCAATTCTATGGTTTTCCTGTCGGTGAAATAAACGGAATATTTCAATCCGAATAAGAATCTGAGCAATCATTTGCTTTATTGCATTGGTCGGCGAAGTTTTTAAGCGCGGCCCAAATAGTGAAATGAAAATCGTTTCAAGGCCCAACAACCACCTCGTTCGTGACAGCCTTGTTAGCCTCGGTCAAGATTTCGTTGGAAATTTCAAATTCCACCACGTAATAAACTTGTTAAGGAAAATTTAATTAGTAATTAAAACTAGTGCGAACGTACCGGCACAAATATTGAATAACCGAACGTAGCGGTACACGCCGCTAGCTTGCGCAATTTTGATAACGCATTAAAACTACCGGAGACCCAAGAAAGAACAAAGCAAAATAGTTACAATGTCGGTACTATAGTTGAAATGAACATAATTTATAATCGTTTGATATATGAACAAAAACGATTTTTCAATAAATATATACGGTATGTATGCAATGTTGGATTTATGGAAATTTTTCGTGTATCATTGCCCATAATCAAAATTTACTGAAGGCTCACTAGAAAATGCTCGGCGGCCCACAGTTTGACGAGCACTGTTCAATTGGTATCAGTTTGTATTTTAATAAAATTAAGCGAACATTTCTTTCAATTTTTTACGACGGTTATCAACGCATTTCAAACAAGGCCCTATGAGGCAGCTACTAATATCTAACAATATTCTACAATTATTTAGAAGCATCGAGACGTTTCCGGTTCGGCATTGTCTACCCAACTTATTTAACACTAACCATGTGATTCATCTTTCTCTTTCTTATCTTCAGATTGTTCTTTATTTCTTTCCTGCTCTTTATCTTTATGTTTCTTTTTCTTTGGTTTCCTACTGGTATCATCGTTTTCTTGCGTTTCTTTGTCTTCATCTTCTTTTTCCTCTTCGCCTTCCTCTTTTTCCTCCTCCTCTTCTTCATCTTTTTTGCCATCTTCCTTAGACTTCTTTGATTTTGCAACATAAAACCCTGAGGCTCCGACCACAACAAAAAACAGAAAACCGAGAATTCCAGCTATCACGTTACCAGCACTGCTACATCCAGAACTCGGACCTTGGGAAAATTACAAATTTTTGCACTTATGTAACGATATCTATTCCATAAAATCATTTACTATTTATATTTAAAATGACTAATTCTGAACCTGCACAACTCACCAGTGACAGTTATATCTGGCGAACTTCCGGGATTTTCTTCTGCCTCTATCAGTAACGAACTCGACATTTCACACGATGCACTTCGACTTAGAACCTGGACAATGCTGGACGAACCCACACTCGCGATAGCATCTATAAAACTAAAGGAAAGGATTGTCTCAAAATGTCGTGTCCCACAGTTTCCGCAATTGTCACACATGTCACGCACTTGGCCCAATTGTATGAATCTCGATTCACATGAGTAATCTAACCTTGTACCAAGGTATTCTATCTATCTTAACCGGGAACATATGAAAATTTTTGGGGCTCCCGAAGTATGCGAACCAAGATGGCGGACATCGGAATGTAATATGTGTACTAGGTTAGGGTTAGGCCATAATTTTAGGTATAAATACTACGGGAGGCTCTTGGCTAGTCTTCGAACTGATAATAGGACTAAAATAAGGAAAATTGGAAAAAAATTATCGCCTAACCCTAACCTGTTACCCATGTTACGTTCCGATGTCCGCCATCTTGGTTCGCATACTTCGGGAGCACCAAATTTTTCATATACATACTTTACCCATTCTCCCCACAATATATAGACTATCTATCTTAAGTCAGAACAGTGAAACAAATACAGCAACATGTGCGAAAAAGGGACAAGTGAGTCACGACACCGCTAAAAGAAATAAAAGATTCCAGAGCATTTGTGAAACGAAATCAAAATTCAATCAAAGTATGTTTGGGAGGTTTGTTTGGGAGGTCTATCAAATGATTTGGGCAGTTTCGATTAAAAAGGCAATCCGATAAACAAAGTATTCGCATAAAACTATTACACAAAGGTAGCATCTGAAGATTCCCTTACTCAACATGCGCAGCAGCTTCAGTGATATGGCAAAGTTCATAAAAATGTCCCCCAACACGATAACTGCTACAACTAAGCATTAACCAATTTGAAATATATGTACACTTACATACCCCATTGGCTTATCTTTAGAAGTAGGCGTCGAAGTAACAACAAAGAAACTAAAAAAAAAGAAACAATCTACTACAACTAAAAAAAAAAAAGAAACAATCTACTACAAAGGTATCTTGACTTTCTCGCTAGAAAAACTTGAATGGCACACTAACTATACGAATACAAGGTGGCGACATACAAACGGAGTTATTGCAATAAAAACTTGATATATGCATGCTGATTGCTGACTCTTGCTAATATTCGGTTGCATTTGTTGATTAGAAACAAGGAATTGAACCAGCACTACGTCAAGTATCGTTCTCATTTTGCCAAAATGTGACAATGTTGCGTCTTAGCACCACTCAAGGAGTGAGTAGGCGCTATGACTTAAAAATGATATTTTTAAATAACATATATCGATATTGAACTCTTGACCTAGCATAAAATTAGGAGTCCTATGGGACCTATGATATATCGTACAAAAATCGTCAAAAGCTAAATACCTGTACGACCATTCCGATTTTAATTCATAGTTTTGGCCTTTAATTGGGTTTCCCGCTCCCACGCTACACGTAGTCGTTTCGCCCATTCCAAGTGCGATTTCAACAAAATCTCTGGTTATTTTAGACCTGCAATCAAATATTACTTATTTTGCTTGAAATAAACTAAAAGCAACTTTTCACACGATATTCAGGTAACCATTGCATAAGGTCCAAACAATTCCCTTTTTCATTTAATACGAACATGCTTTACAGAAGCTAGAAGGAAAAAGTGGGATATTCGGTTCGGTACACACACAGTTCATCGCAGCTTTGGTCCTTTCATATTCAGGAGAACACTTATTCTTATGCTGCCGCGATGGACTCCGTTCTAACATATAGGCACCGTCGTGATTCTAGGTGTAACTTATCAAATTTAACCATACTAAATTATAATCATATACATGGTATCCCAAAATAAATGAAACCCATTAATACCGATTACCAATTTTGTGGGAATCATTATTTTGGGACACCCTATAATATATGAATCAACGTGCTTAATCTGAGCACAGAAGAATCGTAAAGTAAAGTTATGTTAATGGTGATTTTATACTTACCGGTAGTTAACAGGTAATGAAACGTAAAAACGTATTTTCTGTTATAAAATTTTGAATTTTGTTTATTATTCTTATGTCTCAGATCGGAGCCGCGCATAGGACCCGTTGATAAACCGAGTTTGACTCTCATTTCTCTATTTATAATTGCACATTCACGAGGCACACCGCGACACAGTAGTCTACGATGTTTATCTATATTCTATACCTATCTAATGCTGATGCGATGTACGGTGTTTTCGTTCCTGGTGGATTCCCACTTGCAGCTTTTAAATCTTCTATTTTGTAATCGTTGCTATATCCAGAAGACTCCATTCGAGCGTTTGCGGGCATCGGTTGTATTAGAAGAAAAATACAACTAGGAAGAAAAAAGAGGTTTTCCATAGCATTGAAAACAATTTGTGCACAAAAGCTATTTTACGAGTACAGGGCAGTGTTGTTGTCGCATAGATAGAATCGTGACTATCTCCCAGCCTACACGCGATTCGTGTTACTCATGCAGGTAAGTCGAGGTATAAGAAAAATGTAAGCGACTAACAATCATTATATGGAATACATATAGGTCTAATTACCTTCCCACTGGACTATTATCATCAGGAAATCCAATTTGAACCTTTAGACCGTTTGCTACAAATACTATAGATGGATTTGGAATTTTCGGAACGAAGAATTTTGTTGTCACTGTACAAAATAAATATTATCTTATGTTAGTATGGAATGCATGGTGGCTCATCATGGAAAATAAAATTAAAGATGAATATTTATAAAAATGAATTACATATATCTACATATATATATAATATACATATTTCTAACATGCGCGGTATAGTTATTGTTTGTTGAAGATATATTTAGCACTACCAATATGTGTCCATAATTTCCCTTTACAATTTCAATTTTGTTATGGAGTCAGTTTTCAATATATCTCTACCAGGTTCGTTGTTTTTGATCAGCGATGGTTTAAGTATTTTTACCCCATTTAATACATCTGTGAGGGCCAAAACAATATACGGTATCGATAAATCCCCTTTCAAATTTTAAATTTTTTCAAGACTTCACGGATACCCGAATTCCATCATCAGAATTGTATCGAGCTATAGCAGAAAGTATTTACAATTTTATTTTGTACGTGATCAAAAAGTGATTTAATAGTGCTGCACACTAACACAAATATATTCGGGTCGGATGATACGTTATAGAAACATGTTTGTCTTAGTGTGAAGCAAGACTCTTGAAATATTTAGAATAGTTATCTTCACTTTCGCTGCAGCATCCTCGTGGTATATGCATAAGAGTCCACCGACGCAAAAGCACATAGCAAGGATAAGTATTGGGTCTTTCAGAAGTATAATAGATGATGAAAAAGTTATTTAAAGAATAATTTGTAGCACGAACGTTTCGTGTTTCCTGAGCATTTTCCTTCAATCTGTATTTTGTCGCCAAATCCTCCGCATGTTTCTAGTTGACCCCACACGACATATTCACGATTAGCTTCTGGTTTAAACAAATGTTCAAGTTGTCCTTCAACTCTCACTATCTCACGTTTGTTCAAAGCATCTTCGCTTACATCGCGAAGATGTGCTGGACTTGATGCTAACGTTAGCTAAAAGTGTATAAATAAAAATAAATTTGATGCATTCGTAAATTGCATGTACGTTCAGTAGATAAAATGTATATCAAATCTTCATCTGCTGAACCGACAAACTTTAAAAAGCATTAAAGATCACAAAAATGAGGTTTATTTAAAAGCACCATTTTGTTTTTTCGTGCAAGTGCGCGGTGAATTCTTTCCCTGATCATTTGGCGCCGCACAAACCAAACAGTTTGGGAACCGCTGTACTAAGCAATAAACTACTAAGCGGATTCAGTTGAGGGCCCACGAGTGCGTCTTCAGTGTGATATGCTCATGCCTCCAGTGAGCCTGTAAGACCGATAATCACTGGAATAATGTTACATTACTATCATGTTTATTTCGCGATTTTGCCGTAGCACATACTTTGGTACTGATCACATCTTCCTTTGCTATTCCTTCTGGAACTTCCCACTTCAAATGGCAAATGCCTATCTGTTTTATATGCGGATTAAGTAACGGAGGAGCATTCCCACCGAACTTTTTCTCTGTTTTGTGAACAGCTCTCATCATTCCACAACAACATTCATCAATACATACACTGACCTAGAAATGGCAATAATACAATACAAATGACGTATATATATATATATATATATATATTATTGTACCAGGACCATGGAGTCAATAATATTTATACCCAACTTCAACTCCGACTCTGATTTTTTAAATATTATACAATCGGCTCCGACTCCGTTTCAAGAATAATTTGACTCCGCGTGTCGGTCGTAAAATATTTCAACTTGACGAAAATAAAATTTTGGTAACAAAAACATTGACGCATGTAAGCCTTCTTATAGTGTTGATAACGTAGTTATTAGTAAATCTTTAGTAAAATTTAAATTTTAATAACATCATTGAAAATATGGAAATGCTTGTGACTCGGGATTTTGAAAGTTCGACTCCAGTATAAATATACTGTAAATCAAATACCACTTTGAAAAGTTACAATTTTGTGGAAACTTCCTATCCTTTTTCTCAACTCTCCAAAAATGCTTTTCTGAAAATCCCTGTTTGACAGTAAAGCAAAAAAAATTAAATGTACAGGTGTCTTTTCATTCTCATAGCTAAAGAAAAATATGATAATATAAATGAATGAAACCTTCGTGCCAGACTTTTTTTTAAAATTTGATTTTTGACGTTTTTACTATGCTCACCACTATATTATAGATATTTCCTCTTTTAACCTCACTTATCGAAGTTGTTCTCGTACCTTTCTCCATAACTCTCTCATCTCGTATTATAGGATTGTGAGTATTTTCTTCCGGTTCTACCGTTATTCTAATACACATTGAAAAAGAAGAAAATTATCCCGAAGTGGCGCTATGGCGATTCAAGTAAATGGTATGAAGAGTCTTGTATGTTTTCATTGGAGTCGGACTTTTAAACAGCCCGCAGTCGGAAATTTTGAATTCCACGGAGTCGAGTGCCGTACTTCTTACTTTCAATGATGTTAATAAAGCCAAAATTTGCTTCAGAGGTCAAAGTTTACTAAGATTTATACACAGTCTAATATAGAAGGTTTACATACGCCAATGTTTTGTGTTATGAAAATTCAATTTTCTTTGAGTTAGGAGCTGTAGTTGGAGTCGAAATTTTTACGATCCGGAGTCGCGAGTCGATTGTAAACTTCTTGTTAACCGTAGCCGGGGTCGATTGCAAATTTGACTACGAAGCTCTGCACAATTCCAGTTGTACAAATGTAAGGCATGAAAATTTTACTTAAAGTTGTAATATAGTACCCAATGAAATAAACAAATATCATAGATATCAGTTAAAATAGGTTAGAGTCCACTAAAAGCTCGGAATTGTTTGAAATCGCACAACATTCATTCCACTCAACGTCGTCGGTGGTTCTATTTTACCGGACGATTAATACGTGTAAAACTATTGCGCACATTTCCATTCGGCTAGTTCAGTGGTTCTCAACATTTTGCGTTAAATTCCTTCATTAGCCTATTTTGGAAGGCCTTAATCCTCCCTCAGTATTTATAAGTACCTTATCCATTAAATCTTCAATGGATCCTTAGCTAGTGTTATGCGCAAGTCGCACGTTTTTGTTCAGTTTAAGTAGTTCAAAATGTGTGCAGAAATAAGTATTATAGTAATACTAAGAACTAAAGAATAGCAGTAATACTGAAGCAATCGAAAATCTTTCCCAAGAACGCCAAAATTTCTCCCTGGGGAGAGTTTCTTCCTCTTTTTGAAAACGTGGGGTTAGGTAATAAGATAATGATGATCTATCGCGAGAGGAAAGTCGATAAGACTATATTCGTATGAATAAACTTGTCCTCTGGTATATTCCTGCCTAAAGCCTTGTTCTGAAAGGTGGTATGATAGAAATGTGGGTATTGAGACCTCAACATACCTGTATTTTAAATCTAACGATTCATCATCTGGCTTCCATCGTATGTTTAATACATTTGAACATTCTTGTTCTTCAACAAATTCAATAGTCGGTGGTGAAATCTCTAAAAGTGAAGTCTGAAACTTTATACTTTTTACCTATAGAACTGGAGTTACCGCAATAATTTGGTCAACACATTTTTACAAAGCCGTACTTCTGTAGCAAGCAGCATAAACCATGTTATCTTCTAAGTCACAGTCAACATCATATACCGCCATGTTGACTGATTCCGCCATGTTGATTGATTCGTGCTTTAGACACAAACAATTCTGTTCTTTGCTTCCGTTTGGTTCACCATCTTTCCTGAAATATCAAAAATTCCATTGATACAAATTCTGCGACATCCAGTGCGATGAACATGACATTTAGATCGAGGAACATATGATGTTAAGTTTCCATTTGATTCAAGACTGTTGCTGCGTAATAAAACAAATGTATTTCTGAAACGATTCGACTGACCGAGGGTAGACTTCTGCAGACAAGCATATTTCAATTCTGACAAGAAAAACGATAGCAGGCGCCTAAATAATGGTCATCAGTTGTTGAGTTTGCGGGGTGTCCACAATTTTATTTCCGTGTATTAAAAACAAACTTGATATTTGGAACCATAATTTATGTGCATGTTTTCACTTTTTTTTATCAGTTAAAAATTTATATGCTCGTCTGAAGAAGTCAGGCCACGCACAAACGAAAGATTGCAGAAATACACTTGTGCTAGTGTGCAGCAAAAATCTTGAATTTAATATAATAGTCCTCTTTAGTTGGTTTCGCTTAACCCCAACTAATAAGTTAAGGTTTAACATACGGAATAAATTAGCAATAAAGTAAAAGTGCCACTGAGATTTGTCTCATTGATCTAGCAGATTTTATCCGATTAACTTTTCGTTCTCACCATCTGTAATACTCCGGTACCGGCACTTTTTCGGGAGTGTACCAATCTCCTTCATTCTCATCGTCCTTATATGCCAACCAGTATCCAACTTCCGTGTATTTAGTTTTTCTTTTAAATCAATAGAAGAAACACGTATTCATAATTTATATAGAAGCTATCCGCTGCGTGATGTGAGAGTGTTTGAGAATCAAGGAGAGTATTTCTCAGCTTTTATTGGAATAGGGTGTGAAAACTGCACTATCTGTTTCGAATCCTAACATATTGTTACAGACGTCAATGATAAATTAAGCAACGAAACATCGTTAAAAATACGCATGAATGAAATATTGAAACGAAGCAAGTTCATTTTCTATAAAAATGGTTCTCGATATTAGCAATTAACATTGAGTCACGGTTTTACATCAGGTAGGTATTCTTAAATGAGATTAAATTTCAGACTTGCGGAAATATACAATGGATTCCATTGCACATAAAGTTTAGAAACCCCTGATACATAATAAGTTGTAAACTGTCATTGTCTGTCATAATCTATGGATGGTGTATTTAATATTCTTGTTTCCATACGGGAACGATATTGTTGTTAGATAGATAAACTCTTATGTAATTATGCGTAAAAGGACATGAAATAGGTACTGCTCAATAAAATGTTTAGAATTGCGGTCACGTGACAAAATATCTTTCACTGCCTGCGAGTTAGTGGGATTTGAATTTATATAATGTGATATTAAAAATAGCCGTGTCCACTCGTTAATTACTGAAACGCAGGAATGATTTTAACACCAGTTCACTAACTTTTTCAAGTAATTTTTAAACGCGTTAAATGTTTCCAATGTAGGTGTATGTAACTGCACCAATCCTTCTCCTTGCTCACGACAAAATTCGTGAATTTCGGTTCCCTCATTTTTCAATCTACGATGGTGATAAAATCGCATTTCCGCAGATTCAAGGAGTATAGATTCAAATGGAAGACCTGAATATAATAGATAGCAATTTGAGTGGAAAAACATCAAAAGAAACCTTTGTAATTGAAATAATTTTTTGTAGTGATAGCTCCAATGGGATTTTCCGAAAAGTCAGCAATATAATTGGTTTGACATTTGAGCTTTTCAAGCAAGAACAAACTTTTACAAACAAACACCAATAACGTTTAGTCTATAGTTTATACATCTTTAATTTTTTCAACTTTTTCCAAGATAGACATAATTTTATAGTGCTCTCACCAAAATAGTTTTACTCTTTATGTGTAAACAAACAAAAAAGTCTAACCTTGTTGGGCGAGGATGTATGCCATATTTCTGTACCATATAAAGAAGATGATTGCATAGTCTCGTAAATTCATTTTTTAATTTATAAATACGCTAGTTTTATATAAGGAGTGACAGAGAAATGTAGGCGTGCAAGGTGAGAAATAAAAAATGAAATCAGTGCCTAATAACTGAGTAATTGTCACTTTATGGTATTTCATTTGTCTTACCACAGCCTCTCACCAGTTTAATCGCTAGGAGAACTTTTATACTTTCTCGGAGTTTATTACGGAGTAGTCGCTATCGTATTTAGGTTGCTACACGTGCTACAAACGTATAACGTTACTGGTAAATGCATTCCAAAAATTTGTGTATCTTCGGAAAATTCCCCACGTTTTACAGGTCTTGGGTAAACTAATTCGGTACTAGCCTGTTACGACTTACGAATTCCCAGAGAGACCCAACAAAGAATCAGAATTATTCCATACCCAACTAAAGGTAACATTACCAAGTTGTGTTCAATATTATAGTGTGTTCCAAATTAGAATTTCTAATAGAAAGGCATATCTTTTCATACAGGGCGAAGTACACCTAGGCCAGGATTGGATTGATATGAATAATTAATAAAATTTCCTCACTGTCGCATACTCTAGTATCGTATTCCTGCCTTTCATTAATGCAAGACCCCGCCATAGCCATAGCCACACTATCCTATTTTGAACAGCATCCTCAAGCTTATCCAGGTCGAGGACTGAGTTTACACCATTCTGTCGCACTGTTCTGGTGGTACTTCTTTCGTTCATCGAATCCAAATCATTTTTAAATCGTAGATAAACAAATATAATTATTGAGTCCAAGTGTAAGTTTGTTACGTGATATTAATGCTGTTGCAAAAGAAAACTTTTCAACATAAATTCAATAATTAATATTGAATTACAATAGATTTACCATTGAATTTAAAAATGAGAAACTGGCAACGCCAGTATTGATGAATCCAAGCAAGATAAAAGTGGCTATTATTACGTCACACAAGTTAATAATAAAACACATGTTTTCCCCCCATGTGACGGAATCTAGTTTTGCATAACAGGCGTGATCGGACGTGGTGGATCGGGTATCAAACACGGGGATTCGTTAAATTCGAGTACAGCGAGTCCTCGACTCTCGATGTTGTTCTGTTCTCGAGACGGGGTGTAACCACAGAGGTATATAAATGTTCAGTGGGTGTAACCCGAATTTCAGTGTAAGTCGGAACATTATACTGTATACAGTACATAAATTACTCTATACATATCGTACTGTATTGTAAAGTATGGTACTGTAATAAAATGTACAAATAATGCAAAAAAGTACTTTATTGAAAAAACAGAAAACAATTTGATATCACATGAATAAAAGCAAATTCTGTACAGTACAGTACTATCTTTTATATTTTTTATGGAGTGTGTTTGTAACCTCGGAACAGCGTTATGGATCTCGCGTTTGTAACCTCGAAACGGCGTAAGTCGCGAACGTCGTAACCCGAGGACTCCCTGTAATTACCAACTCACACTGCTCTTATGAAATAAATCACCACTAAACCGACATATTCGTTACTGAAAAATGTGTTTGAAGTCCAAATATCGACAAGCAGACTTGAAAATATTTTTAAAATGAAGAAGCCCTTTCAGACTAAAAATATTACGATTCGGCACTTGCGGCGCCCTTATACTGCTTATTGACAGTTGATAAATCAACGCCTATGTTTGTATTTTTATAGCTTTTGTGTGTATTGTACACGAAATCCTAGTAACGTATCCTGTCTGAGGTTTCGTGTCAATTGTGTGTAGCTTGAAAAGGCTTTCACTTCAAAATATAAAGACTGTCAATGAAAAATTGATCTTCGAACGTTGAATGCAGATAATAGACGTGACTAAGAGTGAACCGTAACGAAACCAAGCCATGTATATTACACCGCGAAGTGGTTCAACTGACTGTGACATCGCTTTTTGGGGTCAGTAGAGGCTGTATCAAACGTATTTTATCGATGGGCTCCTTAAGCACAATCGCCATTGAATTTTTACTCATGCTTTCGTACATCCGCAGTTATTTTAATCCAAAAGTAGTTAAACGTAATTGATAGTATTCAGTATACGGGGTGAAATTGTAGCAATAAATCGGCTTCGACATTTTAACAATATCCGATTGCCCATATCGCCGGTCGATATTTAAAATTAGTGTAGAAGTGAAAAAATATTCAGCGTTACAGGTAGGAATAAGCAAATCAAAAATATATAAGATTGGTGCCATTTAAATTGATAACACATGTATTTTCATCTTACCTTTTAATGTAGAGATCGGATCAGACGTAGGATGTTTCACGTATAAAAATCTCGATTTTGCCAATATGAAAGATGGACTGAAACAATTTCCCCAAAACAGTTTTTTGGTTGACTTGATAAGATAAGTAAATGTTTTCCGATTATATTAGCTAGTCTGTCCGAGTTAATAACTGTCATAAAATTCATCTACAAACGCTCTTCTGATAAATGAAGTAAATAAGAAAGCATTTTCACCATTCAAGCATCTTGCCTCCCACTGTTTTATGACGCGAAGAAGTCATTGTTTACCAGCGGCAAATGTACGCGGATGGTCCTCAAACCAGTCGTAAACCTAACGTCGTAACGAGAGGGTCGGGAGGGCTTATCTTGTGACGACATTTTCAATTTGTCGCGATGTGACGAAAATTACAGCGAAAAACGCGGTCGTTTTTGAGGAGAGGTTATTTTATTCAACCTGTTTTGAATGTAAATAATTTTTCGGTTGTTCATTAAGAACAAAATGTCTTCAAATTGTTATGAAATCACCTTGGCGTGTAAAGGAGTCTCTGATGCAAGTGAAGTTTGTAAATTAGGGCATATATAATATATGTATTATGCAAAGTATATATTAGTTTCAATTTTTGTTGTTCTAATGCTCACGACTTAAATAATGTATGACGATAAAATAGAAAACAATGGCCGAGACGGACAACTACTAAATTTTCGATCGTAGAAATACGGAAACTTGGGTGACAATTGTTTTTTCTGTATTTATTCTCCCACAAACCAGTAATTTTCGTGTCTGCTTTTGTCCTAGTTGAATTCAATATTGTTTTTGATTGGTGGTGATAGCACTAGCATATTGTTCCTAACACAAATTAGCGAAAACAATAGCCCGACAAATAGTTCGTGGAATTGGGTACAGAGGTTTGTTTACAATAACGCGTCGTACGCGGTGATTAATCGAAGGCTATTGTTTGTATCATTAACAGAATCTGATAGCTAGATATTTATACCAAAATGGTTTAAAGTCGAAACATTATTTCACGCAATACACTACAAGTGAAGGAGCAAATAAATTTAAAATTCAGTGAGGGATTATAGCGTTTAAGCGATCCTGCCACCATAAAGATACCAAGTTCAGGATGCCGGGAGAAAATGTGAAAGTAGCGGTTCGAGTTCGCCCCTTCAATCAGGTACATGTCACGCTTGTTTTATTTATTTCATATAGAAAATATTGCTGTTATACTACCAACTTCATAACCATAATAAGAATTTTTCTAGGGTTTTATTTTGAAGATTATTTTTTCTCTTTAATCTCACGTATCCTTTACATTTTGCGATAATATGATGTATGCCTAAGTGAATATTTGGTAATTTATTGAGCATGAGTAATTCTAAATGTGCAATAAACGGAATCTCTATTAAAGTAGTGACGTCGATATTATTCTGTCTTTATATTGTATTTAACTCTAGTAAAATATAGGTATATTGGGTCACTAAAATATCACATGCACTTTGGTCAGTTGTCCAAATACGTAAGTCCAGTATAAGTCAAGCATTTATTGACATTTCGTACCTCTTGTCAAAGCACTGACGACGCAAATAAATAAATTCCAATAATCATTTATTCACACTCGGTTATTGAAATAGAAAAACGATTCGCATATTGCTATAACATTTTTTCGTGGGGAATCAACGACACGGAAATAACGCGGAATCGCGGGTTTTTATTTTGTTTGGTATTTTAATAATTACAGAATGAAGGCGTGCCGTAAAAAATATGGTTAAATTTGCGCATTTCAATGGAATGTTATACGGAATCGCTCCGAACACGGCATTTGATATTGTTTCACGTAGATCGATTCTCAAATTTAAAAAACGTAGCCTATCCGAATTTTCACATCATGGTGAGATATTCGTTAGATGAAGCCGTGTATTGGAACAGCGTATCTGATATACAGTCAATTACAGTTATTTACAAATTTATCTTATCGAATTGCAGCTAATTATCGTAGTTTTATTATTAATTAGTCAAAAAAATCTCGCGTCATCGAGTAAAGAGAAATTATCAAGAAAATTCACAACACATTATTGACGCAATAAAACATTAGGAGGCAAATTGAAAATGTGGTCTGACGAGTGGCGCTTGTTGGCCACTTCGAATTGTGTGAATGGGGCTTAATCACGACGGGGATTTCGATAGAGATAGCGCGGGTCCTCTAACAAGCGAAAGTGTTATTCTCAAGCGGAAAATATTTCTATAGAGATCTCGAATGAACCGGTTTGTGTCGTCATCGACTGAATCACAAAATGTACCGAATTATTTGAATACACAGCTTGACAGGCGTTGTTTACGAAACGAATTACAAAGACGCTATGCTATGCTTTGTGTGCGTATTCTATAGTCAAATCCCACGTTCGCTTCCACATTACGGCGACCAAGTGAACTAACAAATAAATAATATTACGTCACACACACGGGCCATTAAACAAAGTATTCTGATTCATTCGAAATGTAACTTGTCAACATAAATAGTTTAAAAATGATTATGCTGTTATACTCACAAATTTTATATAATGTTACTTGTCATTTTTAAAGATATGTTTCCAGCGACATTTTCTTCAACTATCGTATTATTTTTATACCGGTACATCCCTCTTCCTGTAAGTCGCAAAAGCAGTTTTATCTAGTTGTTTAAAATAAACCATACGATAAAGTAAATTTGCTTTTCTCGTGGAAAACAATATTTGCACTTTTACTCAGCACGTAACGGTGACTTACTGACTTCATTTACATTCGGATTTGATAATCTCGGATAATTAAACATTCATTAAACATTGATGTTTTCTGTAACCTTGAGCATGTTAAAGGCGTCCATTTGAGATAGTAAAAACTTATTGGGAATCTAGGCTGTCGGGACCCCGAATTACCCTTATCTTAAGTCTTTGTGGACGCTTAAACAACGGTATACACCAAAACGCAACAGTTCTTGGAAAAAGATTACATTCTACAGAATAGAAGTGTTGAGAAAAATTATGATTGCAATAAAAATTTTCTATAACTTAAGGTGATGATGAATGGTGGGCCAAAGAAAAATCTAGGTATTGTCGAATGCAAGTAAAATTATCAAAATTTTTGTCGGCTTAAATTTATTTCATTTAATTCAAATATTTTAATTCGTTGTTCGTTTAGTATGCAAATCTTCACATATAAGTGTTTTGTTATGTTTTTCTGTTGCTAAGCAACGAAATTAACTTTACTCTCAAGTATTGTCACAACTAAGTACTCGCCCAGATTTGTACTCATTGTATCTTTTGTTAAATGTACTCAATACACAAGTTCAACATCTTTAGCAATACAGTATAGGTATACTATTTGCCCAAAAGATTTGAAAGTCTACAGATTGAAGGTTTACTTTAACCCCAATATAGCAAATAGCAAAATAGAAACGAGGGTAAAATAATACTTTTTTCATCAAAGAGTTAATCTTACTTATCGCCTTTTTATCAAAACAAAATTACGTAAGCCCTCTTGAGAACTTTAATGTGTAACTAACCAAGCTGAGATTGAACGAAATCGCGTTATAGGACCAAAATGACTTCATAGGCGAAATCTGGACACTAGTCCTTCGTGTTTACTTTACATTTTATATTATTTGATTGTCCAGTTTCTGACCATTCGAGGAATGTTTATTTAGTGCTCCGTATGTCCAGTATGAATTTCTGGCAATAAGGCAAACTTTCTATCGCCTCCCATCGACATTTTGAATAAATAAATTATCGTTCAAAGTAGTTCGTAATGGGAAAAAGTGATTTGCGTGGTAAGACGTAAATACGTCATGATGTATTTGCTTCCTATTTACATCTGAGTATGTGTCACGGATTCACGCTTATATTTGGTAAATAATGGGAACAAGTCTTGGCTATTTTCCCATTATTGATGTTAAAAATGCGCAAATTGTCATAATTCCACCGTGTGGTGACATGTGATTCAACAAACGACCGCGAAAATTGTCCATTCGCGCTTTCCAAATTTAAATTATAGTTGTATTTGAAATTCACCCGATAGGGGTTATTAACCTGCCGTAACCGTTGAAAAGTAAATGATGTAAAACACATCAAAAGAGAAAGATTTTTGAATTGTATCATGGACATCTGCGCCATACTTGTATTTTAAGAAATGATTTCCATAATTAATCAATTTCTAAATAATAATTATTTCTGATTCCAGAGGGAAATTGATGCCAATTCAAAATGTGTTATTCAAATGGACGGTGGATCAACCACCATAACCAATCCACACACTGGAGAAAAGAAAACGTTCACGTTTGATCATTCTTATTGGTCCCACGATGGCTACAATGAAAGAAGTGATTCTATGTTGGTCCCTGAGAATGAAACCAGCGTATATGCTGATCAGGTACAATTTTAAACACTGAATTGGAGTGCCTTTCTATTTAGGGAAATCAATCCAAATAAAAAATGTCGTTCATTTTGCATACATTGCTTGTACTGAAGTAACTCAATTTCATAAAATATATACCATAATTAGCATTTTAGCGGTTATGGAGTGTTTGTTCACCCTTGTGCCTTATGTAACTTTCTGGAAATTAAATGTTACAGTTTTAGTATATACCAATTCCGTTCCTCTCATTTGCATAAAATTTTCCAGCAATGCGTCTTCAATCAACTAGGACGCCAAGTTCTTGACAATGCCTGGGAAGGATATAACTCTACATTGTTCGCATACGGACAGACAGGAAGCGGGAAAAGTTATTCGATGCTTGGGTATTTTGATTTTCCATTTTACCGTCATTGAAGACAACCATGCATGAAGCATATATGAATCGTACTTTACTTACGCAAATATGTATGGGACAAACGTATTAAACTCAATTTGTAATAAAATGTTTATGACGAAAAATGTTTTTATCGGCACAATAGATTTTTGATTTGGTAGTTTGCTTTTGTTATTATCAACAACAATGTATGTTGAAACTAAAATTGAATAGAATGATAAATTGTCATGGGATGGAATTCAAATAAATAAATAAAGTATTCCCCCTGGAACCGCCTAAATACAGTCATTTTCACATAAGGTCACATTTTTATGAACTGTTCAAATATTGCTTTTCTGATAAAATCTTCCCGCTCCATCTAAAATTATCAGTGAAATTGTATTCAGTTGCAATGCACGATAAGAACGGTACGTTAAAATGGGTAATATATCTCAACATTCAATAAAAATACGGAGCAAGCGATATATTTATGTCAACCTTGCCATTTTTGCCATTGAAATGCAATATATAATGACTTTTGGAATAAAAAGGTTATCTTTAAATTTCAATAGTATATTTTATAAGGTAGCCTATATAGGCAAGTAACGCAAGATTTCATTTATACGTATGGAGGTATATATCTAATCAGAAAAGAGATTTTATAGAACTTTTTTAATTTTATTTCTCTTATCTCTCATTCGCTTATTTTATTTTCTAGGTATGGAACAAACAAAGGTATTGTGCCAATCGCTTGCGGAGAACTTTTTAAAGCAATTGATTCGGCTGATAAATCAAATGGGAAACAAATGCAGGTGGGCTAACGAAACACATATAAACTGAACTTATTTATAACCTTGTATCTCAAATAATAAAAAAAGACAAATGTACATAAATGAATTATGCTTTTTTTTTTTATAATAACACCCAATTATCAATACAGGGTCATATTTCTGGAATACACCAGGATTGCGATCGAAATACTTTCTGAAAATTAATGAATTAACGCATTTGTAGAAACGTTGAATAAGATAATCACTTCGTTTTGATTTATTACCTTTCAGTTTCAGCCCACTGCGGCGCCTCAAAAACTTTTTGTATTCCGAATTACAAATCTCTGTCACCAACTTGTAAATTATCATCTGACATTTGTAAACCTCCGAGCTTTGATTGTCAAAATTCTTTTTAAACCATTCCATTATATATGGCCTGTATATTGACATTCGTTTGTGTAGTCATCAAGTTTTCCTACGCCACTTAAATTTTACTATTTAATGAGCGACATGGGGAAAATGGTATAAGAATACCTTTTTTGTGTTATCATAATATAGTACTTCGCAAATGACCGATGTATCTTGTATATTCCAGGTTACTTTCAGTATGCTTGAAATATACAATGAGCATGTTCGAGATTTGTTGACGAACAATACAAAAGCGATACCCGGTGGACTAAAGGTTTGATACTAATGTTGACACGATTACAATTTCCTCATCATTAATTACCATTTATGGGTAACCAGATCAGAAAAAACTATCATGTACTGTCTTATGTTCCATATTTTTGAGAAATATACTTAGTCACTGTCGCTTTTTCGGTTATGGCTTCCTCTACCCTAATTTCCAACGCTAAATGCTTTTTCTCTTCCTCGAAATAAATATAAAAATCTAATTTTTGACACTAAGATTTGCTTATTTTTGATATACTAGTTAGTTTTGCTGTATTTGACACCGATTTCCCTGAGTTTTATAGTGTATTTCGCAAATTTCACGAGCGAACATAAAATTTATAATTGGTTTTGATCTTGGTATCGTTTACTTCTCGGTTATTTTTCTTCGTACGGGCGACCTGGAAAACAACATTTGGAACATATTCTAGAGAGAACATAACTTCCATGTAAAGCGTCTCGATTACTCAAACTTTTAGGTACAATCATGCCCACACTAAAGTTCAAGTGTTTAATAATTTTCTTCGTTTTCGTTGAAGTAATTAGGAAATTCATGGGTTCTGTTTTTAGGTCAACCTGTACGACTCCCTCCTTTTCTGAACTACAAACAAAAATCCGTTGATATGTGAAAAGCTACCATTCTTTATATAAAATTTCCGGTTTAGACATGTCTACTTAATTGTTTACTCAATGAGATTCGAAGCCTAGATCCGTAACTAGCATTGACAGCACAAGTCCAGAGTTCTCAACCACAAATATATATCAACCACTGTCTTTTATTTTTACAAGATAATATTTTGGGGCTCCCGAAGTATGCGAACCAAGATGGCGGACATCGGAATGTAATATGTGTACTAGGTTAGGGTTAGGCCATAAATTTTTTCCAATTTTCCTTATTTTAGTCCTATTATCAGTTCGAAGACTAGCCAAGAGCCTCCAGTAGTATTTATACCTAAAATTATGGCCTAACCCTAACCTAGTACACATATTACATTCCGATGTCCGCCATCTTGGTTCGCATACTTCGGGAGCACCAATATTTTGTTTAAATTTGGCCTGAATTCTAGGTCAGACAAGACCGCAATCAATCATTTTACGTTCCTGATTTGAAACAACTTCCATGTCGAGATTACAAAGCAATAGAAAGGTTAATGGAACAAGGAACAATCAATAGAACAACTGCTTCTACGAATATGAATGCAACAAGCAGTAGATCCCATATGGTCATAACAATTAAATTTAAGCAGGTGAGAAATGGAAATATAACATGACTATTGTTATATGAAAGGGTATATTTCTAGAAAACAAATATTTGACGAGAAATAAATCACTTAGATTTATATTATATAATTTGCAAGCACCCCCCCAAAAAATAAAAATAATAAATAAACAAATAAATAAAAATATTAGAATCCAGAATAGATTGAACATATCCTCAAGAGAACATCAAAGTCTTTTTAAATTACTCAACTTTTTGGGTACAACCAAACACTCGTAGATGTTCAAAGGTTGAATACATTTTCTTCATTCTTGTACAAGTAATTAAGAAATTTGTGAAGTATGTTTTTTTGGGGTCACTAAGATATCGAAGTCATAAAATAATTTGAATGAAAATTGAAAATAAAATTTGAAATATAAAGAGAAAACAATCATTTATGCTGAAAATAAAAATATGAAAACGACCAAAATAACTGAATTTACCGTATCTTGAATTAAGATAACCCAAGGAGTAGTTACGCCAATTCAATCTGTTTCTTCTACTAATCAAGCCAATTCTAACGATCTTGCATCAAAGTTTCATCAACAAAATTTGTTTAACTTTTATGTGAACATCCTGAATTGGTACAAAGTGACATTGTAATCTTATTCTTATACATTAACAGGTATTCAACAATGATCGTGGTGAAAGTACAACAAAAACAAGCGAAATCAATTTGGTAGATTTGGCAGGAAGCGAGAGAGCAAAATCTACCGGTGCCACAGGTAAATCGATATTTCTAAAAATAAACTCAGGTTATGAATCTTCGACGCACTTGGCATTCTTCATTTGCATCACTACAAGTTTGAAATAATGAGAAGCCAGGTTCATAATTGGGAAAAGAGCTGGTTATGTAGCCGTAGTAGAACCGGATTTTTTAAGGTTTATTGCAAGGTTTTAGAAAAAATCGAATTTTTGTAAAATATAAATTTGAAAAATTGGTGATAATATTACCATCCTTTATTATTACAGGCGATCGACTCCGAGAGGGCTCAGCTATCAACGTCAGTTTATTAACGTTATCAAGTGTTATTGAAGCATTAGCTGAAGGAAATCCAAAGAAAACTATTCCTTACAGGAGTTCAGTTCTGACAAAACTACTCAAATCAGCTCTCGGTGGAAACAGTAAAACTGTGATGGTAAGCTAGGCATATTTATTTTGTAATTCTAATACAACTTTACTACATTCAATGGAATTTAAACAGTCATGTATATATATATATAGATTGGCCATACCCCAAAAGATTTTCATATAGGATTGGATTTTTATATTTATTTTGGGGAGAAGAAAGTGATAAAAAGGCTTATTCATACAACTTAATCATCTTTTTCGATATTGTTCTGGTCGGTCCTTATTTCCCATTGTATCTAATATTTTCTCGCAGATTGCAGCATTGAGTCCAGCTGATATTAATTATGAAGAAACACTTTCTACATTACGATATGCTGATCGAGCGAAAAAAATTCAGAACAAAGCTGTTATCAACTTAAGTCCGACTGAAAAACTCATTCACGATTTGAAATCAGAAAACGCCAGATTACTTCAATTATTAGCATCTCATACTTCTGGTGGTTCATCTGGAATGACACATGACAAAGGTGACAGAATCTCTCAAAGTGCTGTCTGTTATGCATGGGTGGATAATACATCAAAAAATCCTTTATTCCTTCCTCAAAATCTGTTTCCATTTGTTATTCAATCTTTTATGAATCACTAAATATGATATTCTTCATTCATATTCAGACTTTTGCACAGTTCGGATAGTTTATATTATGTAACAATGCCTAGTAACCAAACAATAATGATAAAACCACTCCAAAAATAAGGTAATATTTTTGGACCTGCTGAGGTATGTGTACCAAAGTGGCGCACAACCTGAACTCAGGTTGTGTACAAAGTTGAGGTTCAGGTTGTGCGACATCTTGGTGCACATACTTCAGCAGGTCCGAAAATACTTAAGGAGTACCATATTTTCTCCATAAACACACAAAAATTCACCATAGAGAGGAATTCCTCTGCGGTTGAAAAACGTTTCATCTTACACAACACTATTTTTTAATATTTAAATTTATTATTACATTCAAAACTATAAGCATACCAAGACCAAGCTTTCAATAAAGATCTTTCCTTCTCAATGCAAATTTTCTCATTCTTTATTAACGTAACATATCTGTATGTTAAGATTTTATTACAGCTGACTTGGAGCATCTGATCGCTCAAAATGAAAAACAAATGAAAGAATCAACAATGTCGTGGGAACAAAAATTAGAAGATGCAAAAAGAGAATGGGAAATGGAACATGTATCCGCCTCTGATAAGATGTTCAGCAAAAATCCATATTTTCAAGTATGTTTTCAATCAATTTTTGCGTTTATTTTGCGAACAACGTTATGTACAACCAGGCAATTAGACGTAATCAATGAGACTTGGTTTGCTAGAACCGCAACAGGTTTTTACGTCATCGAAAAAGAGGTAGTCCTCATTTAGTTGGTTTGGGCGTTAACCCGGAATCTCTAACTTTCAAGCAGTTGAAGTGATGCGCTTTTCATTGGACTAAATGCATTAAATGTATCAAAATTTGTCAGATTTCAATCAGATCACTTCATTCAAAGTCGGTTATTGGTATATGCTCATTAACAGTATTCAGTGTCAATAAAGACCGTCTGGTATACTGTTTTTTTAAAATAGTTTGATGACAACTAGTCAAGAGGCTGAAATCATTCGAACTGATTGTTACCATGCTTATTAAATATTCGATTATGTTAATTTACCTCTAGAACGTAAACGAAGATCCACAACTATCTGGGGTGATTAAGAAATTTATTTACGAAGGAGTCACAATGGTCGGCAAATGCAATAATATCGACACAACTAAGAAACCACATATCGCACTTCGTGGTTTAGGGTAAGTAATACAATTATTCATTAATTAAATCATTATTTTCAGATTTGATATGACAGGGAATCATTAAATAATTTAGGACCTTTGGTACGATGTTCAATTCTGATATCCATGTTTAAATATCATATTTGACCCACGATCAGTTCATTAGGTAAATGAAATAAGCAGTAACTGTGCTCGCGTGATCAGTTAGTTGCCTGGTCACAGTTTTTTGAAAAAGAAAAAAATTATGGCGATAACTGTATAATGCTCGCCGTGTTTTCAAACAAAATGTAATCGTTCAAAAATTCTAGTTGTTAAACCCCTTTTTTACCACAGTGTACATACTTGGTTCAAATGTTCACAACAACAATAAACCTGTCACTTATAATAAAGCTATTTCTCTGATCTTTGGTCAAGGGAATCGATATTTTTATATCAAAGTAAATAATGTAAATTGGAAATTATTTGATCTATTTCTTATTCATATTTGCTCTGAAGCCACCTGCTCGGTGGCGTAGTGTTTTTTTTTTCAGTTGCATAAAATCCAACCATTTTTTATAAGGGAAAGGCAAATGCTACACGAATGATAATATTGTATTATTATAGTAAGAACGTTCATAATTATTGATGACTTTACAAGAATTCGTCTTCAGGATAGTTTTGGTATTTATAAAAGTGTTTTTAAAACCTTATAATTTTTTCAACCGCAAGGGGATTTATCGATACCATTATTACCGTTTGTTGGACCCTATGTGGTGGGTGTACTGAATGAAGCAAAAAACTTGTATAAACACTGATTGACATTGAAAAAAAAAACTTGGTTGAGATTAAGATACATGGTAAACTGCCTTTAACAGAATTTTATAAACAACCTGTACAGTAATTTTCCAACTCCACAGTTACTGTCATGTTGTTGCAGACGATTTTATTCCTTTCATAGTTTCTCATTTTACAAAACCAATAAATTTTACTTTTTCAACGAGCCAATCATTGACGCCGGATAAGCCACAGCCCTAAATAATAAAGAAGATGAGGGGCGGTAGCATTCTTTTCCCAATATAGTAAATTTTATTTGTAATGCCATAACGATTTACTGGAAATGGTGTTGAGACAGTTTGTGGCTTTGGCGTCATATCTATCAATCTTCGTCGTAAACTGTTAATACGAGCAAACGTCCCACATTCTTTAAACGTCGATTGTAACATTATCCCTAATGGTAATTTGAACTCAATTTGAGTTCAATATTGAGTAACCTTCCGAAATAATGTCTCATAATAAGAAAATGATATTTCAATAAAACATTTTAAATTTCTTTTTTTTCGGAATTTTTACAATTTTAGTACATTCATCGCCATTTTGATTTAGACTAGATACATTTAAAATCATTTTGTCAACAATTTTTCACATAAACACTACAGCCAATTGGCATTCTGTATCTGCCCCACACCTCACACCCTTCTGTTTACATGACCGCTCAATAGCCTTCTGCGGTAGAGGTCATTTGAATGGCGATTTCGACTATCCCTATTGTCTCATGCATATTTCCATATACGACCGAAACACGGGGCAGAGATCACATGATTTTTAATGTCACTCACATACCACACCCCTCAAATTGATGTTCACTGTCAATCACTTTCTTCTATTATCTCTTCGCGTGATATTTTCATATTCTGTATGAACCGCATTGACTTATATATAAAATAAAGTATATACCCATCAACCACAGGTCGCTAAGTTTATTGTAAAAATAGTTAATATTACTGTTACTTTGTAGAAATCGAAGTAAGAGCGAAATATATTTAATGTACATTTTACAATCTAAAATAAAAAAAAAACTATATGTTACCCTAGCCGAACAAACCATAGCATTAGCCATAAAGTCATTGTTTGGTTTTGTTTATGACAACCCTTCTTGGCGACTTGACTATGACGTCACAAATGTCATAACTCTTAAGAATTTTCTTGGATGCGCCCTATTTAATTTACAGTTGCTTTTGTTAGAGGGATTTACATCAGCTATCATAATTACAGGTTGGAATTTAAACATGCCAGTTACGTTTTTGGATATTCTTGCAATAAAATTTATTACCTTTTGTCGAGTTTACGTGACCTATAGTATGTAGAAGCCATATTTTATCCAAACATGTTTCGTGCGATCACAGTCTCGTTGCTATTTTTAGTATAATACAATGTCAGCAACACCAATTTCTTAACTAATACGAGACGAGGGAAACAATTTCAATGAAAAATTCTATATGCAGGATGGAACAAAAACTCTCCCATATATCATTACCGTAAATAATTTAGCCATAAATATTTTAAAATGTGTTTTTTTGCCTCATCCTGTATATAGCTTTACATTGTTCACAAAATTGCACAAGTTTCATAATTATAGTAATTGGATTTTGAATTGATAAATTTTTGAAATTCTCCCAAAAGAAAAACAGATAATTTTGTGAGGACATTGGTAAAAAATGGCATGTGCTATTCTGTAGAATAGATTATAGAACACTTTTTCCCAGCCTATGGGTCGCTTGAAAATCTTCTTGGGTTGTTTTTTCAACCAAACATGCTTGCTCAATAGTAATTGCACACGTGAGAAGTACCACAGCATAAAATCTTGGCAGCATCTATTTTGCTCAAGTGAACCCATCTCACGATTTCAAAAACTTGCTGATGGCAAACAGGCGCAGTTTTCTCACTTTGCGGTAGTTTCTGGGGAATAAATGTCATGTAAAACGGTTTTTTTATATTTCAGTCATCTAATTTAGCGGTTGTAAAAGCACTATATACCGTTTAGCATGTGAGCATATCCTTGGGTCGCGAGATTTTACAAAAATTTTATTTTGTTTTTAAATTTGGATTGAAAAAAAGTTGGAAATCACTGCTATAGCCCCCATGACTCTGTCTTTCGCCAAATGCAAGGAATATGGGAATAGCAAGGCGGCAATACAAGCGTCATTTTCTTGCTATATTTATTTTGGTATATAACGACTAAAACATCTGTTGAGAAATGCTGTGATAATTTGCACTGTGATTTGCTGTGATTTTTTTGCAGGTATCGACAGCACACACCAATTTTGTCGCCCGAGGTTTCACGACTTGTGATCTCTAGGACTAGGTTATTATTTTTAAAGGATCTTTCTTATATGACATTATTCCCATGTATTTTTAGCATTCAAGATCACCATGCAAACATTATGTGCAACAAAAGTAATGTATATGCAGATCCTATCTCTCCGAATGAAGTCTTCGTCAATGGTGTGAAAATTTCAAAAAAGACGGCGTTGAAACATGGCGTAAGTAATTTCATTCATAATCTGTTTTTCCGGTGATATTACACGATACTGAGTTGGGTCGAATTTTTTGTTTTATCAATTACAAACACGGTTTGTTGTTGTTAAATGGTTGCAAACTAAGTCAGTAAGCATTGTGCAGAACAGTACAAGTGAGGATGCCGTTTGGGGGTAATGGCCGATGTGTATGTGTTCACCTGTAGATTATATACCAAAATATTTTTTTCTAAGGGAGCACCAAATTTGCATGTTCTCCCTTGCTAACCTTACCTACACCTTCCGCGCCTAATCCTACCAGCTAACCCTGCCTAAACTCCCCATGTCAAGTTTTAGTCGCAAGTTTAGCCCACCTGAACCCGCTAACCCTATCTGAATTACCCATCACGCCACTCAACTAGATTTGTTCCATATTTCTCTCGTTCATTCCAAACTTAAACCAGAGCTTCGAACGAGAAGCCCGGCTCATTAACAACTCTGAAATAAGATTGCGACATTAGAAAATGGTACTTATACCTGGAGTGATGAGATTCAAAGTTTTTGAAACGGGTTCACTAAGTCAGGGCTACTCAACTATTTTTATCGAAGGTCCGCAAACAAAACTTCAAAATTATTTGGGCCCGATCTTTCCAGAAATGATATTTCGACATCCTTAAACGAGTACTTCCTCGACCGACTAATGATTAGTAGCAAATTAAAATTGTTATTATGATGTTATAGTTCTTTTCGTATATATTCAAAACTATGAAAGTCATTTTATAATAGGAAATTCAAAAATTGGGGCTAATGATCCAAAATAAATAATTAGGTGCGGTCCAGATCCAATACTCGAAAGGTCCGGATTCGGACCGCGGTCGCCAGTTGAGTAGCCCTGCTCTAAGTCATCATTTCTCTCACTTAGCGACAAAACCGTTATCAATTTTCATTACAGGATAGAATCAAAATGGGATCAAATAGTTTGTTTCTATTTGTCGGATTTCCAAACGAAAGAAAAAAGAGCGATGACGACTTAACGAAGAAGTATGATTATAATTTTTTTCAAAATGAACTTGCCGCGAGTCTAGGAATTAACTACGACTTGAAATCGAAGCAGAAGGACGCAAGCGGGGATGTGAGTATTTTCCTGATTTTCAACATAAGCACGACAAATTTGATTTGATTTTGCGAACAGACTTCGTTTACTTTGCACTAAGTGATAAGGCACAATTCTAAATTTGAATGACGAGGTTTCATACCTGATAAGTCCGTTATTTCTTAAATTATGCAAGAGTGTAGAGAATTAGTTTATAAGATTTCCAAAACTCAGGGCCTTCCTGAATCTGAACACACATAAATCAGCCTCACAAAAACAAAAAATCATTTAATAAAAATATACTACCAAGAAAATATGAATTGAACAGATTCAAATACATATTTCATGATACCCTCTACTACACTCAAATCCGGAATACAAAAAACTGGACCTATATAATCAGCATACTTCTTGTCCAATTACTCTGCGCACAAGTTTATCTTTGTGCTTTACCTACACTTTCAAGAGATTTCATGAAGTTTTTAAGATTTTTAATATAGATATATATTATTTACTGTACTCGAAAATAAATTTTGATTCAATATTTGTCTCTACAGCTCGGTATCGCAGAGGTTTATCATGATTATTTGACATTGATGCCAATGGTCGCTGAAGTTAATGCCATAAGTGAAGAATTGCAGAAGAATGTTTCTTTTAGTTTATTTGTTCTTAATCTTGCCTCTTATGATTCATCTGGACTAGAAAAAGAAAAGGAAGTTGCCGTCAAAGTGGTGCAACAGGTTCGTTTTGTGGGTTGAGTACAATATCCTAGTTGAATTTTCCTCCTTGACAAAGCACATTATATTTCACTCGAGGCAAAACTGACTTTAGCAGGGATGTGCAACCTTTAATAGGCTTTTCAGTAGTTTTCATGCACGAGCATTTGTGTTATTGATCTTATGAAATGCGTTGTTGACTTCGCACAAGGTTGTTGTTGGGGCACTGTGACGTCATAGGTATTGAATTGACCAGGCATAGGAACGCCAGTACCAGATTAACTACATTAAACCGCAGGTTGCACGCTCTTGGACTAAAGCATTTGGAGGTATAGGGGGCAAAAAGGGCCATTATGATCTAGATTTAACTATTTTGGGCAACTTTCCAATGTTTTATGGTAATGTCTAAAAGTCAATGGTTTAGTTTTTATTAAAAGACTCATTACCACAGGCTTCCCGGAGGTCGTCATTTCGAAGATGACTCTTTTATTCAGTAGGTTCGGATAATTTTATCGCATTAGTCATTATATCACAGATCACAAACCAGGTATGGATTTGGTCGAAAGCAAAATTCACAAATAGAAAATATTTGATAGAAGAATTATATAATAATTTCACTGAAAATCCTGAAAGTGTAAACGATATCGCACATGAAGATGATCCATTCTGGGATCCCGTTGAGGATGTATATCTTGGATGGTAAGACTTGTTTTATTTTATACACACATTACAGTCCTTTACAGTAAATGATTTTGTATTTATTAATTGAATACAAGCTATAAAGCAGTTATTTATGTCAGAACAGAATTGTGTAAACAATTTTATTGCGGTGAAAATGTGTTTGATGTTGGATAAATTAGTAATTTTTGAAGCAATGACATCAAAATACAATCTGGTTATAATATGTATAGAAATCAATAATGTTTGTGTATAACTTTAATCAACAATTGATTATTTACAGCGCTCATGCCTGGTTACATAGTCTTGCGTATTGCATGCCATTAGATGATCAAATTGCAATTCTTAATCATTCCGGGAAAGAAGAAGGTCACTTACAAGTATCAGTGTCTCCTTGTACTGCCAATGGAATGTAAGTATGAATAAATGTTATTTCTCGAACTTTCGCCAATGGTAAAAATATATATCCAGTATCCACAATATATATCTGTCCTAACTCAGAATAGTGGAACAAGTGTAGCAATCTGGGACGAGTGTGTGACTAGTGGGACACCACATTTTTGAAAAACCGTTTCTAAAAGCATACTTTACGAGTCAACGTTGTAATACTCTTATATCGAAGCTTTTTTAATTTTGCTTCCAAATAATACGAATAAATTGTACAATATTAATCCATAAGCGAATCGTGAATCGTGACTTTCAAAATTTTTTTTTTATTCATTTTGGATAGACATTTATACAATTGCCCTCACGCAGTTCGATATATAATCCGGTTTAAAATAGTCGAACTGTGTAATTATTACAATATAATTTTCCGTCACACCCATGAACTCATATATTAAAATTCATCTTCTGAACGTCCACATAATACAGAGTACAGAGTGATGAAATGATGATATTAGATCCGAACGATTTACTGAACAAAAGATTTGATATTATGATACAAATACAACAATGTATCGGATTAAAATGGATCAAGCAAAACAGCACGAGAGGAATAATGATCAAGTAAGATTGTAAAATTTTACGTTGTACGAACATAAGTTCAGATAAATGGTTAAATAATTCAATGACCAAAGTCACATTTAAAAGCATTACATTTTTGCAGGTGCTGCAAGCATTCGCGCTTAGACCATAATTCTGGTCAAACGACTGCCGATACTCACGAAGCTGCCATGTTTTTGAGGGATCGGTACATTGGCCGTTTGTTATATCCAATCCACAAATTTATGATGTGTTTTGCACTTTCATGCCCAACATAGTTTAGGACAAGCATCCAACGTTACTTTCGAAACTACAATGCTTTTTGAAATGACGAACTGACCAAACCAAATTATTACTCACTAGATAAGGTAATTGAACCTGTGACGTCATAATGGTCTAGATAGGGGTGAGCAAGGTTGTGGCAGCATTAGGCGGGCCAGATTGAATTATCCAACGGGCTAGATTTGGCCCGCGGGCCGTAGTGTGCCCATGTCAGGTCTAGAACCACCAAGCTTATATTTTACATTTGTGTACTTTCGCCCTGATTTCGTATGTTTACACATAGTCATTTATATTCTAGATTCAAATTGTACGATGAACGATATGGTCATCAAACAAGAGCATTGTGGCATGTTGTCAACCCACGAGTCAATTTTCAGCAACACATAACTGTGGACAACGTGGATGATGATTTTCTCACTTATCTTCACTCTAATGCTGTTGTATTTGAAGTTTGGGGGTTACAAGGTAAATGTTGATAATATTTCCCGATTTCCGATCTTTTTGAATGGTTTTTGTACGACAAGTGAACATATAGATGGTTTTGTTAAATTGCTTTTTATCGCTAATGGACTGGTCGGGTCCAAATTTTTATTATCAGAGATGAAAGTTGCTGGGCGGCTATTACGAATATTTTATTTTCCAAATTTAGCTATTGTGTTCGATAGTCCGATATTGTGTTCGAAGTCCGTCATCTTTTCGGTATACCGGTGCACGGTTAAGGCCTTAACGTTGTCGATGAAAATTGCTATGGTGTCAAGTCATTTGACAAAAGTGTCCATATATTTGAGTACTACTCTCCTGTTAATCGAATACACGCTTTACTTGAACAGGCGGGCGTGTTGACACTCCTGACACTACATTAGATGATGGGATGATACGAACAAATAGTCCACCTCATTCGTCACCACCGTCAACTGCTGCTTCCTTTTCGTCGGCAGAATTTGACGCCATGGTAAAGATCATAGTATAAATAATGTAATACTCAATTGAATAATTTAATCGAGCCACTGATAAAGTTGAGTTATCAGCCACATTTTATGAAATGTATATAAAATAAAAGGACAATATATAAATGTATCTATGTTTTGGTAACTTTTATTAAATTTTTTCTATTTAAACCTACGACACACTCCGATCAGAAAAAATTGCTGAGCAATAATGATATGATGAGGATACCGATAATTTAAAATAATATTTCAATGGAACTTCAATTTTTCAATTTGCTGGCGCGTGATGCATCACCATAAATCTATATAGCTTCAATAGATCGTCCATTTCAGTGGTCGCCCGCGATCAAATTCCCATATAAAAACAATTCCCAGGCTTTTAAACTCCGTGATTGAGTTTTAAATGACCGTCTTTTATTTTATTTTTTTCAGGAAAAAGAATTAGAAGGAGCTAAGCACGAAATTAAAAGTTTATCAGATCAAAAAGAAGAACTCTTTCAGTTATGTCGGGTACGGAATATTTACACCATAGGTTTAAATATATATACATAGTAAAATTTTGTGTTTTTTCGTCAACTAGTCTTTAATAGAATGCTTTTGCAGTGATGACGACACGTTTAACTTGACTTGTTATATCAAAACAAATTTTACAGATTTTAAGGAAAGAGAACACAAATTTGAAAACAAAGGTCAAAGAAGCTAAGAAAAATAATAAGAACGGAATCACTAGGCCGAGCCGTGAGTATATTTTACATCTGCATAAATGTAGAAACTTTGTGAAATGAATACGCTCGTCATTGTACAATAAAAGCTATTTGTTCCCTTCATTTTATCCTCGATAAACGATCTTTCTCGAGAATCACAGTTGCACAATGCTCCATCGTTCACCGATTCCATGCATTGCAACACATTAAATTTGCTGAACGATTCGATTCAGATTCCGACAAAGAATGAAAAATCTGTCCTACTTGTTACCCTATCTCCCAATCGGATAAATACAAAAATATACATTTATCATATCACAACAATCGAAAGCTATTATTTTTCTGTTTCCATGCCATGCAATTCCTGTCAAGAGTGGAAATAAAATAAAATTATTAACAGGTCCTAAGTCTGCATCGAAGAGTGAAATTATTTCGAAAGAAGTTCAAAATGAAAAAGATAAAACGCCAAGTTCAAGATCATCGTCCGCCGCAAGCCAAGGTAATAACAACGTGCAAGCAGAACTTGGTCGAGCATTGAAGCGATATTTTGGCGATATAAAGCCTATCCAATCGCAAATGCAGTATCTTTTATCATCTGAAATGCCTCCAGAACCAGCAAGATCAAAGCATGGATCGGTAAAAGGAGACTCTTATGACAGACTACGATCGTTTGCTGATGTTCGTCAAAAAGACATCGATCAACTTTCAGAAGGATTCAATAAGGCATTGTTAACACTAAAAAGCTCAGTGGCAGCCACAGTCAGGGCGCGGAAAACAGAAATGCAGCCAAACGGGTCGTCCTAACCTTAGTGAAGATTACATCGTGCATCTATTTATCAACAAATTCTTTTATTATTGACGCCGCCATCGTCATTTCGAATGTCAGTTTTTCATTATAAGGCCATTATTTCCTTGTCGTGCAAGGGCGGTCATATGCTGTCTTACCAATCTATTTTTATATACCGAACATTGTAATGTAAATAGTCGTGTAAAATATTTATTTTGTTAGTCTTTTTCTGCATTTCTTATATTATTTTCATCCTTATTTTGAGCAATACAATTTTGTCTAATGTGACAGCCTTTAACTTTGCCCAACTCACGGTCTTTTGACCGAAGATAGAGTTGATTGTTGCATCCGTGTACCAAAATTTCAGAGTACAACATTTTATCGTCCTCGATACGTGAAAATTGCAAAATAAATATTTTTATATCATCTTTCCAATACTACTTTGAATGCAGCAGACCAGCGGTTGCAAGCCGGGGGCCACAGATGAGTTTGGGGGGCACAATGCTCGGCGCAAAACTGATTTTACTTTTCAAAAGAAAAACCGCTATTCCTAGTTTCATTGCTTGATAAGGTTATTTCACAGTTTTCACTTTTTTGAGCACAATGGGATTTAGAATCTACCAGTCAAAATACCACTGGAACGATAAACAAGGTGGCCATGAGTGCTAAAAGCCCCCGGGCCATAGAAGGTTGGGAACCACTGCAGTAAACAATAGCGTGTCGGAAGGAATGACGGACTGGGTATCCCGGAAGTAAACAAGGTTGATTTACTATCAACAATCCCGTATTGGTGTAATAAAAAATCTCACATCTCGGATGTATGAGAGGGACGTTTTAACAAATCCAGATTGTGATTGAATCCATTTATTATCTCTGCGGATGACATTTGCTTCCTAGAAGGCTCTGGCATCGTGAGATCAATTTTAACTTACTCGCTGGATCAACGGCATATCCGCGAAAATCGTGGCACATAAAATATCTTGGGAAGCCGTTTAGTTAAAAGCTTAAATTGCGTGCTTATAACTGCTTAAAGCAAACAAACCTGTCTCAAAGCAATATAGTGCTTTTAAAAACTAACATGGGTTCATTAATTACATTTGAATGTGAAACTCAAAAACTCGACTATAAATAAATAAAATCATAATTTATTAAATCGCAGTGTTATTTGATCCCATAAAATTTCTGTTAACTGGGAGATGATAGATCTTCAATTGGAATTTGTTCTCTTGATCTTGTACATTCACATTCTTGTCTGATGTTGGGCGTTTCACAATCTGATAACGACTGACAGACACCACAACAAGCCGTCCAACCCTGACAATGTAAATGGATCAATGGATGAATAGAACACAATCATGAAATGCCCAGAGCCGTGTAGTCGGAGTTGGCATGTTGAAGAAGGAGTCGTATTTTCAAATTCCCCTGAGTTGGAGATAAAAGTTGCAATTTTAAATTCTTTATAGAGTTGGGATTCAGAGCCGAATTTTTTAATTCTTACAAGCTAAGAATCAGAGACGGAATTCACGGCTTTAACAGTGATAATTCAAAAGGTATTAGCATTCTCAACAGACAATAAAATCAGGCTGGCATATGCCAAAGTCTTCGCAATCAAAAGCTGGAATCGTAATAGATTTTTAAACAAGACTTGAGGCAAAATCGGGTGTCAGATATTTCCATATAAGGTAGATAAAACGGCAGTGGCCCGTCATATGATTATATACACCTTATCAACTTTCGTCTCCCTTAAAATAAATGTAAAAAATACAGCATTTAAATATTATCAGTATTATTTTGATTCCAGAAGAATATACTACTTCTACAGTAAAGTATGCTATTTGTAATATTCGATTGGTAGCAATATGGCATACAAGCAATCACATAAAACATGTACATCAATAAATCAATACAACATAAGATTGAAGTGGACTCTCAGGGGAGTACTCATTCATAACAAGACCAATGACAATATTCCCATCAATCAAGATGGGAAAACCTTTAATACCTCACATAATTAAAAAAAGCACCTTAATGTTGAGTATTTATATTGATTATGTACATTACGATTGATTTAACACTAAAATTACTTAATGAGTTGGAAATCCTGTAGATCAGTGCGTTTCGAATTGTATTATGTTTGTACGACCTTTCATAGAGTGCAAAAACAAACCACAGACAAAAAAATCCAAGTTTTTTTAGTATACAATCAATAGGAATCTTGCGCTCGGGACTTGGGTTTCTTATATTAGGCACCGTTTTTGATGATATAGCCTGACGAATGTCACTCTCAACATCAAGACAATTTCTAGATTCAGTTTTCTCTGACAGAAACCCGATCTTGGCCAATGTTGCTTTCTCGTCAAGTCGAACTCGATTAAAAGCCAAAAACCGATCAGCGTCTTTCACCTGGGGAGGTTTGAACGTAATGATTGATTGCTATGCAGACATTGAGCACATTCTCTGTCATCTCTCTTTACTGTAGTAAAGCCAACGCAACCATCGTTCGTATTTTTAGGCATTAGGAATTTTTTCGTCTATAATACGATACTGAAGGTTGTCTCGCGGTCTAGTGAAACCGTCCGTCTGCAGGTTAGACGGCCTACCAGCAAATTATTTGGATTGGTAAAACAGGAAATTTTATTTTAAGAGGAAAGTATGCAAAAAAAGTCGCTTTATGATTAATTATTAGCCCCGAGAATGAGAACCACTGCTGTAGATTATATTACATAATATTAGGGATGTTATAGAATTGTTCAGACTTCACATCTCAAATTTTCTAATCTAGGTAATATTCAAACATTTCTTATGAGGTTTTCTGTCTTTGAAGAACCCCTTACCTACTTATGAATGTGAATCCAGACTGATGCGTCAAATTGAATACTTAGAAATTCAAACATTTTCGAATTAACAATAATTTAACCTGGGGTCTCCAAATAACATTATTTTGGATAGGCATGTTCCATCTACATATATTCAATGTGTTTTTGAAAAAACATACTTTCGCCTTACTATCTGTTATTTGTAGCTTATCGTTAGCTAGTTATTTTTGAGGTGGGGCGCGACGAGACTCTACGAATTGTAAAAAGGGGGCGTGGCTTAAGAAGTTTAAGAACCACTGTTCTGGAGAGAACATAGGTAACTTTCGTGGAAAACATTCTGAAATTTTTAAATTTTTGGGTACAATCAGACACAAACACAAAGATTGTGATAAAAATTTCGTGGAGGTAGGAAATTTTCGGATTCCGTTTTTGGGGTCACCCTAAACAACATTCCACTTTACACATACTGCTTACCTTTGTTCTACAAGAGTCGCAGGAGTGAACAAGTTGTCTACAAGATTTTGTTGTACAGAGCTTATATTTATCATGGGGTTCGTTACAATATTTGCAACTAGATACCGGTGTTTTCATTTCCCCTCCTATGCTGTATCTTTCATCAAAAACAAACAATTTGCCTTTGTAATGACCATCAGGGTATTTTTCCAGATACCTGAATGACAAAAATTGCTGGTTCAGTTGAAAATTCAGAATCGCAACTTTTAACCCTGAATATTACAAGATTGAATAATTTCTACCGAAATCAATATCAAAACTAAATTAGGATTAAAAATGATCACAAATCCTGTGAGCTGTGAATGTATCAGCAATATCAAGTTTTAACTGTTTTTTGCTGTTTTATGTGAGAATGAGATTTTTTAAAGAATTTAACTGAATGCAAAAACAGCATTGTCCAAAAACGATCGCTAGTGTTAACTACAGATTTCATTGTTGTAAAAAGACCTAGCGCAGCATGAGTAATCGCTGTAGGGAAACAGACAAGCAGCAAAAACTTCCATAGAGAAAAAATACTCATTGTGATGACTTCTTTTATAATAGAAACTTTAATATTTAAGTGGACATGAACTATGGGGAAACAGACAAGCAGCAAAAACTTCCATAGAGAAAAAATACTCATTGTGATGACTTCTTTTATAATAGAAACTTTAATATTTAAGTGGACATGAACTATGGGGAAACAGACAAGCAGCAAAAACTTCCATAGAGAAAAAATACTCATTGTGATGACTTCTTTTATAATAGAAACTTTAATATTTAAATGAACATGAACTAGATCGCACTAAGCGACAATTTCACTTTATTAACTTTAAATAAAATTATAGTAAATTATTGCCTTACTTGTGGATCCCTCCTTTTAACTGTAAAACTTCCTTGCAATTCACTGATTTTTTAATATAAGCTGATGCTCTTTCACATCTTATTCCACCTGTACAATACATGAGTACTCTTTTATTCTTGAGAAGCTCATGGTTCTTGTCAACATAAGCTGGAAAGTAGCTGAACTTTCTTAAATTTGGTCTCAATGCGTTTTCAAAATAGCCGATTTTACTTTCGTAAAAATTTCTACAATCCAGTAAGATGGTGTCATCACTTTTCTGAAATAAAGATTGTATTGATATGAAGAAATGTATTTCAAATAGTGAAGTAATTATCAGTTATTTATGTGTTTGCTTATGTCTGATGGTCTATGATTTAACAAACTCGTTACACAATGGATAATTTATCAGTAATAAAACATACCGTAAGACCCCAGACAAATTCATATTAAATTACTATCAGGAATGCGTTTATCATTTTTAATGTTTTTTATTCCCCCCCAAAAAAATCAAACATTTTCCTCCGTAAGCCTGAAACTGTATAGGAAAATTAGCTATTCTATTGTTTTAATTTGTAATTTTGGCTACTTTTTACGCAGTCAAAAACAATACAGCAAGCAGGAAAACACTCAATAAAATAAGACCTCGTATATATTTTCCTATTTTATTGTTATGCTTTTGTCAGTCAGTCAGTCTGCTGAGTTAAAAAGATTGGGAACCACTGCTTTATAACAGTAACATTTTTGAAGGAAAGATATATGATATGACATATGATGCTTAACAATTTATGAGACCATGACATGTATTGGCATATCAGCTAATTGAGATGCATAAATATGTTTGGCTAACAATTCCAAATCTATTCCGAATTATTTAAGAGTCAGTCCTGGGGTCATTAACTCAAGGGTTATATCAAAAGAGATACCTAATGAAAAATTTGAAAGAATAAAAGCAAAGCAGATTGAGTGTATTTGGACAAAGAATAAACCCATGACATAAATGATCAAAAAAAAAGCGATGATTAACTTCACACGGTTTACCATTATACTTGACACAAAAAGGAAAAGTGTGATAAAACAGAGGAAATGAGAATGACTAGTGCTAACTGCATATTCATCAATTGTTTGAATCAGAACAAATCATTAACACAAGCATATTGCAACAGACACTATTATACCAGAAAAACCTTAGTGTTTGATGATATCAACTTTCAATTAGATAAACCTTTAACCTTTTAGTTATACAAACCTTTTGAACTTCCATGTGGAATTCCTCAGGTGTCAAATGCTTTCCACCATCTGTTGATTTCAATTTATCAGGCGAAATTCCTACAAAAATTAATATTCAAATAATTAAGGGATTATAATTTTTAATCCGCAAGTTTTTTCTACTTGAAACATACAATCTTACACTGAATTTTAAATGCACTTTTCATTCTTCCTGATCAATGAAGAATAGATCAATATCTAAAATTAGCAATGATTGATGAAATAAACACTTAAATTTATTTTGAGACAGGAGAATTATATTAAATAAGTTATTTATATACTTGGTGCCACATGTAAAGTGAATCAATCAACACCTGTTTGGGCAGGAAATTCCTAAAATAAACTGCCATTCGAACATAGCAGGTATAAATATATTTTGATGTCTCAGAATATAATATCCACGATAATTGTGTAGAAACAATACCAATTAAACAATATTAAAGAAGAGCGCAAGGCAATGAAACCATATAATGGATGGATCATGAAGTCATTGCTACAATGCATTTGTATTAATAAAGAGAGCAATGCACTGGATCTATATAAATTTGGATCATGGAGCTAGTGAATTTTATCAATCTTTGGCCCTAAATATTATCATCATCACATTTTTTTTACGGAACCGATCAGAAAGAGAAGCATTGAAAAAAATCGATAGCCATGTCCAAGATCCTTCTTCCTAAAATAATATTTTCCATTTTGTGTACCCAATTGCACATCTATTAAAAAACATTACAGTAAAGGCACATCAAAATTGAGAAACCCTAACGTATTTAAACACGTTTGTTTAAAATTTAATAAATAAAGAGCTACTAGTGTGAAAAAACATTTGATTTATCAGATTTTTGAATTTGGTAATTGTGAAAATACTTGGCCTCAAAATATAACTAATATATACAAATGTCATTTGGTGTCAAAGCACTTTAAAGTATCATTATTAATACACAAGCTTTTGAACAACTTTCCCAGAACTCCAAAATACCAATCCTCACATAAAAACAGTGTATATTATCACTTTCAAGTTTCATTACAAATATGCAAAAGAAGAAAAATATACAATGCAAGCAGCATTTGACTCATTCATCTACTGTTCCAGTAGTTTTAGATTTGGTGTCGACCTATTGGAAAGCCAAAATATACCACACTTGAAATAAGCATAGGCCGACTATATATGCCTTGTTTAAATGCAAATATGATATAAATGCAACTTGCAAGAATAGAATAGGCAATTAGGACAAACTGATTAATGAGTGCCAAGTATTATGACCGGGCCGGGTCCGAAATCGGACTATCCAGGTATTCGATCCAGACAGCACTTTCCTTAATTCTTTATTTTGCATCATTGGCCCAAGGCTATGTGAAGGTTTCCTTTTATTAAATAACTTTCATAGTTCTGAAGATTATTTTATAATTTGCTCATATTTGTACCTGACTATAGGAAGAACTGTAAAGCCGAAGAAGTGAGCGTTTAGGGGTGTCAAAATATAATTTCGTAAAATAGTTGAGGAGCCCTGGCCGATGAATTAATGTATATGTATTAGAAGGAAACGGGTAGCCAGCCTGATAGAGGAGTAGTTCAGCTATCTCCACACCTGAAAATTTAAAACAAAATTACACTATTTAAAATACATACCTATAGAACACAATTCTTCACATTCTGTTACTTTTAGATTTTCGAAAGAATTCCCATCACCATCACTCAGCTTAAAATCTTCTCTTTTGAGTTGAGTTAAACGCTCGCACATTTTAACAATATAACGATTAATCGCACATTCACAACCTTCTGCAGTTCCATTTATACCTTCCGAAGCCACTCTGATTTTTCCAATCAATTTTAAGTGCTGACAAATACTTCGTTGCCATGACGATTCATGAGAAGGTGATTTGATATCGGTGTAAAGATAATATAGTGTCACTTTAAAATTGCCGTTACATGAACATACAAATTTTTCCGTTGCATTATACTCATTTATATTATATTCTTTAGCGAAAATTTCTTGGTTATTAAAACCTTTGAAAAAATCATAAAATTGTGTTTCAATGTCGTTTGCATATTCTGATATCCAGTCTGAATGATGAGTGGAAACATGTTTTTTCAGATCATTGATTGTTTTGAAAACTTCCTTACAACATATCATATTGTCCTTATTAGCATTATTTCCATTTTGAATGAGGAAATGATGAAACGCAATCTTTCTGCACATCTCAGAAACTGCCTTATTATTTGGCATCAGCTTTGTCAGCTTTTTGATAACAACAGCGTCCAAGCCAACAATTTCTGTTGGTGATATACCATTCATTTTAAACAATAATTATAATATTATCTGAAAACATGACAATATAAAACAATTTTAATTTCAAAATGAACAACAAACATGATCTGAACTAGTGCAACGCAAACAACAGTATAATCAACATATTACATTTATTGGTTGTCAAAAGAGAACAATTCCCAGTAATCTGAAGGTGCTTTATTAGATTTGGCAAAAAAAAACAATAAAATACAACACAGATCAATAATAATATATGATAAATTCACATCCCAAACTAAAAATGACCAAAGCTATCCAATGTATCGCTATTTCGGGTGTATTCTAGAATAATCATTTTATATATTGAATATCAAATTTTATCACATTTCAAATGGGTCATGTTCAAGTGAGAAAATACTACTATTAAATTACAACCACCGTAAATTCACAGAAATTAAAACTCACTAATACAGAATGTTTAGAAATGATAATTGTTTTGTTTAATATTCTCATATCAAAGTGCGCAATGTAGAAAAAATATATTTTTTTTTCCGACCATCGAAACATTCTAATTTATTCAAGAAGTCTATTCAGCTTGACTTGAACGATGAGCAAATTGTTCTGTATGACATTAGGGATATTGACAAGGATGATATAAAAATATACATGTTGAACGAATTACAAAAGAGATAGAAAAACAGGTCATGGATAGATGGGTAATAATTATTACTAGAACAAGTTTTAACGGAGTGAAACAAAATCTACAATTGGGCATCAAAACGAACTCAAAGTTACAAATTACAATTTTACCGCAAAATACTTATAATACAATAATCTTGATTTCTTCTCAGACATACGTTTGAATCAGTTACATGAAATCATGATAATATTCAAGAGGCAAATGTTGGTTTTAAAATACAAGTGGTCTTTGAGTATCACTCATCTTTCATATTCAACATAGAATCATATAAAGATAAAATTTTGGCAATTGTTTCAGTCTTTTATGACAGAGGTGTGCAACCTTTAATAGGGGGGGGGGGGGGAGGGACCCCAGGCGGCACCTTTATTTAACATACACATTTTAGATACTTTTAACATACAAAAACTTTTGGTTATTGATCTTGTGACATACGTTGTTTGCTTCGCACAAGCTTGCTTTAAAGGCATTGTAACATAGGCATAGATGAGAAATTGGTCCAGATTAAATCAAATTAAAAACTCGTTTCATGTGCCGCATACCATTACAAATTGACACTCCTCTGTGGGTCGCACAATTTTTCCTCGTAGGCCGCTGTTTGCACACCCCTATTTTACGACATTCAAAATTGAATGAATTTACAATTTTGCACTGCCAGAACAGATGGAAATTTTTGTATATGTGCCTGTCAACTACTGACTGATTTATCTTTACCCCAGACTATAATTGCACCATATGTCATAATTCATAATAATTTGAAAATCATGTGTTGGCTTATATATCGCACCAAGAGCAGCTCATGCATTTATATAGCCCCAATAGACCAGAAGCCTTGCTTTAACATAGGCACCAAAAATTATTCATTTTCATTAGTTATCACAGTATCATTGAACATTCGGCAAGATAGAATAATTATTTTTCAATCACTTGTTAAAAAGACGAAACAGGAAATCGTATACCTGATTTAAAAGCAATCGCAAATTAATGTGAAGCATAGAAATAGACTAAATTTTAAAACATTTGGGCCTCAATATTCATATATTATAGCCTACGATACTAATAAGGACACAGAGAGGGACTGGTGGAAATTATAATATTGTGACTTAATGTCTAAACTTCAATACCCATGTCAAAGTATAAAATTTGATTTGTTAAAAACCCAAAAACGAAAATTCGGCTTGTGTCACAGGAACTGGGAATTTTATTTTCAATAACCAGTAACTACTTTTTGATTTTGTTATAGCATTTCGCTTTATTGCTTCATTTTCATTATTTTCCCCGATTTGTTACTCGTATAGAAAGTTGATGACATAATAATGAGAATACTTATATGAATATTTACTACAATGAACGAATACTAGATTTCACTAAATAATCATGTTTATCTTAATACACAGAGCAGCTATGGCACTAGGTTTCTAACACAAATATTGGCGAAGCGCAGTATGGGCAAATTCTACTCAATGTAGCTACATGCTAAGCTAGCTTTGAACAATTATTCAAAATCAAGAATTGAACAATCGGCATTCCATCCTTCATTCAAAATAATATATTACAAATAAATTTATCCCCATAATTTAAAAATTTTAACTGTTTGATAATTCTTTTTCAAGTTGCTGAGTAGAAATGTAAACATTTGAACAGTTTGTCAAAAATGTAATCAGAGCTGAGCAAACTTTCTAGTTAAACATGAAAACTGAAAGTGGTTTCCCTTCTATGGCAATTTCTAGAACAATACCAGTGATGTATTATTCCTAGAACATTGAACCAAATTAGTTATCTTCTATACAAGCATGTATATAGAAAACCTATAAACAATAACATGTATTAGACTCAAATAAAACTTGAAATGGATAGATGATAGATGTTGCATAATCAAGTGAAAATGGACCATTTGGCTAGAGTTTTGTATACTACCTCACCCATCTAAAGTTATATGAAACATCAACATTTTCTATGTTTAGTAGATAACCATTTTATCCTATTTTTTTAAACTATTATGATAAACGATGAAAAAAAAAAAAAATTGATATACAGGGCATCACAAAATAAACGAAACTTGTTAATTTGATTAACAATTTTTGTGTTTCATTTATTTTGGGACACCCAGTTTTTTTAATGTAAACTCAGGTTTAAAAAATTCAGTCATAAATAATATTTTTACGAAAAATGAACAACCAGTTATCAACACAGTATTACAATAGGATAGAACGATTACTATGGAGTAAAAATTATTTTTAATAAAAGAAGATAAATCAGATATGACTGTGGGATTGTGCAGCACAAATATTTAAATTTTAAGTGAAACAAAACTTATGTAAACCAATTACATATACATTATTTAAAATAGTAAGCAAGAATGGCAAATATTGCAACCAGTATAATTAGATACAAATTATTAAATAAATAAGATTGATTGCTGCGTTCGTGCTTCTCCAATGATTTTTGAATTTGCGACAATTTCAACAAAATATGTTGTTGTTGCTCTTGTAGTAACAGTAACGTTTGTTTAGCATCCTCGTCCGCTTGTAATTTGACTTGCAAAGCTTCATCATTACTTCTATTGGTCGATTCTTCCATAATTTTAACGCTCTGTATCATGTTTTCACTGTCAACAATCATTCGAGATTTGCCTGGTGATCTTAGTATAACCCCATTTTTAGTCATAGTAGATATACACCCGTCAGATTCATATTGCACAATGTCATTAACAGTGTCCCAAGGTCGTTTGTCCAAAAACTTGTACGTCCAATTCTCATTTATTGGATTGTACTCAAAAAGTTTTGGCAGCCAAAGTGTGTCTGTTTTTGCTCTTTCTCGAGCTCCTTTTCTTTGGTTTTCTTCCAGAATACATTTATATTTTGTGGCTTCATTTTGATCACCAACTTCAATTGCTTTTGTAACATGGCACCAAAGTTTTTGAGATTCATTCGGTAGCTGCTGGTTCATGGCAATGACTTGCCTTTGCAACCTAGCTGCACGGATTTCAGGAGTAGGTTTCCAGAATATAGATGTTGTGGCACGTTTCAAATCAGTAAGATATATTTCTCTATCCCAAAATCCTTGGATAGTAGCAAGATTCTTTTTCCCATGTAATATACGTCCATTTATTCTATTCGATGAATCACTTCCACCAAAGAATGGTTTCAATTTATATTCTATTTCAGTGGAGTAGCCTGTCTTCTGACAAGTAATATCAACTTTTCCTCCAAACTCCATCGTCATAGAACCATATAAAAATCCTTTGCAATGTGCATATGGCATTGTCAAAATGTATTCTTCCCTTTTATGTAGAAGAGTGAGGCTTACAGTACCATCAAGAAAAGCAGATAAAGAGTTGCCATAAAATTTAGATTTTGCTAATATGCTTCCATGCACAACGAAGCCGTCTTTTTTATTCACAGCTGCAAATGCCGAAATGGGTGGATGATGACTCACTTGTTCAGCAATATAATGTGTGAAACTTTCAGTTTCAGGATGTTGCCATTTGCAACGAAAAATTTCACCAATTATGGGGTTATATGGTTTTTTTATGCCATCAGGTTTTTTGTAGAAACCTGAAAGATACCATTTTGCAACAGCTTTCATTCGTTCATAAGGGTCGTCCACCCTGGCAGCTTTTGATAACAAATCAGCATGAAAGTAGTAATCTGACAATTTATCAAGGAAGGAACGAGGTTCTAAAATGAAAGTAGGAAGAACAACTTTAGAAAGATCCATTCCAGGTCGTAATTGTTTCAAGATTGTCCAAATTAGACCTTTATTTTCACTAGCTATGTCTTCAGCTGCCTCACCAGCAGATCCTAACATTTCCATGTCAGTCTTTTCAAGCACATACTCAGACTCTGGAACTTTGGGTGAAGATTTGTTGCTTTCAGCATCAGATGACACCCTTGAACTGAAGGAGCCAGTTTCCTCACCGGATGTTACAAGAGCTTCGTTTTGACCTACAGTGAGATGATTACCATGGCTTTTAGATGGATCTTCACTAGACTGATCTCCAGCATCCAATTGACTACCATCATCAGTTGATTTTTCACTGTGTGCTTTACTTGGCTTACGTTTCAGTAAAGCTAATTCAAGTCCCTCATCATATGAGTCTGGATCGTCCCCCATGACACTATCAATCTCTTTCATGCTGACGTCACCTACTGAAAGGGTGTTTTGAGAATCAAGAGTTGGCATAGCTTTTTTCAATAGATTGGAACATTTACGGGCCAGCTCTAATGCATCCATCCAGCATTGGCCATCAGATTGAGTTGTTGATCTCAAAATTAAGTGATTTGATGGCAGAGAATGTGTTAATAAACTCATGCTTTCGCCCGAGGGCCCTTTGGCAGTCCAAATCACTTGGTCAAGAGGATGATAAATTTTGAAACAAAACCCTTCCTTTTTTGATGGTCTTTGAATAATTTCACTCGACGTCAAAAGAACTGTTCCGATCCATTGCTTCAGTTTTTGAGTTTTGTATAATATTAGCACTCCTGGTTTTAACACACACCATATTCGACTCCAGTTCTTCAATGTACTTCGTATTTTCAACCAATCAGAGCGAATTACAACGGTTGGATCTTGTATTGTATTTTTCAACTCATTGTGAACTTTCTTTTTCTCCACCTTATACGACTGTTTCTGAATTCTCAATGATTCTTTTTTAGTGAGATTAGACCTAATGCTTGCATGACTGGAATCCTGCTCCCAGCTGTTGCTGCTGAACGAGTTGTTGTACGATGGAAGATTTTTCTCAGTCATATTGTTTTGTCATGGCTTAGTCAATTAATTATTTAGACAATCTAAATCAGATATTCAAAATGTAGGGTTTATAGAGTAGGTTTACCACACCCGGTTTAGCTGGGACAGTCCCAATTTTGATAAGCTGTCCCAGCATCTCACCCAGTAGACTTAGATGTATCGGTAAAGTAGTATGGCAGTCGGAAATATTTTTATTAGTTAATATCAAAACAAAAGTGTTTTTATTTTCTGTTAATGGAAGCAGTTCATTAATCACTGATTTGCGACTCACTTCAGTTCAGTGAGAGAGAGAACCACTATATTGTCATAATTATTATATTTAATGCGTCAATTTCTCATGTTATGTCAGTACGGCACACTTTACAGAGCGAGCAACATTGTCTTCTTTCAGAGAATCCCATTATACCGATGAACAGACATCCCTCCTTTCGCGAACGTATGTTGTTCCTCAATATCGGTAAAAACATAATAAACTGAAGAACTGCGCAATAAACTAAATAGAAGCGCAATTTAATAACATCATCGTTGAATTCCTCCAGAAAAATTAATCGGATTTATCTGAAGGAAAAAATTTTTACCATGGCATTCGAGAGTTTATAGTAAAGAACGGCAATTTTGGTCACATGACGACCACGATTAATTTAGATAAATATCGAGACAAGCAGGACACGATATGATGCATCTGCCGTGTCTCGTGTAGTTTCTTACCTAAATAACTTCTAGTAGGCGTGGCGTAACAATTTTTGGATATGTTATTCTTGACCCCTACCTGATTACACGCCCACTACCACTAGAAGTTATTCAGGTAAGAAACTACACGAGACCCGAATTAGGAATTAGCACCCAACACATTGTGCTTTTGGCACAATGCAGCAATGCCCGCCTTAATGCTGTAATGAAACTACATTTAATCAAAGGCATATTTTCTCACTTCAACTTTCCAAACTTTGCTTTTTTTCTTATATTTCGTTACTCTTTTTTTAAATAAAATTATTCATTTTGTGGCTTACAAGATAAATAAAATACATTATCCCTGTTTAGCCAGTATTCAAAATGTACGAAACTCATTGGACATAATATTACCGCATACCAATTACATAAACCTGTAAACCGTTGCCACTAGCCTATCTCTGTATCTACACGAATTAAACAAATTACTAATCTGCCTAGTAGCCCGCCTACAGTTTCCAATTTGTAGCGGTTGGGGCAATTGAAATTATTATCTTAAGTAGACAACGAATAATTCTAATTGTTGCCGCCCTTCTGCCCTTGCAGACTTAATACAGCAATGATAATGCCCGAAATTCCCAATCGATAACTATATGTAAAATTCTGACATCTGAAAATACTAGGTGACCCACCTTGAAGAATAGCGACAGGTCTATGCTAGGCCTAGTTTAGAGGTCCTTTCTTCGATATCTCTCCGCAGAGCTATTGCAGTATTGCTCGAATGGTGAGTTGTCTGCCTTTCGAACATCGACATATCTTCGCAGAGCGATTGCTCTTTAAGCGAGTTGGGACTCACGCGACCGTCGGCCACGAAGCTCACATTCGTGTTAGACTTATACACATAGAAATACCAAATTGAAAATATGGATGTGTTTTCTTAGCCATAAGAGCCCTTGAAAATGGAAATTACCGTACATCTGTACATCGTATCCTTCATCGTATCCTTGGCTCGGCGGTGTGGCGCATCGTGCTAAACGTTATGAATTAGAGATGTACCGAATACCGATACCACTTTAGTCGCCGATACCAACTAAAAACGCCGATACTGATATTCAAAAAAGCCGATATTGCCGATACTGATATTCAAAAAAGCCGATATGGCCGATACTATGTCATTGTTACCTCAAGTGTGCAAGGCAGACGGGTTTAAACAATAGTCTTCTATTCATAGTGCACAACATCTAAGATTGAAAAAGAGATATATCGCATATAATTAATGTTTGGGATCCAGATGCATTGTGTACTGACGCTAGTAATCTCGGTGTCCAATTAGAAAACTCGTGGGGTTTGACTACTGTGGGCGGTGAAATGAATGAATTTTCACCTATCATATTAAACTGATACATCGAGTTACTTGGGCAGGGTTTTGTGCCAATATAACGCCGTATTTTGTATTTTACACATTTGAAAATTCACTAATATTCGATTTATATATTTCTTCATAATTACCAGGTAATATTGAAAATGTCAATATAAAAATTTGGCAGCAAAGATATCCAAATTAGTTGAGCTTGTTTGGTTCATAAATAGCTCAAAACATGTCAGAATCCCATTCCCGGTTTAGTCAGGCAGAATCATGGCCGGAGGTTGTTTTGAGACATACAGTTTTTTATTGTTGTTTAGATATAATGTCGATGACATAAATAATGATACCCAGGTGGGTGTGGAGTATATAATGTTGAGCAATTTTCTCTAAGTGAATTTTAAGGCGCTCCGAAAGTATCCGTACCAAGATGACGCACATCCTGAACCCTAACCTGATACACATATAATGTGAGAAATTCAATTTTAGTGCAATGATTTGTAGTTTATTTCACTAATATAAGCCAAGATCCATCGACAGCATCTAGCCAATTAGCCAATTTTTTTTTGCACTTTCCAAACTACATTTGTGTTGTCGCGGGCATTTCGTTTTCCTGCTTAAAGCTTCGGGAAATGGATTGGAATATTCAACCTCGTCTTTCTCTCCGAACAAAGCCATGTAAAACCACTGAGATCTAATGATGTGTAACGTGTTTTCTTTTGGAAGAACCGGAATCTTTCAGGTTCAGCATTGACCAAATTAATATATCCCTGTGGAGAGGGTATGCGTTCGCGAAACCGAGATTTGCACCTGTTATGCCAACATCGTTGAGTCAAACATTTTGATCACTAGTACATCACACACATTTTCCTGAGTGCTTCGGTTGTACGTGGTAACGCGTACATTTTTGCGCACATACATCAAATTCCACTTGTTTATTGACCTACAGGTTTTTGACGAGCTTCTGTGTATGATTTCATCCCATTGAATTTGTATGCTGTTCTAAAGAATAATAGTTTCAGCTTTTTCAATCATTCAGACCGCATGTTGGAAGTAAGTTTTGTAATATTGCGAGTTTGTTTTCAACTGGTTTATTGATATCCATCCTTTGACATCCCTAAATCGGTGATGCCAGTAAATCTTCAATACAAAAGATCAGTATTATCTGCAATAAAAACAGCAGTACCCACTCAAATGATAGCTGTGGGATAAATACTCATATTATCTGCTCCATCCCGTGGCGTTTCAATATGAAACCTGCCTCTTACCAGTTTACATGAGTATCTTAGCTCAGCCAGAGACAAAAAGTTTCAATCTGCGGTTGGCGTGACGAAAAGTTTTTAAATATATATTCTGCAATAAAATTATTCGATTGCATATTACTGAAAGTTACGCCTTATATGTTTTTTCCCATTGCACGATTCCTTTACTGATATTCGATAATATGACGCTCATCTGGCATAGTTTTTCAAGTGTGTATAGAGGTATATATAATTTTTTCCACTCAGTTTAGATGGGAATGCGCGAATATATCTAAAAACGCAAATATTGGTTTGCAATGCGATGAAATTCCATCTTGGCATTTCTGCCTTTCGCAATTGCTGCGTATATATTTAACGGAGAAGTTCTGTGGCGTGGTTATCAAATAAAGAAAACATGGGAGCATTTTTTCCACTTCTCTACTACTCTCAAACCTTGACATTTTGTGAAAACTTTTTTCCATTCAGCCTTTTTTTGAAACATCCCCAACAACCACAATTGATTCTGTCATTAAACTTCACTGTGATCTGACGGTACGGTAAACCGTACTGTACTGCGAACAGACGTGTCCATATATTTGGGCGTAGCTCTCTTGTATTGTCAATTGTAACGATAGGGTATTTTGAAATAGTACTCCTTATTTTACGCGTATGTTTCAACAGTGTTTCCCTATCTATGAGTCGCAACAATTTTTTTCAACAAATACCTAAAAGTTATTGATTTTATTTTCTAGTAAATTTGGTGCTTTCGTAGTATGTGCACCAAGATGGCGCACAACCTGAACATAGTATGTGTACCAGGTTAAGGTTCAGGTTATGCGCCATTATGGTGCACAGATTTGACGAAAAACACAAATATCAAGCCATAAAAAAAATTGCTCAAGGCTGCAAACTCCACATCCATGTAGAAATGATGAGCAATGACCCCAAGATGAATATTCACAGATAAATTATGCCTGAAAACAAGGTTGGGCCCCAAAAGGCCCCTTATCTGCCGGACTATTTCTAGTTGCGGGGGTAGGGACAGCCATGGCTCATAGTTCACGATTTATCGAAGAAAAAAAAATTTAACATCAGTATTCCAAATTATTTTTTAAAACATTTTGGATCATATTAAAAAGCTAAATATATCGGAAATATCGGTCTACATTTAGCCAATATTGATATACTACCGATACCGAAAATTTGGCCGATATTACCGATACGGATATATCGGTACATCTCTATTATGAATGCGCTCTTCGCCGCCGTATAGATTGGTTCACGTAACTGCTGGCCGGTTACGGCTTTCTCTACCATAAAGTCCATGCTTCCGAAAACCGGCTAACACATCCCATACCCATGGTCAATGCGAGTATTAACAAGGGTGTCCCATATTAATTTAGTTATTTTCGAAGTAACTCGCCCGTTGCCTATTCTTACAATAAAAAAGAAGTATTATTGTTCTGAAATACTACAATTTGCGTATACATAAAAATAAATGATATACTGCCCGATTATAATTAGAATTGATTTGCATTTTTGCGATCTTGGTAATTTGAGCCGCTAAAGATTATTTTCAAAATATCGCCGTTCGCAAAATCCCAAACTCGATGATTAAAATTTACATAAATCAGTTTTGTATCATCATCAATAGGGAAGAAATCAAGTGCGACCCGGCGTTAATTTAGTAATGGATATTGGATATGAATTAACTTCAGGTGACTTCGGTATAGTTTCCGATCAAAAATTCTGAAATTTTGCCATTCAACCACGCTTAAAATATATTTTTT